CGAAGGACGCGGTGCGCAAGCTCCAGCACGTGGTCGTGGGCAGCATGCAGCTTCTCCGTCATGGCAGCCAAAGCAGCTTCGTGCTCGGCTTGCAGACGTTCGATCTCCATCGTGTGGTCGCGTGCCAAATCCGATGCGATCGGCGTGTTGCTAGCGCAAGGCGCAGAGCGCACCGCAGTGGCAGTGGTAGAGCGTGTAGCTGGCTTGGTCGCCCCTTTGGCTGTCGTCTTGGCCACCGACTTGGTGGTGGTAGGCAGGCGGAACGGGTGCGAGATGCGGAGTTGGGCTTCGAGCACCGCGACGCGACGGGCCTTCTTGTCCTGGTGGTATGTTGCGCTGTAGAGAGTCATCTTGCCTGGTCCCTTGATAAATGAATGGGAAATGCCATGCAGGATGCTAATCCAAGCTCGATATGGTAGAATCGACACACTGCCCTTTACACGACAAAGGCGAGCTTCCAGTCAGCAAGCCATGCCTCAGCCCTCGAAGGCTATGGCGCGTGAAGGTTTCAAGCAGCACAAGGCGAGGACAATGGCAGAAGCAACCCACGTTATCTGCCTTTAACGTAAGAAGCGCTCCTGGGACGCCACGTGCGGTAAACAGTGTAACCAAGGATCATATTCCAGGAGTTGCCACTCGCATGTGCGTAGCTGCTCTGAATGGAGCCATTGTCACGCCGTTCGTGCCATGCTTCCCTGTTCATGCGTCGATAACTTTGTCAAGGTCTGGGTTGAAGTCCTGCTGGCTGCTCCACCGCGTTTACCCTTCCTTGTGGAAATAAAACGCGCGATCCTGGGTTTAGCCGTCATTTTAACGTGTACACTATGTATTTGTATGAAAGCGATGTCTTTTGACATTGTATACATATACGAAACCCAAGTATAGCGCTATACTGCCGTCACAAGCTCATCTTTCTCCCTCGCCATGTCGTCCGACTTGTTTGCCGATTGGCACGAGGAGCAGTCGGGCCGCGACAACTCGACGCGCGTCGCCGCAGCCCGCGCGGACTACACGTCTCCCTACATGAACGTCGCCGCGGCCGCGGCCAGCTCGGACGACGACGAGCCCATCCGCCTCCAGGCGCCAGCCCGCGCCGGCGTCGGCGGCAAGCAGTCGACCATGTTCGAGCTCCGCGAGCACGGTCTCAAGGTCAGCCGCCGCAAGGGCTTCACGCCACGCTGCTTTAGCATTGGCAACAACGTCATGGCGATCGGGTCTGCGGAAGGCTCCATCTTGCGCTGCACTGCCGACGCGACGGACGCGACACCCAACGCGGTCGAAGAGATCACGATCGAACCAAAGGTCGCAGTCATCTCGATCTACATCGACCCGAGTGGTGGCCACGTGCTTATTTCGCTCGAGAATGGCACCAACTGGTACCTGCACTCGTCCACGAACCGGCCGCGGAAGCTCACGAAGGCCCAAGGCCGCTTCACGTGCGTCGCGTGGGACCGCCAGCTTGGGTCGCCCGCGACAACAGAGTCGATTCTCATCGGTACGGACGTCGGCTACATTTACGAAGCCGAATTTGACGGCAAGGAGAAAAAGTTCAACCGCGTGTACGCAATCACGCAGCAGGGCGCGATCGCAGGTCTCGAGTTCGAGCACGTCAACCAGACACAGCTCTACGTCATCATGACGACGTCAGGGTCGGGTCGGCGGCCCACGCGCATGTACCAGTTCCTTGGCGGCCCGACCTTTGAAGGTCTCTTTGGCGCCTACATGTCGACCGACGCGCTTCGCTTCAACGAGATCATGGGCGACATCAACACGGCGCAGCTCTCGGTCTTGCCAAGCACGAGCGCGAGCGCGCCAAGTGCTTTGCGATCCTCACCGGCGAAGGCGTGTACCACGGCGACCTCGGCTTTGGCGCGCGCAGCTCGATCGACAACATTTGGACCAACGTCGACATGCTCACGTTCCCACCGTCGTCGTCCGACAAGCCGACGAGTTCGCCGGTCGCGATCGCGACGACCGAGTACCACGTCGTGCTGCTCTACTCCAAGTACGTCCAAGTGCTCTGCAAGCTCAACGGGCTCGTCGTCCTCGAAGAGCTCTTTGACGCGCGCGTCGGCAGCATCAACGGCATCGCGTACGACCCGACGCTCAACACGCTCTGGATTCACTCGGAGCGCCGGATCCTCCAAGTGCTCGTGACCAACGAAGATCGCCACATTTGGAGCTTGTACCTTGCGAAAGCGACTCACGACGTCTTTGCCAAGTCGACGGACGACCTCGAACGCGACTTTGCCCGCGCGCTCGCCGCGTGCCACGACATTGTGCAGCGCCAGAAGGTCTGGACCGCGCAGGCAGACGCGTGCTTTGACCGGGAAGAGTTTGATCGCGCGGCGGTCTTGTACGCCAAATCGTCGCGGTCGTTTGAAGAGGTCGCGCTGCGCTTCATGGAGGTCCAGGCCACGGATGCCCTGCACGCGTTCTTGCTCACGAAGCTCGGGCAAACGAGCAGCGAGGACAAGACGCAAGCGACCGTGCTCTGCTCCTGGCTCGTCGAGCTCTATCTGGACAAATTCAACGGCCTCTCGGTCGCAGAGAAGGACATTGACGTGCACGCAAACCTCCTCTTTGAGTTCAAGCAGTTTCTCCAAGACCACAAGGGCCATTTGGATCCGGCGACGACCTTCAACTTGATTGCATCCCACGGCCGCGCGGACGAGCTCGTCTTTTATGCGAGCTTGATCGAAGACTACGAGAAGGTCGTGACGTACCACATTCACCGCGGCGAGTATGGCGCGGCCATCGAGCTCCTCAAAGGCGCGCCAACGCAAAAAGTCGAAGAGCTCTACTACAAGTACTCGCCCGAGCTCATCGTGCACAAAGCGAAGGAGCTCTTTGAGGTCTGGAAGGCCGCCGAGACGCTCGACCCGTCGCGTCTCATCCCAAGCATCGTGCGCCATGTGCACCAGAAGGACGAGCACGTGAACCGCCGGTCGGTGCTCGAGCTCGCAATCGACTTTCTCAAGTTTGTCATCAAGCAAGGCAACCGCGACGAGACGATCCACAACTACCTCGTCTTCCTCCTCGCCAAGCACCCGGACGAGCGTCTCCTGATCAACTTTCTGAGCAAGTCGACCGGGTCCCAGCTCTTTGATCCGGCGTTCGCGCTGCGTCTCTGCGCGCAGCACGAGAAGAACCGCGCGTGCATTTACATTTACTCGGCCATGGGGCTCTACCAAGAAGCGGTCGAGAAGGCATTGCAGGTCGACGTCCAGATTGCCAAAGAGATGGCCAACATGCCGGACGACGCGGATCTGAAGAAGACGTTGTGGACGCTTATCGCCAAGCATACGATTGACGCGGGCGGCGACATCAAGGAGGCCATGGGCATCCTCAACGAGAGCGAGATGCTGCAGATTGAGGACATTCTGCCCTTCTTCCCCGACTTTGTCGTCATCAACGACTTCAAGAAGGAGATTTGCGAGTCGCTGCAGGTCTACAACGACCGCATCGAGCAGCTCAAGGCCGAGATGCGCGAGTACACCGAGTCGGCCGAGCTCATTCGCGCCGATATGCAGCAATTGCGGAAGCGGTCGGCCAACATTTACGGCAACCAGCGCTGCGACCTCACGGGCGACAACATTCTTAGCAAGGAATTCTACCTCTTCCCGTGTGGCCACGCCTTCCACGCCGCGGCCTTGCGCCAAGAAATGACCAAGCACCTCAACAGCTTCCAGCGCCAGACCGTCAAGCAGCTCATGCAAAAGCTCCAGGAGCTCTCGCTCGAGCCGCAGCAGTCGACGTTCCAGCGCGTCGCCAACGTCTTCTCGAGCGACAAGAACAGCGCAGACGCGATCACCGCGCTCAAGACCAACACCAACGAGCGCGAATTGGTGCAGCAAAAGCTCGACGAGATTATCGCCTCCGAGTGCATCTTCTGCGGCGAAGTCATGATCAAGTCGATCCATCTGCCCTTCATCACGGACGAGGACGAAGCGCGCGAGGGCGCCGAATGGCGCATCTAATGCATCGTCTCTATCTAAAAACACGCCAGGTTTGGTTGCATATCTTGGATTTCAAGCGTTGAAGAGTATCCCAAATGGCGTGAACACAGACAGCGCGGCTGATATTAAAATAGCGCCGAATCACTTGAAGAAAGTATGTGGAATAAAACATAGCAAAGAAGCGGTGTCGCACACACACAAGATCGCGGTCATGCTCGCCCTCGACTTCAAGGACCTCCCAAAGCACCGACCATGCCAGTACGAGAAGCTCAAGAAGACGCCGAGCACATGGAAGAGCCGCGTCGCAGCCCTCGAGCGCGCGAAGCGCCGGGAGCCGCCGGCGAGCGGCAAGCTCCGAGTGCCCCGCCCTCCGAGCTTGACCCCGGACGGCAAGAAGCGCCATGGCGCGAGAGGGATGACGTTCACCGAGGCCGATCGGGCGCACGTAGCCATTGACGCGTCGCTTGATGAGCTGCTTCAGCCGCTCGATGACGACGGATTGAAGAAGATCCCGATGCACCTCCTGCCCGACATGCACACGCTTCTCGCACAGCGGCAGCGCCGGCGAAACCCGCTCGACTACATCAAGCACGACCACGTAGAAGTCATGTGGCTGCATCAAATGGGCGGGTCGCACGAAGGGCTCGACGAGTACCGGGCATGGCGCGTCGCCCACGGCCAGTACTAGCATGTACTCGTATCTAAATCGCCATAAGACTTGTAGCACCATCCTCCGGCGTTGACTCGACGCATGGGCTTCCGAAGCACATGCATGCAATGCAGAGGCTCGCCACCATCATAACGTCTTGTCGTCCATCAGGCCAAAAATAGGTCGCTTGGTCGATGCCATCGTCGAGGCTCGGTGCGCCAGCCACCGCTTACCGTCTTGATGCGATCGTGTCCATTAGGAGGAGATGGGACCTCTTCTGCCGCGCCTATGTACGCAGACGGCATCGCTTGCATCTGACTGCATGATGGTGCGTAGAAAAGGGTTGACAGGCCGATCGGGCAGCTTCAAGGACAGCGTCCGACGGCACGATAGCGCCGCCAGGGCGCTGCCGCTCTTCGGTCGCCAAGGCTCGGTGGTCACCGCCAAAGGCGGTATCAAGAGCATGTACGGCCGCTGCATTCATCGACCACGGCGACCATGCCGAGTGTAGGCCGTCGCGCGGGATCAAGACGAGCCACTACCTCCATATGGCCCAGAAAGGCCCGCCCGACATCAAGCAGCTCATGGGTAGTCTCGCTTCGACTGAACGCGTGCTCTCATTCGCGCAGAGGACGTCTACCTCGAGATGGAGCGCCAGCGCACCCTCGGTGTTTTAAAAATCCCGCTCAAATTTACCGACTTTTACAACGCGGGTGCGTCCCAACTTCCCGAACAAGACACGACGAAATACGTAGACATTACCGTGCTCTTTGTGCGCGCGGCCATGGACCACGTGGACTCGATCGTGGCGCTCAAGATCCTCGAGAAGAACGCGATGCCCGAGGTGCGCTCGCGCGCAACTCAGCTGCACGCCGAGACGCTGAGCCGCCTCGCGACGAGCTACTCGCGCATCGTGTTGCACTGCAGCAACTTTGAGCGCCAAAAGGAAGACGAGGTCTTCTTCGAGTGCGTCTACTACTTTGTGTGCGCGATCGTCAAGGTCCTCCATGCGCCCGAGCACTGGCACACGATCGAGGAGGAGCTCGGTCCCCTACCCCTTCGGTATCGTTGACATGTCTCATAGTGATCCATCTCTAGGTTACGCGTTCCGTGGCGAGTCGTTCAACATCAACGGCCGCGGGTCCGCCTCTCGTCTCGTCGTCTTGCAATGTTGGCGATGCTGTGGGTTCATAGGCACTTGCGCGTCGAGCCGGTCGAGGCCAAGCCGCCGACGCGCTTTGGCGCCGCGGCCGAGGCGACCGAGAGCCTCCGCTTCGTGACCGCGAGCACGAACGAGCGCTACGGCGCGTTCATCCAAATGGTTGGCGTCAACTCGATCGTGGCGCGCGTCGACAGCACGAAAGCGCGCGTCGACACCAACTTGCGCATCGCGCAGACGATCCGCGACCGCATCAACGCCGCGCACCGCACCGAAGTTGCGGCGCGGACGACCCAAGGTACCAGAACCTCGCACGTGGAAGAGCCCTTCCCATATATGTATCTAGAGCTCGAGTTTCAGAAGCGCAACGCGACGCGCATGGAGGTCTACGGCCACGCGCCGGCCAAACCCATGCACGGACCGAGCGCCCACGGACCGTACAGCCCCCGGCTCAACATGCGCGCGACCCTCGATGCGCGGTCGCCGGTCGTCGCGCGCATTTTGCCGCCGCCGAGCGAGGCCGGGAGCCCGCACAAGTAATTCTACGTCCAGCGGTATCCTTCTTCTCAGTGGGCTCACTACATCGTCCACTGTAGACTGGGTGAAGTCCAGGCGCCGACGCATGCGAGTCCGAGTGCGAACACTTGCAGCCCACCGAGCGCGACGCGTTCAAGCATGGCCGACGTGCTGTACCGGTCGTCGGCAATACCCAAGCAACCTGCGTTGGCATCAAAACCAATAGGACGATCTTAAACAAGGCAATATATTATCAACTAAGTACTAGGACCCTACACCCACTTGCGGGGCGAGGACGTGGCCGCGGCCTTGGTCGCAGTCTTGGCAGTCGCCGTCGTCCGGGACGCCGCCGTCATTTTGGCGCGGACCGACACAGTTTCGCCGGGGCCAATCGAGTGCCGGCTCGGGCGCGTGACCGTGCTCAGCGCCTTGGCGCGCACCACGGGAACCGCAGCGGCCACCGACGCAGCAGTCGGCGCCGTCACCGACGCCGTCGTCGGCTTGACCGGCAAACTCAGGCGGCGGCTCAAGGTCGAGCGCGTCGTTGTGGGCTTGGGCACGACGGGGGTCGTCGTCGATGTGCTGCGCGCCGACTTGCTACTGACGCTCGAGAGGCGCGACGACGTCGATCCAATCGACGCACGCGGCGCGCGCTTCTTGACCTCGGGCTCGGGCTCGCTGTCCGTGTTGAGGCGCTTCCAGTCCTCGTCCGCCGGCTCGTTCGGCTCGTCGTCGCCCGATTGGTTGGACGCCTTGCTGCTGAGGTTGGACGCAGCCGTCATCGTCGTCTGGAAGCTGTTGGAGCGCGTCTCGAGTTCGTCCCGGAGCTGCTCAATCTCGGCGCGGAGGCGCGTCAGTTCCTTCTCGCTCTCGCCCTTTTGCTTAGCGAGTTCGTCCTTCATCGAGAGGAGCTCGCCCGACTCGACACTCGTCTGCTTGGCCGCGCCGAGCTCGACCTGGCTCACGCGCGCGCCAAACTGCAGCGAGCAGAGGCTCTCGCCGACGTCGGCCACGTCGGGGCTCACTTGCAGCATCATGAGCGCCTTGGCGCCGCCCGAGAGCATGTCGCGCAGCGTAAATGTCAGCTTCGAGTTGCGGTACGGCACGTGCTTGGCCTTGTGCTGGAGCGCGTGGACGACGTCGCCGAGCGTCGAGAGCGACTTGTTGATGTGCTGCGCTTCCTTGAGCCGGTCGCCAGTCACCTGCGTGCGCGAAATGCGCTCCGAGCCCGCGAGATCCACGAGGCAGAGCGTGCTGTTCTTCTTCTCGAGCGTTTGGCGGCTGGCGCTCTGGACGTACACGAAAATGATCGCGTGCGACCGCGAGCTCTCAATGTTCATCTTGGTCGAGGCCACCGACCGGTTCTTGTGGCCTTCGTCGAGCACGAGCTGGACTTCTTCCCACGACGACACGGGGCGCGTCTCGAGCGAGTCCTTCGCCGTCAAAATGTCCTTGGAGAGCAAATCGCGCGGCTGGTCGTTGTAAATCTCCTGCATGCTGATCGAGATCCGGTCGTCGTACAGCAGCTGGCGCGCCGTGCTCATCTCAAACAACTGCTGCAGCGCGCGCGGGATGATGCCCGGCGCGCGCGGCTCACCGACCATCGAGTACGTCTTGCCGGCGCCTGTCTGGCCGTACGCGAGCACGCACGCGTTGTAGCCGTCCATGACCGAGCCCACGAGCGGATCAATGTGCTCGTACACGTCTTCTTGCGTGCTTTCGGGGCCGTAAATCTGGTCAAAGACAAACTCCTTGCGCTGCGACGCGACGAGAAGCGTCTGCGGCTTCGGGTACATGTACGCACTCTCTTCGTTGGTCGCGACCTTGAGCGGGCGGATGCGGCAAAAGACGCGGATCTTGCCCGACACTTCGTGGTACTTTTCCGTCATGCGCTTGCGCTCGAGCGTCTCGCGCTGGAGGTGGTCGTACAGAACCGTCTCGCGGTTCTGGGACTCGGTCATGACGCTCTCCATCGCGTTCGTCATGTACTGCTCCATGTCCTGCACCTCGGTCGTGAGCTCGTTGCGCATGTCTGCGAGCTCGGCCACGAGGCCCTGCGTGTGGTCGTACAGGCCATTGGCTTTGGCCTCGACGGTCGCCAGCTGCGCCGTGAGCGCCTCAATGTCGTCCTCCTTGGCCTTCTTGTCGGCCTCGACCGCCGTCAAGTGCGCGCCCTGCGACGCAAATTCGTCGCGGACCGTTTGGAGGTCGGCCGTCGTCGCCATGAGCGAGGCCTTGGTCGCCTCGAGAGTCGCCGTTGTTGTCGCGAGGTCGGTCGTGAGACTGGCGATCGTCGCGTTCTGGGCCGCAATCGATGCATCCTTGTCGCTGACGACGACCATGAGCGCCTTGAGCTTGGCGTTGAGGTCATCAATGTCGGCCGTATACTTGGCGTGGAGGCTCTCCGTCTCCTGCGCGTGCTTGGCCGAGAGGGCCGCGGCGGCATCGTTGTGCGACGCAATGATGGACGCCAGCTTGGCGTCGTGGTCGGCGAGGAGCGCGTCCGTGGCCTTGGCGTGGTCGCTCTTCAAGCTCGACGTCGTTTCGAGCAGGTGCGTGTGGAGATCTTCCGTCGCCTTCTTCGAGTCGTCGAGGCGAGCATGCAGCTCCTTGGTCGCGACGCTCGACTCGTGCTCGGCGCGATCTTTCCGCAGCACCGTCTCTTTCAGCGTGAGGTTGTCATAGGCAAACCTACAAAACCACCGAATTCAGACGTTAGAGGCAGGGCAGAATACGGACGGTTGACGATACCGTTCAACGTTCATCTTTTCGGCGGCGAGCTGCGCTTCGAGCTCGTGGATGCGCGCTTCCGCGTCCTTGGCCTAGCGTTGTGTGTATGAGGCATGGCGATTGGCACATGGAATCGCCTACCGCGGTGTCGTTGTACATGGACGCGCTGCTGGACGTGCGCGACAGTTGCGGCTTGGCCTTGGCAAGCGGCGCCTTGGCCGGCGACTTGGCCGACGTCTCCATCTCTTGCAGCAGCAACGGCAGCGTGTTGACGAGGCGGCGCATGTCAATGTCTTCGTACTTGGGCAAGAAGAGCTTGAGCGCGTCGAGCTCCTTCTTGGAGACGAGGAGCCGCGCGCCACCCTTGCAGGTGACGACGAGCACGTCTTGGCTTGCGCCCGCGTTCACGAGCTCCGTGGGCGCCATGCTGCCTTGCGGCTGGTACTTCTCGTAGAGCACGGGGTGCATGGGAGAGGGCTGCATGATGGTCGGTCGTCGGTCGTATCAGAGGAGCGCCGCCGGACCGGAAATGACCACTTGGCGTAACCACTGGCAATCGCGTTGGCTGGCAATTTTATTCGCGTTCCCGAGTATACAAACTCCTAGTGGTCGCGCATCTACGTCGATCGTGGCTCGCGCGAGAGAAGCTCGCCACGCGCGCTGATTGGCGCATCCTTCATCCAAGACGCCTTTTTGGCCAATCAAATCGCGGTTTGTAACACGTTTCTTGGGTTGGCGCCTCGGAGACGAAGAAGGGGAGAAGCAGAAGAGGGGGATCAGCTGAGCCGCGCTAGCTTCCCGTCACATCCGCGCCACTTGCGGATTGCAGCGGCCTCGGATGATACTCGAGCGTCACGCCTCATCGATCTCGCTCCATCTCGCTCCATTTTACCGATTTATCGATCGATACACTTGCTATTTATGCACCCAGTCATGAACGCACGAGCGCCGACGATGGCTGCTCAAAGACAAGGCGGCGGCAGCGCTGCGTAAGGACGCCCTGCCCAAATGTTGAAGGCCTGTCATCTCGAATTGGGTGGATGCTTGTCAATGCTCCGACCTCTGAAAATGAATAAGTTGTTCCCGCCACGATGGGCGGCTGTTTACCAATTGCTACAGTGTATGTTGGCATCGTTGGGTGGCTTCTTCCGATATGTTCGTCCTTGTATGCCGGGTGGTGTTCGCGCCGAGACGGGGGCGACGTGAAAGCGAGATGTTCCCACCCGCTTTGCAAGGGCTTTGCCGTCGTACAGTAAATGGGAGGGGTCATAGTAGGACCCGCCATGCTATTTCGGCGAAATGGCTTCTTGGCTATGTCGTCAAGCTACTATTTGGCTACCAAACGTCAAGGCTCTTGAAGGTCGCCTCGGAAGGAGCTCCACGTGGCGCCGACGCGTTGTTATGAGCCCATATATACGACCTCGATCGGCACGATACCCATTCTACTGGGTAGCCGAGCTCGTCCCAGCCAACCCTGGGTAGGTGTCGTTTCAGTCACGGCGGCCATCGTCACGACCTTCGATCTTGGTCGGAAGCGTATCTGACCACCTCGGGCGGCGAAGCGGGGACATGTGAAGGTGGTTGGACGAGCTTCAGAGCGGAAGGCGCTTGGCGATCCGACAGAATTCGCTCCAGATTGATGTTCTGGAGAACCTCCGAGCGCAAGCGTACGTATTCGTCTCAGTCTACTCTCCTGCCATCGGCTCTAGGGCGTTCGTAGTGTTGTGTTTCATTTCTCTAACGTCGACTACTGTGGGGCTGGGGCCGTCGCGTCTACGCAGCCAAAAAGAACGCGCGGTCCATGTACCAGTCCCATCGCTGCAAGGCTACGGCGTGTTGCGGTTGGATGAGCAGCCACCTCGTACCTCTCTGTCGAGACTTGTGGCCCATTGCCCCACATTGCTTCGCCTCAGTGTCACGGGCGCATTGAAGTTGAGTTTAAGTTGAAGGCCGCATGTAATCGTATGCGTTTCGGTTCAATGCACGCGCAGCAGCACGGTGCATAAATCTGCTGCCGCGTGGCTGGGGCGCCCGGTACCGCGAAAGCGAGCCCTTAGCTACGTCCTTCGATAAGGTTGAGAGCCATCGATAGGATTCCTTGCAAGCATCGCCTGCACCGACGGTCGTATTCTTTGTCTGTCGCATGTGGACGCGACTGAAACGGCTCGGTCGACGGTTTCATCTTGGAGTGACGTTACTACTCGCATCATAGTGTCTAGCGCCTTGTAGACTCGACGAACGAAGACATTATCGCGCGCATGACAGCAATGTGTGTTAGTTCGTTCACACATCTCGAAACTCGGCATCTTTGATGACCTTGGTCCGCGACGACGATGGCGATGGGTGCAACAAGTCGATCGAGTCGCCTGTCGCGCTGTTGACATCTAAGAGAATGCATGAGACGACGCCAGCTCGACACACCACACCGTACATTGGAACTGCTGGTACGACAAGTCGTTGTTGGCATCAACCGTTGCTTTCACACGAACATAAGCACGTGACATTTGCCCGCCGACGGGGAATGAGGCTTGGATGACGCCGACACCGTTGACCGCTACACCCGTTAGTATGAGTTGACCTTGCCTGCAATGGCAATGGCGTACTCTGCTCGACGACCTGCTGCGGCGAAGCAACCTCGACGCTTGGGCCAAACTGGCGAGTGATCGCAGGGTGTCCTTGGAGCCGCTGGTTTGCAGCCTTTTGAATGGTGGCGATGCGTCCCATCGACTGTTTCATGGCGCCGCCCACGAGGCTGAAGAGGCCCGTCATGAGCCCTTGCAGCACGAGCGGCATCCCGGCGGTCAGCGGGTTGCCACCCCGGACCTTGGTGCGACCCAGGTTGTTAAAGAGAGCATTGTTCTTCGAGGACGAAGACCACGCACTGTTGCCGCCCCGACTGTCTCGGAAGGAGCGGTAGAGACCGTAGGCACCGAGGCCGACGACGCCCGTCACGACGACGCTGAGCGCAACTACAGCAACACTATCGATACATGGTCGCAAAAGCAAAGAAGTGTACCAGACGACACGACCACAAAGACGCCAACGCCGGCGGCCACGACCGCGCCGGCCTTTGCCTTGTCTTTCCACGTCGCATTGCGCCACTCGTCCCGGCTCGTGTACAGCGTGCGGACTGTCGTCGGCAACGGCTGCAGTGCGCGAGGCAAGCGACCCTGCGACGAGCGGTTCGCATGGTGCCACAGCTGGCGCTGCCCAAGCACGTTGGCTCGCATCGATGGAAGCAGCGCCGTGGCGCCGCGTCGCTGCTGAAGGAGGCGCAACATCGTTACTGGCCAGCTGTGCGTCGGGTGGCGACCATCATTCCGGGACCAGCAGTCTGGTCGCAATGTCCTGACCAATCGCGGCAGAAAGGACGAATGAGCGGGCTTCGCACCGGGGCGTCGGCGTGGTTCCAGAAGGTTCGCCGACGCTGCGCGTGTCCAGCGTCTCACGCCTGTGGATAGGAGATCACGCTCAAAGCGCCGTCGCGCGGCTTCCACCGTACGCTGCCCGTCGTCGTCTCCCACATTGTTCTGACGTCGATTCACTTTTAGTTGTGACCGATGAAGTGTACAAGCAAGTAGGTGGAGAGGCGGCCTGAATCTTTCTAAGCATGCGTAGATCCCTGAGATCCGCCACTTCTCCGTGGGCACGGCGACACTCTTTGTCAAGCACACGTCGGCGTCGCTCTCGCTCAACGAAAACTGCGACCCGGACGTTCGGTAATATGGGCGTCATTCTTGCGTCTCGCTCATGTGGCGGCGCATTAGCATCGACATGGAAGGCGCGATGAACCGCATTGTGCCCGAGAGCTGGAACCGGTGATCCAATTGCAATCCGAGGAGCAAGGACTGAGATGTAGTATGCGCCAGGGAGTTTTTCCGCCACACGATGGAGGGCGACGGTACGCCATCGAGAAGCGTCCCTGCAGCCTCACGATGCGCTAGACGATATGCCGGCGCACATCAAGTCGACGCTCATCGGCGCTTCCATCACGGTGCCCGTTTCGAATGGCAAGTTCAACCTCGGCACGTGGCAAGGTAGGCCAGATGATGATGATGATGATAGATAGATAGATAGATGGGATAATGCTTTCTCCTACATTGGGATTAGGCATCTACTTGTGCGAACACCGCGATGTGGGCGGCTGGGGCAACGGCCACAACCGCAAGATCGTCGTGACCATCAACGGTCTCGCGACCACTTAAGGCCGCAACGGCGCTATCTCAATGACGCCGTTCTCCATGGGCTTGTCTTGATTAGTTCGTTGGGGCCATACACCCCCTTGTTGAGCCGCGTGAGCGCGTAGACACTTGTATTGGGACCCAAGAGCGTGCACGGATCGGTCGCGGCATTGCAGCCGAGCTGGCTGCGATCGCCAAGGACGACGCCGATCTTGCGACGTCCCGTGTCGTATGTGACGCCGTCGACGTCGATGCACACGCCGGTACCCGCCGATGGCGCCAGGAGCGTCAAGTTGGCCGTTGACACTTGGTTGGCGAAATGGCTCTTGTAGCCGCAGAGACTGTCCCCGCAGTAGCCTACGCAAAGAAGACTGGCGTCCTTTTCAAAGCAGTCGAGTCGACGATACCAGGGTGGCAGAGCTCAGCGCGATCCATGATGAGTGCGTGCTTGACCTCGCAGCGCAGCACGACGTGGTCGCCAATGAGCACGTCACCGCGCAAGTACGCGCCATGACGCAGCGTGCAGCCTTCGCCAATGATGGCGGGGCCTAGCGGACGAAACTAAGATTTCTTATTTGCACGGCATTTGGTTCACCTTTGATGTACACGTGGGGCTCGATGACGGTGTTGGCGCCGACAAAGATCGACCCCTCGGAGACATCAAAAACGCCACCCATGACGCGGACCCCGCTCTCCAGAACGAGCTGCCGATCAGGATGGCTGCTGTAGTTGAAGATCGAGCAGTGCTGCAGCACCGCAGTATTCTCCGTGCTGACATGGACCGTGGCATCATCAGCGCCGGTGCACGGCATGATCGACGTCGGGCGCTCGAGCGTCTGCGAGGCCAGCCACGATGTGATGTAGGCCTGCAGCTTGTCAAGCACGTTAAAGACGCTCGGTGCATTGTCGAAAATGGCGCGATGCGTGAACTGAGCGATCTCGGTAAAGTAGAAGCTCGGGCGCAGCACTTGGGGCACGTCGGCGGCTGCCAGGGTGGCCAACCGGACAACGTGCTTCTTCTTGGCGAGCGTTGGCACTTGCGCGTTGTTCTTTGCTGGCGACGATGTGGTAGCAGGTTGCTGTGCAGCTGCGTGGGTGTAGTAGACGCTAATGCAGGCGCAGACGACCGAGCAAGCAGCCGCTAGAGCTGCGGTCGCTGGCGCTGGACCCGACATTGCACAAATTGCTCAATCTATCCGGATAATCTTGTGGCAGAACCGTGATGGGATTGGCTTAAATTACAAAAAGGTCGCCGCCTGGTTGGCTGTTACCAAATCAAACCGATACTGGATTGGACAGGTGGAATGAAATGTGGCCAACTCCGTCGTGACGTGGCACGCGTGTCGACAATCTTGTCGTGCACGTCCCCGTTGGCAGCCAGGTACACAGAGCTCAAGCTCTTTCTTCAGCGCTATAGAGCACTCAGATTGTGAGCGCTAAGATCTCCAAGAAACGACATGTATCGACACCTTGACGACATCGTTGCCGTCAGATACACCTGTCTGTAGCAGCTTGTTGGCTTGCTGATGGCCTCCATCAATTGCCAACACGCTTGCAATGGCCGCAGCGGCCTGCGACGACCCTCCACACTTTCCCGTGTCGCTGGTGCAATAAGCTTATATCCTCTACGTACATGACCTCACAGTATAGCGCATCGCTCGTTTTCCGGTGAACACTGAGGCTGACTCCTCTCGGACTCGGGTGATGGTGGTGCTTATACGCTTGGTCCACGTGGCATCAAGACCACAGAGACATGCTAGCATGCGCAGATTTCGGACTGCGAGCCACCACGCCTAGCCTGACGCCGAGCCGACGCGCTGAAGCCGTCCAGTCCGCAACAAGCGAACAGTGCAAATTCAGCAGATATTTGGCGCCGACGCTATTTTTAAAATACCTTGCAAACTATATGGCTCGTGTTCCAAAACAATAGAAATACACGTGCTCAGCCAGAAGATCTTCCAGGGTATGGTCTCTGATGATATTTTAATACATTTCTTACAAATCACAAGAGCATTTAATAAAAACAAACAATGCATCCAACGCCTGTCTTCTGCGTGCGCTTTTCTCACGACATTGCACTTGGTTTAAGTATACGTGGCGAATGTGTCCCACGGTGTGATACGAACCAATTTTTGGTTCATTGGCAACGATGGCAACGACGTCCGACTTCTTCATGCAAGGACCCGAGTCGGCGACGTCGCCGACGAAGAAGCTGCTTGCGCACCCAAGCGCGGTCGCCCGCCACCTCCAGCGCCGCCGCAGCACCGCGGCCAACGCACCGGTCTTCAACGCGCCGACAACGTCCTTCCATGCGCCGATGCGCCACTCGATCGGACTCGATGGCCGGAACCCCGAGCCGATGGCCGACCGCGCGCCGTACGACATTGTGTGGGACAACGCGTTCTTGGGCCTTGTGTTCCGCTGCAACTCGAAGAACCAGTGCATCATCCGCCGCGTGGATTCGAACGCGCCGCCCGAGGTCGCGCACGTCGCGCATGTGGGCGACGCACTCGTTGCGTACAACAACGAGCCCAACCTCAACTTTGACATGATCATGGAGCGGCTGCGCAACCCGCGGTTCCCGGTCACGCTCTCGTTCGCGCCGCCGTCGCAGGCGCTGCCCGTGTCTCGCCCGCCGCAGCATGGACGCCACAGCCTCGAGCTGCCACGAACACTGCACATTGAAGTCCCGCGCGGCACGCCGTCGATGATTCAAAGCGACGTGAGTGGCAGCGTCATTAGCTCGGAAGACAACGACGCCATGTACTCGACCTTTGAGGTCGTGTGGAACGAAGGCACCCGCCTCGGCGTCAGCATCATCAAGGTTGGCGCGTTGCCGTCGGTCAAGGAGCGCGTCGAGCGGCCCGCCGACCCGTCGCTGGCGCAAATCCAGGCTGGTGACCAGCTCGTGGCGATCCAGGGCGTCAACACGCTCGACATCGGGTATCAAGCGTCGATTGTGCTCCTTCGTGACACACGCAAGCCCGTGCGGCTTATGTTTCGCCGGCTGGTGTCGTCGCGGCCCGACATGAACGACTCGGTCTTGTCGCAGCCAGGGCCGCCACCGCGCGAAACCGAGTACTCGCTCGTGTGGGAGTCGGGTCCACTCGGGCTCACCCTCAAGAAGGACAAACTCAAGAACGAACTCATTGTCACCAAGCTCCAAGACGAAGGCCTCGCCGCGCGCTCCAAGCTCCTCTCGATCGGAGACATTCTCATCTCGATCTCCAACGTCCAAGTCGTCGACCTTGGGCTCCGCGGCACAATGGCGTACCTCAAGGCAGTGCCCAAGCCCGCCGTCCTCGTCTTCCATCGCGTTGCAGGCACCGACCTTGACGCCTCGGTCTCGAGCCGCACGTCCATCTCGAGCCGCACGTCTATCTCGAGCCGCGTCTCGTCCGTGCACGAGCCGCCGCCCAACACGCCGCCACCTGCGTACGGCATGCCCGTGTCGCCGCCCGCGTACATTCCACCGGTCGTCGTCTCCAAGCCCATGTCACCACCGCCAGCGTATGCGGCCATCATGCACCAGCGGTCGTCGCAGGTGGTCGAGAGCATGGCCACACTTGCGCTCACGCCGACCGAGTCGAGCGAAACCATCGACCAGCGTGAGCCGCTCTCGTTTGCACCGAAGAGCTACCGCGCGCCGGTTGTCATCGCGCCCGTCTCGGGACGCTCGACGTACTCGGACTTGGACGACTCGGGTCTTGTTATGGGCGTCGACATGCCGCCGATGTCGACGCTGCCTGGTCCCGGCACGGTCAACGTCGTGTGGTCGGGCGGTCCGCTGGGCCTTACGCTCAAGGCGACGGGCACGCGCGTCACGATCAGTCGTGTCACGGGCAAAGGCGAGGCCGGTGGCCTGGACATGCTTCGCGCCGGCGACATTCTCTCGGCAATCAACGAGGTCGAGGACCTCACGCTCGAGTCGGCGACGATCATGCTCAAGACCCTCGAGAAGCCCGTCTTTCTGCGATTCACGCTGCAACAAGTGGAGGAGGAGCTGTAGATAGTAAATGACCGTGATAATTTAGTCCTATTTTAACAGCCTACGACGGGCGCAACGTCACTGTTTCCTGACTGCTCGTGCGTTTGGGTAGCTCAAGACGCGCCACGATCTCAAGGACGAGTGTGCAATCGAGAGCTGTGGACTCGATTGGGGCGGAACGAGACGATCGTTGCCGCTTGCCCCGGCGTACTGGCACACGATGTTGTCGCCTGCTTCCGTGGCAATCATCTTCCTGGCTGAAGCTTCTAGCCACAACACTGCGGATTGACGTGAACAAACTATCTACCGGGATCTATCTATCCATTGTATCGATCTCGTGGCGACCGATCTTGAGCCCTTCCGCCAATCAGCGATAACTTGAAGTTGTGCTTCATCGCTGATTGGTGGATTCTTGACGTGGCTGATCACAAGTGTCATTTTTCGATGGAGCGCAGCCCCCTGCTGGACGCTCGCCAACCACTGACGACGACGTTGGCGAACCGCTCTCGCCTCGGACGCCTCGAGAAGATGGCCATCGCCATCGGCCTCATCGCCGCCCTCTCGATCGGCGCCGTCGTCTACTCGGCGCAGCACGCGTCGGTGGCGCCAGCGCTCGCCGCCAACACGGCTCCTGCCACGCCAACCATGCCCACGGCCACTTCACAAGCGACGCCGGTGGGCGACTTTTCCGGCGACTTGCGCCAGCGCTGCGTCGAGTCGTACTACGAACAGACGCTCAACCATTTTGAGGCGACGGCCGAAACGTACCAGCAGCGCTACTTTGTGTGCAGCGAGTTCTGGAACCAAGAATCGCATGGCCCCATCTTCTTCTACGTCGGGAACGAAGCCGACGTCGAGCTGTACTTGAACCACACGGGCTTGATGTGGGAGAACGCCCACGAGTTTGGCGCGCTCCTCGTCTTTGCCGAGCACCGGTACTTTGGCAAGTCGCTGCCGACGAACGCGACGCAGCGCCTCCAGCACCTCTCGTCCGAGCAGGCCCTCGCCGACTACGCCGTGCTGCTGCGGCACATTCAAGCGGCGCACAATGCCTCGTCGAGTGCGGTCATCGGCTTTGGCGGCTCGTACGGCGGCATGCTCGCGACCTGGTTCCGCCTCAAGTACCCGCACATCGTCGACGGCATCATTGCAGGCTCCGCGCCCGTCCTCGCGTTCCTCGGCGAGACTCCGCCGACCAACGTCTCGGCCTTCTCGCAGATCGTGACGTTTGACGCGACGCCGGACGCCGGCTCGTCGGCCAACTGCGCGACCAACGTGCGCCGCGTGTGGGACGTCATCTTCAACGCGTCGAGAACCGAGGACGGACGGGCAGCGCTGCAGACACACCTTGGGCTCTGCGACCCGGTGGCCACCGAAGCCGACGGGCGCGCGCTCGCCGAGTGGGCCAAAGCCGCGTACGACTACCTCGCGATGGGCAACTACCCGTACCCGAGCTCGTACATCATGAACGGCGTGAGCGTCCTGCCCGCGTACCCTGTCCGCGCGGCCTGCGCGCCGCTCGCGCCGTCGTTCCCGTCGACAGCCGACGGCAATGTCGCGCTCTTGGACGCGCTGCGGGAGAGCGTCGGCGTCTACTACAACAGCACCAAGGACGTGCCGTGCTTTCCGATGGGCCAGCCCTCCAACGAGAGCCAGATCGACGGCGAGTTCTGGGACTACCTCTTCTGCTCCGAGCTCTACATGCCCCAGGACCAGGGCAACGGCCTCGACATGTTCTGGACGGTCTTGCACAACGTGACGGCCGACGCCGAGCGCTGCGCGGCCACGTGGAACGTCTCGATGCGCCCCGAGTGGGCGACGACCGTCTACGGCGGCCGCAAGGCGCTCTCGCATGCGAGCAACATGGTGTTTTCCAACGGCAACTACGACCCATGGGCCGGCATGGGGGTGCTCGAGGACCTCAACCCGACGGTCGTCGCCGTTAAGGTCGAGGGTGGCGCGCACCACCTCGACCTCATGTTTAGCCACCCGCTGGACACGCCCGCCGTGCGCCAAGCCCGCGCGACCGAGAAGGCCCACATGTGGAAGTGGGTCCGGGAGGCCCAACCGTAGCGAACGCAACGAAATCGCTGTAACCGAGGATGCAATTGAAAGATGGTCTGTACAACGGGCAACCTTGGCTCGCGCGGTTGACTTGGCCGAGGAACTCGGCGTACGAGTAGGTGCCACCGTTGAAGCTCGCGCGATCTTCGACGAGCTTCCAGAAGAAACGACCTTCCCCCGGCGCCCCCTCGCGCAGCACGTGGAGCTTGAGGAAAGCGGGGCGGTCGTGGCGGATCGCCGAGAAAATGTTGTTGAGGCGCGTGCCGAGGTCGTCTGTGGGTTCGACAACCTGGAGTTCGCGCGGGTCTACGCCATCAATGTTGTCGGTGCCAAAGAGGCTCTGGAGGAAGCGAGGCGACACGTTGCGGCCGAGCCAGAGATGCAGCGAGACCGTGTCGTCGAGCAAGAACGCGCCTTCCGTGTTGAGGCGATCCACCGAGAGGTTGACCACCGGCGGCAGCTGAATCTTTTGCGCACCGGCCGTCGTCACGCCTGGCGGAAGCTCGCCCTCGACCACTGGCAGGCCGGCTTCTTGGGGCATCTCGAGGAGCGAAAAGAGGCGCGGGTAAATAAACGTCCGGGACAGCGTCACCGAGAGGTTGTTGAGCGTATACTGCCACGCCGAGCGCTCGTCCGAACCGATATCGTTGCCGCCACGGAACGCTGGGTTCTTCATGAGCGACATCTAACGCATGGAATCGCATGTCAATCCAAGACTATATCCACACAGATGGATCCACAACGTACAATGTACAGCGGCAGCAACTGCAGCGACTCGGGCAGCTGCAGCTGGTAGCCCGTGCTCGGGTTGGCTCCGTACGCGCCGCTGGTGCGGTATGCACGCGCAATATCCGCCGCGATCGTCTGCAGCTTGGTGCGCGCCGTGTTGAGCCCGCTCTTGAGCGCGACCTCGAGTGCTACAAGCATCCATCCGCGATAGTACAATGCATCAATCCACAGCGACAGGTCGAGGTACCGTTCTTGGCGATCAAATTGCACATGGCGTCGACGTCGACGGACCGAAACACTTCGGCGTACACTACATGGCGCCCAATAAGCTCGAGTTGACTGGAAGAGCGTACGCTTGGTGACGGGCACGGCGAGCGTGTGCACGCGAATACGGCGCTCGCCACACGACGTGGTGTAGAGCAGCGCCGACTGGACGCAGATGACGCTGGCCGTCAAGAGCGCGTCGTTGTGCTCGAGCTCGATCGCAAAGGCGGCGTCGCGATGGACGTTGGGGAGGGCGAGGAGGTCCGGGCCGCGCAAGAACGAGTTGCCGTAAAAGTTGGAGAGGCGCATGCCCTTGGTCGCACGGACGCGCATGACGGCCTCCCACCCCGTCTCGCGCGTCAAGCAGTGCCGCAATTCGGCGGCAAACTTGTCGCCATCGCTGGGTGCGGAGAAATTCGGGTAGTAAAACACTTGGCCGGCCGAGTACTTGGACATGCACCCGAGCGACGCAAAGTCCGTGTACTGCGGCGCAAAGAGGAACGTGTCGACGCTGACTTGCTGCCGGCAAAACTCGATCGCGTTCTTGCGGTAAAACCTAATAGATGTCGTGAGAGACATGATCAACAGGAGTCGTGACGCGTACGTGTCGACAGCGTTGAGCAAATTGTGCTCCTTGTCCGTGCCAAGGAGACGCGTATCTTCGCGGTGCTTGAGCGCGCCCTGGCCCGCTGTCGGGAGCGAGCTCTGGAACACCAGCATCTTGCCGCCCACCGATGTCTACGATACGAAATATGAGATCTGATGGTGCCAAGGAAGTGATGCCGCACCATGAGACGGAAGGCGGCGCGGATGGCCGGGCCCAAGCACGTGTCGGGGTTGCGCGTGCCTTGGTGCATGCGCGGCAGCATCTCCAGCAAGCTCTCGATCACATCCCGCGAGTCACTATTGAAACGAATCAGTCGGATGCTGACACGAGGTATAAAGTCCACCTGAGGTTGACGAGGAGCTCGTCCGGGATCGGAATGAAGAGCTCGTTGATGTCGGGGACCACCATCATCTGCGGCGTCTTCAAGCCGGCCTTGAGGTTATAAAATGCACCGCGCTGTCATAAGTAATCAGGCCAAAGCGTGTGCGCGGATCGCCCGGAAGGCTATCGAGCTGCGACTGGATTGTTTCGGCAGCCACTTGCACCATGCCACTCGCAATGGCCTGCGCCGAGACGTCAATGACAAAGACGTAGACGGGCGGCGTCGGCGGTCGCATCATGTACTCGGAGGATGCAACGATCTCGACACTGCCGCACAGCTCCGGGCGCTAAATCACATGTCAGCAACGCCGAGCGCGAGGCAACGCACCTCGTCCTTGTCTTGGCGCTGTCCGTCCGGTCCCAAATGGCAAAAGTACGAGCTCGGCACTAGGATTATGAGACCAAGTCGATGGTGGTCGGGTGCGTACCGTCGTTGGAGACGCCGCAGAGGTTGCAGCGCCACCGGCGGCCATTGTCGACCCACTGCACGAACGGGTTGATGTACGTCCGGCACGACTTGCAGCGGACAACACCCGTCGCGCCAAAGTTGACCACCGGCAGCTACATGAGGCATGAGCGCGCGATGAATAGTACGATGACCGACCTCCTTGCCGCCTTCTGGCTCGGCGAGGGGCTGGATGATGACACCCATGGGAAGCGCCGACTTGGTTGCGTACTCTTGCGAGTGCGGGAGCGCGTTCACCGTCATGCGCATGAAGCGAGGGTCGCACTGCGCCGCCAAGGACGCTTCCGAGATGGCACCTGGAGGCGGCATTTGCTGGGGCGCGCCATACCCGCCCTGGTGAAAGTCACCACTCGGAATCCCGCCCTGTTGCGCCGGTGGGTACTGCCCTTGCGGGTACTGCCCCGGCGGACCAGGCGGACCTTGGTTCATCGGAGCGCCCTGGTACATTGGACCAGGCGGGCCTTGGCCCATCGGTGGGCCTTGACCCATCGGCGGCCCTTGACCCATTGGCGGACCCTGCCCCATTGGCGGACCCTGCCCCATTGGGCCAGGCGGGCCACGTGCCATGGGTGGGCCTTGGTGCATAGGACCGGGGGGACCTTGATGCATAGGGCCTGGGGGACTTTGATGCATAGGGCCTGGAGGACCTTGATGCATGGGACCGGGAGGACCTTGATGCATGGGACCGGGAGCACCTTGATGCATGGGACCGGAAGGACCTTGATGCATGGGACCGGGAGGACCTTGGCCAGGCGGACCCGCTGAGCCCACAGACATCCGGTTGAACGCGCTGTTGAGGCCAGCATCCGGGCCAGGTGCGCCCACTTGAGGGGGCCCTCGCGGCGCCGCACCAAACTGCGGAGGCGGCACTCCCATCTGTGGCGGGCCGCGCGCAGGGCCGCTGTACTGCTGCGGTGGTCCTTGGGCGGGAGCACCATACTGCTGCGGGGCTGCGACCTGCGGTGGTCCACGCGGGCCGCCGAACTGCTGCGGAGGTCCTTGACCAGGAGCGCTAAACTGCTGCGGTGGCGCTTGACCGGGAGCGCCAAACGATCGCGGCGCGGCCGGGTTGAAAGGTTGTGGTGGGCCGCGGGCGCCAGCCGAGTTTGGCTGCTGGAAGCCACCAGGTGCAGGCGGCGGCTGGCTCTGGCCTTGCTGTGCTGGGTTGAACGGGCGGAAGGCACCTTGGCTGCCCGGCGGCTGCGAGTTGAACGGTGGATTCATGTCCCTCGTCTCAAAGGTATGCACTTGGCGATCTCTACGTACGCCCCCATTAGCACCTCGATCGAGCTACGTTGGTTGATCGTAGCACGCAGGCTCATGCTGCATCCATCGGCCAGGCGCGTACCTCGTGCCAAGCTCGACTTGGGGTCGCCGTTTGCGTTTTGCGTTCGTGGTGGAGTATTAGGAGAGATCTTTTTCTAGAGGTTTTATCGAATTTCACGGGCACCAGCCCCCTCCTGTATGAAATGACTGCGGTGTCAAATGGGCTTGGGGCCATTTCATTGGTCCAGGCCGTGTGTGCAAACAATATAGACCAATCAGATGCGTACAAGTCGCCAGGCAAACAATAAGATCCGAGACACGGCCCAGCAGCCGCGGAGAGCGCCACGCGCTGCGGCGACGATCCGCCATCGCCAAGCCGTGCGCAAGATGGCAGCCATCATGCTGCGTCGTCCTGGGAGCATGGAAGATCGAAGCTTACACCCTTGAGTATACCCGAAGGTGATGCTACGTGATGCGTGGCGTGGGCAGAGCGCTGCTGCTATAGACACGGTCGTGCTCGGAAGCGCATGCAAGCCAAGGAGGTCGAGATCACGTGTGGCCACCAGGCTCACACCAACTCTCCAACAAGTCGTGGGAGAGAAAACAGGATACCTCCACGTTGGTAGACTCTTGGACAGCTCGCGATGACACATCGAGCACCGTAAAGCGTGCTGAACAATGCGTCCAGCACAGGTCTTGAGTAGAGGGAGAGAAACCACAGGTATAGTTCGGTTTGTCACTTCATTACATCGCTTAATGGTGGTCCACTCCACGTTGTCTCCCCGTGAAGGGTACCGCGATGGGTAGTCCAAGAGTCTTGCACACCGCTAGAAGAAGGCGCAAGCGCACTTACTTCTTGACAGCGGCCGCCTTGACCTCAGAAGCCTTACGGCTGCTGCGGCGCTTGGCGATCTCCGAGGCACGGCGGTCCTTCTGCTCCTTAACACGCTACAGTGCCAATGGTGAATAAGGAGCAGGAAAAAGCCCCGAGGAAGACAAATGTTAGTCGCTTTCCTGATGGAGCGGAAGGAGAGAGGGCGGCGTACCTGGGTGTAGAGGCGCGAGTACTCGGCGGCGTCGCTCTTGACCTTCTCGCGCTGCGAGAGCTTGCGAGCGGCGATCTGGCGCTTGTGGTGGAGCGTGCGCGGGGTGACGAGGCGCTGGATCTTGGGGGCCTTGTCGTTCTTCTTGCCCGTCTTCGAGTCGAACTTGCGGCGGATGACGTACTTGCGGACATCGTCCTCCTTCGACAAGTTGAAGAGCTTGCGGATGTTCGAGGCACGCTTGGGGCCGAGGCGGCGCGGGATGTGGCCATCCGTCAAGCCGGGGACATCGTTGTCGCCAGCCTTGACGACGACGAGGTTGAGGACCGAAAGATCGGGGCCGACGATGCAACCGCGGACCGACTTGCGCTTGCGCTCACCCTTGCGGCGGGGGCGGTAGCACGTCTTGCCCTTCGAGAGAAGGAGGCGGGCGCGGCCGTTGGTGAGGACACCCTGCTTCATGGGGAAACCCTGCTTGTCGTTACCGCCCGAGATGCGGAAGACGAAGCCCTTGAACTCCTCGCCGAGGTGCTCGCCATCGACTTCCTGCGCCATGCGCTTCTCGTAGAAGGCGCGGAGCTTGAGCTCGTCATCGCATTCGATGACCTTCTGCATCCCGGTGTGGGGGTTAGCGATGTTAAGCTTCATGGTTTGAGTGACTACGGAAGGAATGAAGCATGAGGCGCGTGTTCATAGAGGGCCAGGGGCGCAGGCGTCTACTTGGGCGCCAGCTCCATGGGGCTGCGAGGTTTCTTACCGCTAAGACAAACGGACAATGAAAAGCACCGGGGGCGCTGCCTACTTTGACACCAATAAATTCCATGCCACTTCGAAGCCAACCATTCATTTGGCTGCAGCCAATCGCAAGGGAGAACAATTCCACCAATCGCACGTGAATGTATTATTTTTCATCCAATCAGAGCTCAAATTGAAATGCACCAATCACGGACGAGATTACACGCGTGACAACCAAGATGGACCCTCGCCGCCGGCGCTCGGACGCGTCTTGCTCGAAGCGATCAAGGTGATGCGAGCTCTACCGTAGGACGACGAATAAAGTGAGCCGGCTTCGAGACTTGTGTATGGTTGGAAGCATGAATTGTGTCTACATGTAAGGCCGATGCTGGCGCGGGGAGCTGTTGCCAGCAAGCCAGCGATGCACAGATGCACACGGGAGATGCTACGCTGGTAGCTCGAGAGCCCATTGGAAAAGGCAGGCAAGCACATGTAGGCTAGCTTCACTTCTACAGAGTCCTCGTACACGTGGCGAGCGAGCAAGGACTTGCGGCGTGGGCTTTGAAATGCTTGCGCCGTCTCTTGGCAGTGAGTGTGTTCAAATCCATAGTGGTGTGCGAGTCCTCCTTCAAAGGCGTCCAGGCGTGTACAGCTGATGGCGGGACCTTGGGCTGTTGCGGTAACGTTAGCAGCAGTAGCATGGTTGAGAAATATCTTGGATTGCACTTGGCACAAACATGGGAACCTACGCGGCCCATCGCGCTTCGTGTCTGCTGCTCCCACTCGCCGTCTTGCATCATTGTAGATCCAGTTGACATTGCGAGGCTGCATTTTCTTTGACCAAATGATCGCGCAAAGCTCGGGATGTGGTTACACGTGTCGCCACGCCCTGCGTTGTGCCTGTCGGTACCTTGGACGTCCTGATCCAGGTCGTAGGCGCCTGTTCGCCGTCCCCGCTTAACTAGCGCGACGTACTGCAAGCGCCATGGAGCCCCACACTATGGATTGGCTCGATATCCGCCTTGATTTGCGCCAGCGTGCCGAGGATCGATGCATTATCCAAGGCCCCTCTACACAGTCCTTTCCAACGACACGGCCAACAACACGACCAACGACCGACGACGATAAGAGGGAGTCTAGCCTTAATCCCGGCGGCGTAACAAACAGTGCGCGTCCAGGTAGCAGTCATAAGCCTTGGAGGGCCGCAAACTGCGTGGACCGACCACGGATCTCGAGGCTGCATATGGATGCCAGACCTCATCCATTGCAGGCTGGACGAGCGCACCTCCAATGAGTGTCCATCCAGCTCCCTCACAAGACTAGTAGCACCTATATGGCTCATTCTTTCCTCTGTTCTGACTGCGAGAACACTAACAACTTATTCGATTGACCAACCGAGACGCGGGTACGCGGGCGTGCTTGCCGATAAGCCGTCGACATCACTTCTCTGCCGCATACCGGTAGTCCATATTTCAGCGTGGGCTTATCAACACGACCGCGGGTAGGATATGTAGAACCAAGGCAATCTATGGCCTTGGTAGAACTGATGTCCAGAACGTCGCGGTCTCGGTTTAGGACAATTCTGTACATGGTGCTGTAGACCGCTGCACTCGCTCGATCTGAAGGAGTTCCCCCTGAAGTCCCCTGAAGTTCGTTTGAGTTGAACTTTATCGGGAGCCAATCAGCGAAGCGGGATCCGAGACCAATCGTATTGGGCGCATTTCCATCGCCGCCGAACAATGGGGAACTCTGCCTCGACGCCTGCCGCGCCGCCTGCCGCTCCTGCTGCCGCCTGCCCCGTCAAGCACGAGGCTCCGGCGCCTGCTGCCCAAGGCGGCTGCCCCGTCAAGCACGACGCTCCGGCGGCCGAGGGCGGCTGCCCCGTGAAGAAGAAGGGCCCTGTCTACAACGTGTACAACCAAGAGATCGACCCGACCAACATGATGCCTGTCAATCCGAACCAGGAGCCCAAGGACGGGCAAAAGTACCCGCTCGACACGAACCGCGTCCAGTCGACCATTCCCAAGGGCGGCACCGAAGGCACGTGGTCGTACCCGTCGGAGCAAATGTTCTTCAACGCACTCAAGCGCAAGGGCAAGGGCGAGGACGTGCACGAAGGCCACATCAACACGATTGTAAGCATCCACAACAACATGAACGAACGCGCTTGGGAGCAGGTCGCGGCCTACGAGGAGATGTGCCACCCGGGCTCCGAGACGAAGCTGCTGCGCTTCATGGGCCGCCCCGACGACTTGACGCCCCTCGCACGCCTCAAGCTCCTTCTCGGGTACGACCATGCATCCTATGACCTCCTTGTTTCATGTTACGGAGCGTAGCCATGGCAAGCCGTTTGACCGCCACGACTGGATCGTCGTCCGTAAGGACAACACCGAAGTCCGCTACGTCATTGACTACTACTTTGACGAAGACAAGACGGCGGAGGACAAGGTGCCCGAGCTCCACGACGCGACGAGCGTCAAGTCCATCTCGATGTACGCGCGTCCGGCCATTGACGACATTGGCAGCCTCGTCGACCGCATCAAGTACCCGATCCTCGACTTTTTGAGCGGCCAGCGGACGCCCGTCTTCCCCAAGCCGTCGGCGCCGCAGGACGACGAGCCCGCGGTCACGGACAAGCTCTCGGTCGCCGAGGTTGAAGCGACGTTTGGCAAGATCCAGGCCAAGTGCCAGAGCTGCTTTGTCGACGTCAAGACGTGCGACTCGGACGAAAAGTGCGAAGCCGCGGCGACCGCGCTGCAGTTCTGCATGGCCACGATCTTATGCCAGCCGCAGGCCGCGCAGTTCTCTGCCGCGCTCCCCTCGGGCGACGACGCCAAGATGCAGGCGGCGTACGAGGCCATGGGGGCGTGCGTCGAGTCCTTCGAAGACCGCGCGCGCGATGCCATGGCGCTCCAAGCGCGCCTCGCCCTCGAGAAGAAGAGCAACGAATCGTAGTGTAGTAGCATTGTATAGACCGCTTAGCAAACAACCATCTCTACGCGTGTGTGTTGCGCTCACATCTCGTCCAAGTCGAGAATGTCCTCCTCGCCGTCGTTGTCGTTGTCGTTGTGGGTTGGCGCGTCTGTTGTCGCGTCGACCGACTCGGCAAAGTGGACCTTGCTCTCCTCGTCCATGCGGGCGCGGGCCTGCCGCTCGACCTCGGGACTTGACGGCTCGGTGGACGGCGACGGCGCCTTCGCCTTTTTGGTCGTGCGGCGCTTGAGTGTCACGGGCTTTGAGAGCGTCTTCGTCGCCGACGCGACGGGGGCAGCCACGTGCGAGGCGACAAACTGGTCGACGGCCAACTGCTCAAAGTACGACGTGTGCGGCGTCGCATGGAGTGTGATAACACCACCCTCGTCCTTGGACTTTTGAAAGAGCATAATGCGGTGGTCTCGCTTCGTAGAGGACGGCCAGAGCGACTCGACTGAAAGCTTGAGAATGCCCGCATCCGCCCACACAAACTTGGCTCCGCGGTGCGCGTGCATGAGGTCTTGGATCCATTTTTCTGGAATGCCTCGAGCTTCTTACCGGCTGCGCGGTACACGAGAATGCACGGCGCGGTCTTGGAGAGGCACCTGTCGTCGAGCTGCGCTGTTGTTTGGATCTCGTGGAGCTGCTTGGCGGTCTGCGCGAGGGCCTGCGCGGCCAGAGCGCGTGGCTTTTGCAAGTAGTTCAAGAAGAGCTAGCCACAAGGTACATATTTCTAGGAGGCCTCCGCGTCAAGCGTCGTACCTGCTTGGGCTTTTCGCCGTTCGCGACGGTAAACACGGTCGGCGAGATGTCGCGACGGATGCTAAACTTGCTAAAGACGCTCTTGCCCGACGGAAGGAGGTCGTCGCAGTCAAGGACACCGACATGCATTTTGCCGAGGAGACGCTCGGACGCCTTATCAAAGACCTCGGGCAGCACCGTGTCAGCGTTGGCGCAGAGCACGACCCACGGCTCACCAGACTTGAAAACGCGCTCGACGAGAGGCGCGTCGTCGAGCCGAATCTGGTGCAGGCGTGCCTCCGAAAAGCTAAACTGGATGAAGAAGCCGGCAAAGAGGGCGACGATGATGGAGCCGACGACCGAGAGCGCAAGCCAGTGGTCGCGCCACATGCGGTGCTCCATGAACATCTTGAGCTCCTTGGCATTGCTCGCGCCGCCGCTTCCTTTGCCACCGCGTGCCATGGCGTCAGCGAGGTGCGGGAAATGGTCAAAGTGAAAAACCACGCTGGGAATTCAATACAATACTCCAGTGACCTTGTTTCTCACGCCGTGCGATTTGAGTTAGCCAATGGCCTTACAGGATACGCCGACAAGCGACAGGATTGGTCCAAATTCGACCGTCGGCAACCGCAGATTGCCACGCTGCACACAACCAATTGGAGCACCGGGTTATTGAGCTAAATCCCACGCGTGTTTATGGCGCGACCCCGTCACCTCGTCCCGCCCAATTTGAACCCGTTGCGCAATTCCACCATGACTACCAACTCTCGCCCGACGAGGTGGCGTTGCAGAGTTGCAATGGGAACAAATACAGTCCCCGGTAACCAATTGCAGGACTCTGAAGAACCATTTCCGTCCATGTCCCTTTCAAGCGCCAGCGTGATATCAGCACTGCCAAGATCGCCAGGCATTCCTCGAGGGGCAGACCAGAGACTAGCGTAGAATGAACGCTGCTCTGCAGTTCTTGATACTACTCGTACATGGCTTGCCGGGTGCTTATGTTCGTTTGTGAGTCCGTTGCAACATGGAGCAAGTCGGCAGTCGCTTCGGGAAGGGACTGCTTCACGGATGCGATGGGCGTCATCGCGCTCGCGAATTCGCGAGTCCTCGGGATTTCACGTTTTTCACATTTTTCACGGCCTGTCCGTTCCAAGCCAATCCCGAGGCATGCCAGTGGATTTTTTATTCTGGCCAATCACAGCCTTGATAAGAGATTCCACGGAAACGATTGGTGGAAATCACGATCGGCGTGTTGAACTGACGTGCGGCGCGTCGAAGAATCTTCTGCGTGTGGAACGTGCGATCCAGAATATTATTTTACTGCAATCATTCTAAATACCATTGTTTTTGTATTGAGTTGCGAAAGGCGGACATTAAAAGACGCTTACATTTAATGCGAACCCATGCGATTGTCGTTCCCGACAGGTCATTTTGTGATCTTGAAGGTCGTTGCGAGGTAGAAGCACCCTGCGGAAGGAAGCGCCGAGGCTCATGGAGCTCTTCCTCGGCCCTTAGGTCCATTCTTCCATCCTCCGTCTCCACAGCATGAGCGACGATCGGGCTACGAGCTGCACCTACAAGCACCAGGCCTTGACCATCTTTGTCATTGGCGCGTCCGGCGACCTCGCCAAGAAGAAGGTGCGAGCACATGCCATGGTTGCCCATGCACCGACCTCATGATGTAATCCTGGCTAGACGTACCCGTCGCTTTATGACCTCTTTGAGCATGGCTTCTTGCCGCCACATACGATCATTGTCGGCTACGCGCGGTCCAAGAAGTCGGACGCGGAGTTCCGGGCGTTCATTGCCGGCTACCTCAAGACCAAGGACGAGGCGAAGAAGGCGGCGTTCTTGGACATGTGCATCTACCGCGCGGGCGCGTACGACTCGGCGTCGGACGTGGGCGCTGTCAGCAAGGAGATGAGCCTCCTCGAGAACGCGACCGGCTTTGAGATCAAGAACCGCCTCTTCTACTTTGCAATCCCGCCCAACGTCTTTGTGCCAATTGGCACGTCCATCAAGGCGTCGGCGCTCTCGAGCGCGGGCTGGAACCGCCTCATCGTCGAGAAGCCGTTTGGCCACGACCTCGCGTCCTTTAGCGAGCTCTCGCGGGACATGAGCGCGCTCTTCACCGAAGACGAGATTTACCGCATCGACCATTACCTCGGAAAAGAGATGGTCCAGAACCTCATGCTTCTCCGGTTCGCCAACAACACGTTCGAGCCGCTTTGGAACCGCAACTACATCTCGAGTGTCATGATTACGTTCAAGGAGGACATTGGCACGCAGGGTCGGGGCGGCTACTTTGACTCGTACGGCATCATCCGCGACGTGATGCAGAACCACCTCCTCCAAGTGCTCTCGTTGGTCGCGATGGAGCCGCCTGTGCGTGCGTCCGGCGCTGACTACTCGAACTTTGTGCGCGACGAGAAGGTCAAGGTGCTCGAGTGCATCGACCCAGTCTCGCTTGACAACACGGTGATGGGCCAGTACACGGGCAACGAAAAGGAGGTCGGGTACCTCGACGACCCGACGGTGCCCCAAGGCTCGGTCACGCCCACGTTTGCGACCGTCGTCATGAACATCAAGAACGCGCGCTGGGACGGCGTGCCCTTCATCATGAAGGCCGGCAAGGCGCTCAACGAGCGCAAGGTGGAGGTGCGCATTCAGTTCAAGCCCGCGCCCGGCGCGTCGCACATGTTTCCGGGCGCGGACATTCCGCGGAACGAGCTCGTGCTGCGTCTCCAGCCCAACGAGGCCGTCTACATGAAGACCAACGTCAAGTCGCCGGGGCTCTCGACCAAGGCGGTCGCCAGCGAGCTCGATTTGACGTACCACGAGCGCTACGCCGACACGTACCTTCCAGACGCGTACACGCGCCTCGTGCTCGACGTACTCCGCGGGAAGCAGGCGACGTTTGTCCGCGACGATGAGCTCAAGGCGGCGTGGAAGATCTTTACGCCGCTGCTCGACGAGATCGAGTCGAACCGCGTCCAGCCGATCCCGTACGCGTTTGGCTCGCGCGGCCCGAAAGAGTCGGACGAGCTCGTCAAGAAGGTCGGCTTTGAGTACCACAGCGGCACGTACACGTATGCGCGCAAGGGCTCGCTGCTATAAGCTCGCCAATAAGACTCTGTATCAACTAGCTGCAAGCATTCTCTTAGCCTACTGCGGCCATGATCCGCAAATCGTACTCGCGACGTAGTGGCGTGCGTCAATAGCATTGCAGAATGGCAGGGCGCATGGAGTTGCCGGAATGACATGCGGAGCGAGCTGCTGCCGAGGCGGTGGTCAGTGGTCAATGTGCCAGCTCAAGCACCGCGTTGCGCTGGCTGGTCTTGTCGCCGGAACCATCCAGCGTCGTATGCGATGCCCCTGCTTTACCAGCTTGCTACGCCGACGGCGCGATGCGTGCCCGCTGGACACCGGCGAGCTTTCGTCCGAGTTGCAGTGGCCGCCAGCCAGCCCATCGTTGCTGTGCAGGTTCTGGTACCTGTCTTCAGCTGCTGCTTCCGCCGAGACCGATCCGAGCCTGCATGCTGCATGGCAGCACGGCCACAGCGTGTACGAGCGGCGATCGTGGCGTGGCCGCGGGGTCGTCGATGGTCGTCTTTTTAGCCAATCAGAACGTAGGATCCTGGTATTTTTACAAGGTTGGCAAAAGCAGCATCAGCGCGGACGATGGCAGCAGCATGCGCCTGTCCCCGCGTGGCGCAGCTGGAGGAGGAGGTCGCTTCGTTGCAAAGCCAGCTGCTGCGCTACCGGCGCAAATACGGCAACCTCGACGTGCTCGAGACGCGCCGGTCCGTGCGCGAGACGCAGACGTCACCGACGCCGACACTGGCCTTTGACGCTGGCAGCGGCGCGACCCTCGTCTCGTCCTCGGTTGGCAAGCATGTCGTGCTCGACTACGTCGCTGACTCGCCCATGTTCCGGAAGAATCTCGAAGGCCTCGACGAGAGCATGAGCGGTCTCCGTAGCTTCATGAAGGAACTCCTCGGTCGGGCCAAGGACTTTGTCACGTCTGGAACCCAGTGGGGCGAAGCAGAGACGACCTTGGCGGGCATCTACTCGGCCAAGTACTCGCGGACGCTCTTCACGTCCTGCTACGCCGAGCTTGGCGACCTCTCGACGATCCTCAACGACTTTCACGACGCGCTGGCTCAAATCCAGAGCTCTCGCCACAGCTTCCTCCTCAGCGTCGACGCCCTTCTCTATGGCCCCGTCGAGCAATTCTGCGACGCCGAGCTCAAGCAGGCGGCCGACCTCCGGCGCGACGTCGCCAAGGCGGGCGAAGAGTACGAAGCGCTCCTCGGCAAGTCGCTGAGTTCGACGAAGCAGGCGCCGTCCTTCTCGACGCGCAGCGCGTCCTTCTCGCTCACGTCGGCGCCCGACTTAACGGACGACAGCAATAGCAATGAGACCGGCGACTCGGAGAAGGCCAAGGAGCTCATGCAAGCGCGCTGCAAGTTTGAGCTCGCGCGCTTCGACTGCGTCCGGTACTTTAACCTTTTGGACGCCAAGAAGAAGTTTGTGCTCGTCGAAGCCTTCAACTCGACCTTGTACTCGTACCTCGGGCACTTTCACGCGTGCCACGAGCTCGTCAAGAGCATCGAGCCGGCCCTTCGCGCGCGCCAGGCCTCGCTGCAGTTTGCCCGCGACCAGTTTGAGAAGGACGACCTGATGTGGACCAGCCAGCGCGCGCTGCTTTCGGACCGGCTCTCGTCGGCGTACCCGGCGTCGCTGCCCGTCGAGATTTTGTCGGTCGAGACCGCGGCGGGCCGGCGCCTCAACAAGACGGAGAAGCAAGGCTTCCTCATCGTGCGCAGCGGCATGTTTCCATCGAAGAGCTGGAAGCGCGTGTGGTTTCAGATCCACCAAGGCAAGCTCTACTCGATCAAGAACCAAAAGGAAATGGAGCTCAGCCTCGTCTCGGACCTCATGGTGTCCAAGGTCCGGCCGTGCGCGAAGGGCCTCCCCTTTAGCTTTGAAGTGCTCGACAACAACCAGACCAAGACGATTCTGCAAGCGACAAGCGAAGCCGATATGCAGTCGTGGATCGACGCTGCCCAAGAAAGCACCGAGAGCATGCTCGGGTTGCAAGCCCACCGAAGCGAGGTCGATCCTGCCCAGCCGCGCCTCGTACGCGAGCTCATGGACGCCAACGGTCAGTGCGCCGACTGCGGCACGAGCCCGAGCGAGTGGGTGTCCATCAACATTGGCGCCTTCCTCTGCATCGAATGCTCCGGTATCCACCGCAGCCTCGGCGTGCACGTCTCCAAAGTGCGGTCCCTTATCCTCGACTCTTGGGACGTGACCGTACTCGAATTACTCCGGACGCACCTCGGCAACGCGGCGGTCAATCGCGTCTGGTCGGACATGGCTCGATTCTTCTCGACTGCTTATGATCTACGATCTTAGGGAGGCATCGATCGCGCCGGGGTGGGTCAAGCCAACGCCCCAAGCGCCGCGCAACGAAAAGGAAAAGTGGATCAAAGCCAAGTACGAATTTTGCGGGTTCCGCGACCACGTCAGCGTGACGCCGTCGGACTTGCTTTCGGCGGCGGCCGCGGGCGACGTGCGCCGACTCATGCGCTGCCTCGCGCACGGCGTCGACATCAACGGGACAACCTCCGGCTCGAACGAAACAGCGCTGCATCTCAGCGCCAAGGCCGGGCACGTGCTCTGCTGCGAGTACCTCTTGCAGAACGGCGCGTCGCAGACGGTCGTGGACCGCGACGGTCGGCTACCGTCGGACGCGGCCAAGGTCGCCGGCCACGAAGAGATCAAACTGCACCTCTTGCAGCGTCTGCGCGAGTAGTCATAGGTACATAATAGTAGTAATTCTAGACGGACAATGTTAATGGGACAGCGACGGCTACACAGCGCTGCTCGGGTTGAAACGGGCTTGCAGAAAGACCTTGACGCACGCATTTTGAAACTCGGTAAAGTCGCCAATGCCGACGAAGCGCGCCATGGCTTGGCTGTGCAGCTGAATCGCCAACGCCATCGCCGCCGGCTTCTCCAGTACGTTGCCGTACACAAGCTAGCACCATAGTTAGGTATCCAGTGCAGAGATCCTATAGTACGTCGAACGCCTGCTGCCGGTGCTGCTCGGCTTCAAACGTGGCCAGAAGCGTGGCCAGATGGGCGCTAGTCCACTGCCGTCGCGCCCAATTCTCAAAGTTTGCGCTGTTACCGAGTAAAGTAGAGTCGCTGCTGGTCGTTCGTCTCGTCTTCGTGGCCAGGTCGTCGTCGGTGCGTGGGCTACTCACACGTACTACGAGACTGCGTCGCGCCGCCATCGGTATCGGTAGTACCCGCACGCGACCGAGAGGACGCGTTTCTGGTGGTCCGGGCGCGAGGTGCAATTGCTACGCGAGTCATTGGCATAGATGCCAGAAGAGATCGAAGGCACGAACCTCGCACAAGAGCTGAAAGGCGTCGTCGGATGCTGGCGCGGCCAGACCGTGGAACATCATGGCCGAGAAGACCAGTTTGCCCTACGCGCGTGCCACGTATGTACTGGAAGGTTGTATGTAATACCTGCGCCGGCAGCATCACGTGGGGTCGCAGGACATACGTCTTGTCATTGAGGGTCGTGTTGGTCCACACATAGTCGTGGGGCTCGGCGATCGAGAGGCGGCGGAGGAGCTCGGCGCAGAAAAAGTCGTCGAATTGCGACAGATCCCACGAGCAGAGCTCGAGCGACATGCTCTGCACATAGTGCGCGGGCCGGAGCACAAGGAAATCAAAGCTCAGAATGCCTTTGCGCGGGAACTCGTAGTCGGTCGTGGCGGACTCGGCCATGCGGAACGGGTACCCGTCAATCTCTTCGTTCCACCAGCACTCGCCGACCGACTCGAAGCTCCGCACGCGGAGCTCTTGGGCCTACACAGCGTTGTGGACGTCGCACACAAGTCAAGGCGGTACAATGTGCCGGTCGTGGGCGTTCGCGAGGTCGAGATGGTAGTGCTTGGCGTGCACTTGGTGCGGCTCGGGCGTGTAAAAGTCAAATTCGAGCAGCCCCATGGTCGGAACGCGCCATTTCCACTTGCCTCGGAGGGCAAACGACGGCTTCTCCCACTCCCGCAGCGCGATCGGCTCGCCGTCCAGCGTCATGTTGTGCCACGCGTCGCTGCGGTCCGGCAGCACTTGGTGGCTGCGCTCGACGCGCTCGAGCAGCTTCCACGCGATGGCGCGGTCTGTGGGCTTGCCCAAGTCGAGGCTACAGGGTCATATCAAAGACGCTATGCAAACCAAGGAATCCTCTACGCATAGTGCTTTTCGCAAAAGAGCCGCGTGCTCACATAGTCGAGCTCGAGGATGCCTTTCTCGTGCGCCTCGAGCCATGGCGGCCCCATCGTGTCTTCTTGAAACTCGAACGGGACGCCATCGAGCGTCTCGTTGCGCCAGTTCTCCCCTACAACAACCCATCGTTCTACACCCGAAAAGGGCGCAATAGTGTCGACCTCGCTCGGCGTTCGCGCGCTGCATGAGGATGAGCACCATGGCCCGGTCGTGCGGCGACGCAAGGTCGAGGCGGAAATGCACCGTCTCGGACCGAGGCGGCTCGGGGTTGAGGACAAAGTCCAGTTGGAAGGCGACCGCCGTCGTCGTCGTCGTCGCGGCGATGCGCTCGAGGCGCCGAAGGTTCTCCGTCGGCGCGCCGTTGATCGACATGTTGTGAAAGCTGCCAACGCCGTTCGCCGCACGCACGCGCAAGAGCTCGAAAACGGCGCGGTCCGCGGGCGCTGGGAGATTCAAGTGGTAGCACCTAGCGATTTATCAACCTATCAACCGATCAATCGCTCGAGATAATAACCCTGCGGGGTTGACGACGTTGAAAATGGGCGGCCCGTTGGTGGCTTCAAAGACCATGTTGTTGAGACGCAGTGTGAGCGGGTGGGGCTTAGCGCGGTGTCGCGTCGTGCGGAGGAGCACGCGCATGCCGTCATCATCAATCGCGTTCTGGTCGAGCGTCAAGTGCGCGAGCCCGCGGTTGTACTGAAGCGCATCGGCCATGAGGTAGATGGACACGGCCGAGAGCTGGCCGCTCGCAAGGTCGACGACCTGAAGCGTCTGGTTGCTCAAGAGAATGGTGGCCATGATGCAGCCCGTGCTGTGCCCGAGTCGGTTCCAGCTCAAGTTGATTGTCTCGAGGCACCGGTTGCCGCTCAGCGCCTGCACGAGGCTACCGGCGCCTTTGGGCGTCATGGCGTTCCACGCCACGTTGAGAATCTACAGTTCAAACTCACTCAATCGAAGGCTAGTACGACACACCAAGGGGTACCTTGAGCTTGCCGTCGGTGCCGAGCGCGCGCGCAATGGCCTTGGCACTCGGATCGCGCAGCTGGTTCTCGCTCATGTTGAGCGACGTGAGCGTCGGTGTCATGGACAAGAAGACGCCGAGCGGCTCGTCAATGTGCCGATCGTGGATTTCGTTGCCGCTGAGGTCGAGGTCCGTCAGCGGCACTTGGCTCGTTGTCAGCGCGTGGAGGAGGCGACTGGCCATGGGCGATCCAATTCGGTTCTTGGCGAGTGCGAGGCGCGAGAGGCGCGGGCAGCTGCGAAGCTCGAGGAGGGCGCACACGTGGTTGCCGCCAGCGGCCAAGACAAAGTTGTACGAGACGTCGAGCACTTGCAACCCTGCGTTCAAATGCAGCGCCGAAAGGAGCGCGATCGCACCGAGCTTGCCGATGTGAAACTTGCTCAAGTCGACGACCGGCGTGTCGACAAGCGCGAGCACCTTCTTGGACGGGAACACGTGCAGATGCGCGCACTCGCGGAGGTAGACGTCGATCATGTCGCTGCGGTTCTGCGCCGACGGCGTCATTTCCGGGCGAAGCAAAAGGGCGGAAGTTGCGAGGCTCGTTTGGCGCTTGGTCGGGCTACTAGGGTTGCGCGACGCTGCCTCGGCGGCCGCTGTGTGCTCTGGGATCGGCGCCGCGTGGATGGCTGTCGTCTTCTTTTGCAGTTTGGGCGAGGCTGCGGTACTGGGGGTGACGGGCGTCGTGGTCCTGTCCATGGTCGTCGTCGCCAACTCGCGGTCCTCGTTGGTGAGGAAGATGCTAAAGCTGTCGATTTGCTTGAGGAGCGCCATGACGCGGTTGCTTGTCGTCGACGAGAAGACGGCTTTCTGCATGAGCTCGCGCATGTGGCCTTCGCGCCCGTGGATTCTACCGTCGCATGAGCGTCACCTACCATGGATCGTTTACCGCTCTTTGGTGTAGAGCTGGTACAGCGACTCGACCGTCTCGACGAGAAAGGTCTTGGCAATGCCCTGCCCCATGGTCAGCCTTTCTACATGCGTGCAATCTCCGTGTTCGTACACGGGCTTCGTAGACGTCGAGGCCAAAGACACTGCGCACCGTGTGCGCGGCCACAGGGAGGCCAACCCACTCCTCCTCGGACGGTTTGCTCGTCAGCGGCGTCGTCCAAATCGCCTTCATCTTGTAGTAGAGCGGTGGAAGTTGGCGGTCGATGGCCGCGGGTGGTGCCTCTTTTGGCACCTCGATACGCGCGACCGGCTCGACCGGCTTGGCTACCTCGGGCAGCCGACCCGCGAGCGACGGCCGGCGCGTTAACCTTGCAGGCACCACGTCGAGCGTCGACTGCGACCGGCGGAGGGGCGGCTTTGTCTCCAAGCTCTGCAGCTTCGCGTCGTGGTCGACTTCGGGCGCGGTGTCCCCTCGGACGCCGTAGATCTCGTGGTACCGCACCGAGAGAAAGTTGGAGATCGTCTACACAGCCAAGATTGCGCGACGCCGAGTCGGTCGAGACGTCGCACCTGCGCCTTGGCCTGCTCTTCGAGGTGCCTACACCGCGCATGAAACGACGACGCACGAGGTAGACAGGCGACGTACTGGAGGTTGCCAAACGACTGGTACCCTCGTGACGTGGCACGCTCCTGGAGGTCGTGGAGCATGCTCATGATTGTCTCGCGCTTGAGGACATGCGTCGGCGCGTCGTCCCGGCGCTTCGTCGACCGCTTCGACCTGAGTCCTGGCAGCGTCACTGGCATCAAGCAACAACGCGCCGGCAAGAAATAGACTCGTAAATCAGAAGGGCGATTATATATATATATATACATCTATCAGGTGTCGGGAAAGGCGGCGACACAAGCGACGCAGCGCTTGTTGCTGACGCAATCCGAGCAGCCGACGATGCCGCAGACGCGGCAGTGGTGGCGCCGGACGAGAAAATTAAACGGGTACGCGCAGAGCATGCACGCATCCGCGTCTGCATCGGGCACCAGATGTGGCGGGTGACGCAGATGTGGTCGCAACTACATTTGTTCTCAACTCTCATGTGAGCGGCAAGACGACGCGTGTACCTGGTTCGCGAGCTCCGAGTTGACGACGCACTCGTAGTTGCCGTCACGCAGCGTCATGCTCGCACCGCCCTTGACGAGCTGGATGCAGGCGTCGACCAGACCTACGGAGAAGGTGGTTTTTGTTTGGTCGAGAAATGGAGCGCACCTCGCTTGGCAGCAATGTGCAGAGGCATCTTGCGGTCGATCGCGTAGACGTTGGGGTCGGCGCCAAACGACATCAGGCGCTCGATGAGCGTGGCGTCGCGCCGGTGCAGTGTGCAGACATGCAGCGGCGTGCGTCCGAGGACGTTTTGCGCATTCGGATCGGCGCCCATGCAGAGGTAGAGTTCCAGCACATAGGCGGCCGTCGGGCGGGGCGACATGGCCACCAAGTGCAGCACCGTGTTGCCTTCCTTGTCCGGCAGGTTGACATCGAGCTGCGGGTAAATGTCGGGGCGACAAAAGATGCTACATGTGGTGATCACCTCCGTCATCTGTATCAAAGTATCAAGCGTACCCCGAGATTTCCATGTTGGCGAGCTTGGCCGCCACGTGGTACGGTGTCTCCTGCGCGGCAAAGTCGGCGAGCACGACGCTCGCCTTGTGCTGCAAAAGCAGATCGACCATCTCTGCATTGCCCTACACACGGAATATAGCAGCTGCGCCTGGCACAGACAGGTCTACCGTCTCAACGGCCACGTGCAGCAGCGTGCGGCCCGATGCGTCTTGCTCGTCGGGATCTTGCCCTCGGTCAAGCGCCTCGCTTAGCGTCACCAACGACGTGGTGGTCCACGTCTGGTACGGCGTGTGGTGCTCGAGCAAGGGAGAAGGCGGTCTTTCGCTCGACGGCGGTCGTGGCATCTCTGTCGGCACCGGGACAGCATGCTGGACGGGCGATGGCGTCTAGGGTTGTCATGAGCGCCTTGTACATCCATTTCGACGCAGGTTTTATCGCACCACCAAAGACACATCCGTCGCGACGTCGCCGGAGAAGGGATAAGTGATCTCGCGCAATTCACGCGGGGGCAGCGTCGGACGCGGTCGCACGAGCGTAGCATCCGAGGCGTGGCCGATGCAAGCAGCGACAAAGTCGGCTGCCACGGTCGTCATCGCCCGATGCTGGTCGTTTACTTCCTTGACCACGGCACTCAACGGGCGCCGAGGTACAAAAACCTGCGTCTCTATCGGCGCTAAGTCACGGGGCGTCGAAGCGACTGCAAGGTCGCTTGGGCCCTCGGGGTGGTCGCGATCTCGAGTCGCGCGTTGTTCCGTACAGACAGCGACCGTTCGTGCTACAACATCGGTGGCTGGGAGCGCGGTAGGCGACACATGGATCGCCGGCGGCGGCGGCGTCGGGGCAGTTGGGAGCAAGACACGGTCAGTCGACACCTTGCGTTGCGGCTGCGTGAGCGTGCGGGGCGCGTCGACGGTCGTCTGTAGCGCCGCCAGGACGGCTGGTTCCTTTACAGACGGCGGGGTACTCGTCACCACTGGCTCGGATCGATGCCCGTCATGTTGCATCGCATGGACGAGCGCCTTCATCTCTTGCAGCTGGCGCTCCGCCTCGGCCGCGCGCCGCTTGGCGTTCTCGGCCTCGTTCTGCGTCACCAAAAGTCGCTGACGCAGCTCGTTGCGCTCCAGAATCGTGCGCTGGAGCGACATGGCGTCAGTCTTGCGCCCCTGCAGCGCTCGACACGCCATTCGGACGCGCCACCGGCACTGCAAACGCACCACGTTGCGGCGCGTACGGTAGTACGTCTGCTGCGCAGCATATCGGCGCCACTGGCGCTGAATACGAAGACTCGCGCGCAGCTCCTTGAAACATTGCCACGCGATTCGCTGCCGACGGCCGCGGTACCACGCTTGAAGGTATAGAGCGAGGCGCCTACCGCGTAGCGATAAGCCCACGTCCTTGTTCCGCACATCGTACCGTCGAGAGCGCATGCGGCGAGAAATGCAGCGGGCCAAGAAGCCACGCGCGACGCGCTGCAGGGTTTGAACGGAGCGCTGCGCTGTCCAGAAGCGACTGCGCTGGAGCGCCATGCGTGCAAACGCTTGCACTCGAATTGCGCTTACTTTCAAGCGGCTGCCCACCGCGAGCTCTAAAAAGTCGAACGTCGACTGCCGCAGAAACACGAGCGTCGTGCCCTTCTCAAGGCCAAAGCGGTACAATGCCGACACGGAGGCGGCTTCTTCTGCGTCGCCTCGATGCGGCCACGTCGTTGCCATCGTCGTCGTGAGCGTTTGTATCAGTGTATCGAGTGACACCGATCGCTGGATAGAGCTCAAGAGCCGGTACCGGTCGACAAATTGCGCGTGTTTCATGTGCACCGAGTAGCCGAGGCGGGCGATGCGCACGGCTTCGAGGACGCCGCCGTAGCGCAGCTGATCGGCCATGCGCTGGCGCTGGAAGAGCTCTTTCTTGTTGGCGTCGTTGGGCTTGAGACACCGAATGTAGTGGGTTGTGTGAGCGCGATCATTTCGAGAAGCTGGTGCAGCTGCCGGCGAAACTGGGAGCCAAGCCCCATCGAGACGATCGACGACTTGCGCCGGAGCGTCGGCAAACTCGCCGCGTTCTCGACGAGTACGTCGACGGGCCGGCAGAGGAGCGCAATGAACGCGTTCGAGGACGAGGAGAGCAGGTCGAAGATTTCTTGGTGCGGCTTGTCGCGGTTCTTCTCGCAAAAGCCGCGCGCGTCGTAGCGCACGGCGCCGGCGTAGTGCTTGATGACGAAAGCGAGCTCGACTTGGTCACGCCGGGATGCGCTAAAGTGCTTGTGGTTGCTGTAGATCTGGTAGAGCTTGCGCGTGAGGCCTGCGTCCGAGCCTTTTGGAATGTTGCACTCTTCGTCGAGGAGGGCAAGGACCCCCGTGGGTCGGGCTTCCAGAATATCAAGGCAGCCGTCGTTGAGCGGCACGGACAAGGTCACCCACGGAATGCCCTCGGCCATGTACCGCTTCTGCTCCTGCGTCAGGACGAAGTCGATAAAGTGGTGCTGGAGGCGCTCGTTGGCGTAGTTGATGCAGAGCTGCTCAAAGCTGTTGACGTCAAACGACTCGAAGCCAAAGATATCGAGAACGCCAATGAAGCGGTCGGTCGCGTCGCACTCGCGCCCGCCAATGCACGTGTTTACTTTCGCGACGATCCACTCAAAGAGGTACCCGTAGATCGAGCGCGCCATCGCGTCGCGCGCCTCTTCGGCTTGCGCCACCGTCAACTGCACCACGTACCACTCGTCCTTGGCCTTGATTTGCCGCTTCGTGAGCGCACTCCGAAGCCGGTCCGGCTCCACCGCGAGCAGCGACGCGACCCAATTGAGCTCCTGGAACGACGCGACGTCCGACATGGTCGCGTCCGACCCGCCGCTGCCGCCGCCCGGCTGGAGCCCAAACACCATGTTGCCGAGATGCAGGAGACTCGCGACGATCTCCAAAATGGACGCCTACACCGTCGTCAGCGGTGGTCCAAGTCGAGACAAGCTACGACCTTTTCGTGCTCTTCAAAGCCCACGATCGCCATCGCGCGCATTGTCTTTTGAAACTCGTCCACGTCGCGCACCTTGTCTTGGCGCACGAAGCAGCCGCTGCCACCGAGGTATGCATAGGCCGTGACCGGCGCCTCCAAGTGCAAGCTCGCGCGGAGCAGCCTACACAAAGAGCTTGACATCAAAGAAGAAGAAGTGCAACGCACGGATTGGCCGCAGCGGCGGCGAGGAGCTCGTAGAAGATGTGAAAGTTGCGCTCGCCGTTAGCCTGGTGCACCAAGCGAACCTTCTCGAGCAAGTACGTCTCGATCGTGGTGCCAATGAGGCGCAGCGTGTCGTGCTTCTGGGGCGCAAACCAGATCTTGACAAACTTGCCAAACCGGCTCGAGTTGTCGTTGCGCAGCGTCCGTGCGTTCCCAAACGACTCCAAGATCGGGTTGGACTGCAAGACTTGGTCCGCAATGCTGTTGCTATGGCTGGTCGCGTCGACCTTGCTCACGACCGCGAGGTACTGCATGATGAACTTGGTCGACTCGGTCTTCCCCGACCCGCTCTCGCCGCTCACCAAGACGGTCTGGTTCATGTGCGTGTTCGTCGCCGGGTTCGTCGTGTGCAGAGCTTGGTACGTGTCGTGGGCGGTCGTGAACACATGCGGCACCTTGTGCATGCTAGCGTGGAGCGTCGCGTGGTACGCGTCCACATCGTAGAGCCGCGGAATCGTCTTGAACGGGTTCACCGCCAGCAGCATCTCGCCCGTGTGGCAATAGACCTTGTCGACCATGAAGCGCTCCTCGAGGCAGTGTACCATCGACGGCTCGTTCAAGTGCGTGAGCATGCCCAGGTCCTCGAGGTCGACGCTCGACGTGGCGTTCCCGCGGCAAACGTCCATGTCCCGCTCCAGCTGCAGCAGTGGAAGCACGCTTCCGTCGTCCATGCGCACCATGTCCCCGGACGTCACTCCGCGGGTCCATGCATACGCGTTCGCCTCGGTCGCGGTCCGCGGTCGACTCCAGACAACGCCGGTCTCGGTCTCGCCCATGAAGCCGCCACCGAAGAAAAAGTCTAAACCTTGAAGTTGGCCCATTTCTTCCAACTTCGATTGCCACCTCTCCATACAAACAGCAAGTGTCGTATTCGAAGTTCGAAGCCAAATGCTGGCAACGGGCAAGTCGGGCAAGGTCTGTTGAAGCGGCAACGTCGTCGGGTAGCTTGGGAGACGACGCAAGCGCCTGTAAGGAATCGACCGCCGTACGATTCGAAGAGCTCTTATCACTCATGGGCTCTGGGTGCACAGGCTTCAAAGGAGTGAGCGATGGATCTGAAGATTCATTGATACAATGTTACGCCTTATTACTTGACGCCAGATGGATGAGGCGACGGGCCATCGAGGATCGCAACGCCATTAGCAAAAGCTGAAGCAGCGAGATGGACCACAGACCATGGTGTGGACCGTTGTTGAAAGCACCTGCATGGTCGACGCAGCGGCGCCAACGACAGCCGCGACGGGCGAGAATGACAGCGTCAGATCTACTACGTCATGCTACGACCACGGCAGCACGAAGCCACGGATCGCACTGCACTTGCCCACGTCGGACGACCGAGGCCAGGGTAAACACATGACCAAGGCTATCCAGGCACTGTGGCCACTCTGGTGCACCAGTACAAAACGGCGTCGTTGAACTGAGTTCCTAGTTCCTCGCCGTCCTGCACGCCCACATCGCCATAGCTACACGTCTGGACATACCCTTGGTATGGCGTGCGGGCTAGCGGCCACGTGGCCGACTCGACCCAACTTGCGCACTGCGTGGCAAATGCGCCTCTGAGACCGAAAGCAAACAGGGATGGTGCCACGCTGGCTGGACCGATGCCACCGCAGCCGCGCCCCATTCCTGCGGGAGGCTACTGTGTGTAGCGGGCCGAGTAGCTAGAGTATTTTTCTCGCACCCAAGTCGAATGTCGCTGGTCGAGTGCACCGTTTGCCCAAGCACGTGCGCGCAAGTTCTTCAACTCCTCGCAGGGGTTGGTTGCAGCCAGTACGTAGCTCAACGCCAGAACGCAGACGCTGTTTTTACTCGTGGATTTCTAGAATCCGTCGAGTAGCTTGCCGATCGACGTCACGAAGCCAGTGTCGATGCGTCGACAAGCTGCTGGCGAAGCTTGTCCTCGGTGCCGGAAGAACTTGATCGATCATCATCATCATCATGAAAATCCATCAGCCAGTATCTTTTCGCAGGAGCAGGGCGGCGCTGTCTTCAACCACGACGCCAAGCTTTCCCTCGGCCAAGTCAGAACGTTCGAGGGCAGGACATCTGATTGCTGCGACTCGCACAGTCGTCAGCGTCGCCGAGACTGGCCTCATGGCTGCGGCCCACCCTGTCGCTACGACGGTCACATTCGAGCTCGTCCGCCTTGTGGGCTCGCCGTGCAGTTGTGGCAGATCCCACCTGCCCAACTGCTATGCTATGGTGTCAACTTCGGCCGCAGAGTGTAGGTCCATAAGCTCAGTGAGTACCGCAACGGGGTGCGTGAGTCGTTCGCGCTGGCGAGATCGATCCAGTGCTCCTGTAGCGTGAGTCGCGATACCAATGGACGCGTAGGGGCGCGGGTGGCGCCCTCGGCGCGGCAGATTCCGTCGACCGCAGCAGCGCTACAAGATCCTGCTGTACATGGTACGCTTGGCTTCCCGCCCGCAGAAGCGGCTATCACGCGGTGGTCAACCAGCGAGGCGAAGGAGTAGCTGCCGAGCCTGCTCCGTCCAACTTCAAGTTGCACTTGGGCGTCGCGTGGAGGCCATCCAATTCGCCAAGGTGCGTCAGTCGTCGTCTGAGCACACACGGGGAAAAGGTTGATGGGATGAATTTAGGCATGTCTGCGCCTGCCCCCACGTATCTTTGCCCGTTCTTGCGCCCTAATTTTAGGCTCGAAGCGGGTGCCAATTCGGACTTTTCAGCAGAATTCGGATGTTACGACCGAATTTCACACTTCGCAGCTGGACACGCCAGTGTTCAGCGTGCCCGAGGCTTGACACCATAGCAGAGATGGACGACCATGAGACCATCGCGGCCCTGCGCCGGGAGCTGGAGAGCGCCAAGGACGACCTCTTCCTCAAGACGGACGACTACGACCAGCTCGTCCAGGCCAGCGCGCAGATCGAGGCCGAGCTCGAGAAGGCCCTCGACGACGCCGAGGAGGCCGCCAACAAGTGGCGCTACTCGGCCGAGCGCCTCGAGCAAGAGCTCGCCGACACGAAGGAGAAGCTCGTCGTAAGCTACCAGGACGCTGCGTCCGTCCAGACCGAGCTCGAAAAGTACAAGGAGCAGGCGACGACGCTCGCGACCGAGAAGATGGCATGGGAGACCGACATGGATCGCCTCACGACCCAAGTCCGGATCCTCGAGGCCTCGACGTCCGACCTCAAGCACCAACTTGAGCGCGCACTCGAAGACAAGGTCTTTCTCCAGAACGACTATGACGAGATCGAGAAGGAGCACGAGCTGACGACCGAGCGGTTCCGGACCGAGATCCTCGACCTCAAGTCGGAGCTCTTTGCGTTGCAGCTGCACCAGAAAGCCGGCGAGAGCAGCGCGCACATGCCATCGTCGCCGCTGCTCCCGACGTCGCCGTCGTCGTCGTTTGATAACGACAGCATGGACGACGACCTCGACGAGCGCGCCGATTTCGACAACAACAACAACGACGAGGACGACGACGAGGACCTCGAAGAGCATGAGGGCCTCCGCAACGGTGACGAGGACGACGAAGACGACGAAGACATGCTCTTGTCGCCCGAGTCGGACGCGCCGCTGCGCCACATTTCGTCGGCCGACCGCGACGCGGAGGAATCCGAGCGGCAGATCGTCATCCTGGAAGAAGAAATGGAGGAGCTCGCACGGCGCCTCCAAGAAGAAGAAGATCGGAGAATGGAGCTCGAAGAAGAGCTCGTGGAACTCCGCGACAACGAAGCGCACATCCAGGCGATGGAGACCGAGATCAGTGAGATGTCGGACGAACTCATCGAGAAGGCGCTCGTGATCAAACAGACCGAAAGCGAGGTACGCCCATCCCCTTCCGTTGCATATACCTATCCCATCCACCTCGTCCGTAGGTTGAGCGCTTGCAAGGGGAGCTCGCGACGATGGAAGCCACCTTGGTGTCGACCAAGGAAGAGTTTGCCCTGGCACAATCGCAGTTGCAGACGCTCCAGTCATTCCAGGACGACCACGCCAACTATGTGGCGCTCGAGCGCTCGATGAACGAGCTGCAAGTCGAGTGCGCACGCATCAAGGAGCTCAACGACCAACTCTCGGTCAAGCTCGACACGGAGCGCACGCGCCAGAGCATGCTCGTGCAGGAGCTCGAGTCGTCCAAGACGTCGTTCGAGAGCCTCCAGACGCAATTCGACGAGCTCATGGACAAGTACGAAGGCGTGCAGCGCGACCTCGAAAAGTCGCGCCACGCCAACGCGATGGCGTCGCCGTCGCAGCAGAGTACGCTTCTCCCGATAGATATCTTCATGTCTCACGAGTGGGATGTGCTCTAGTCGAAGGCGAAATTGCGCAGAAGTATGTGCTCGAGCGCCGCCGCAACGCAGCGCTTCTCTCGCGGCTCCAGAACCTCACGGGCAACATCCAAGTGTTTTGCCGCGTGCGTCCGCTGCTCAGCCGCGACCCGCGCGTGAGCCATACGGTGCCGCTCGCGGTCGATGTGCTCAGCATCACGGACGTGGCCGCGCTCGAACTCAAGACGGAGAGTGTCTTTGACGACCACTCGCAGACCAACGCAGCGCCGTGGAAGATGTTCACTTTTGACCGCGTCCTCGGCCAGCACGACTCGCAGATGGATGTCTTCCGCGAGGTCGAGCCTGTCGCCCAGGCGGTCGTCGACGGCTTCAAGGCCTGCATCTTTGCCTACGGCCAGGTACATTTTGCTCCTATTTTCGTGCGGATCCTCAAGTGCATGTGGCGATGTAGACGGGCTCGGGCAAGACGTACACGATGGAAGGCACGCCGGACCAGCCGGGTCTCAACCAGCGACTCCTCTCGCACCTCTACGACGCGCTCTCGCTGCGCGGCGTCGTGGTCGCCGACACCGCAGGCGAGTCGACGTTTGCCTCGCCGCCGTCCAACCACGAGACGATGTACCAAGTCAACCTTGGCGTCTTTGAGATCTACAACGAAAACATCCGGGACCTCCTCGAGCCCGACAACCCGCTCCTGCAGATCCACACGGACGGCGACACGGGCGAGGTCTGCCTCCCGCAGCTCACGATGCAGACGTCGTACTCGCCGACGCACGCGCTCGCGCTCCTTGCGCAGGCGCAGAAGCACCGTGCGACGAGCCGCACCAACGTGCACGACCGCTCGAGTCGGTCGCACTGCGTCGTTATCCTCAACGTCAAGTCGACGACAGGGCTCCGCGGCACGCTGTACCTCGTCGATCTCGCGGGCTCGGAGCGCGTCAAGGTCAGCGGCGTCGACGGCGACGCCCTCAAGGAGACGGCGGCGATCAACAAGTCGCTCTCGGCCCTCGGCGACGTCATGGAAGCCCTCGACCGCAAGAGCTCGCACGTGCCGTACCGCAACTCGAAGCTCACGTACGCGCTGCAAGACGTGCTCGGTGGCGGCCAGAGCAAGACGGTCATGATCCTCAACGTCGCACCGGGCTTCTCGACGGCCAGCGAAACGTACCGCTCGATGCAGTTGCCGAGCGCGTGCGCCGCGTCGACATCCAGGGCCTCAAGCCCAAGAACTCCAAGAGTCTCATCTCGGGCAAGCAGGCCTTTACGGAAATCAAGAGCCTCAAGCAGCAGCTCTCGGTGGCCAACACCAAGATCATGCAGGCCAACCAGTCGATCGCGACGATGGTAGGATCCATTCTTGATAGGTTGTTGCTGGATGCTGAAGGCAACTGGGTAGAAACGAGAGCACAAGCACCAGCTCGACAAGATCACAACACTTGTCGAGTCGCGCACCAAGGCGCTCGAAGACCTCAAGGGATCCATGTCGACGCTCAAGTCGTCGAACGCGGCGATGGCCGAGAAGTGGAAGCAAGAGCGCGAGGCGCGGCAGCAGGAAGGCAGCCACGCCGACCAGGAGCAGCGCCAGCGCCGCCAGTGGCAGTCCAAGTCGACCGTCACGATGGCGCACCAGGAGTCGCTAGCCAAGCAGCTCCAAGCGCGCGAGCAAGAGATTGCCAAGCTCCGCCAAAACCTCAACGATGCCCGCCGCCGGACCACGATGAAGCTCATTCCGCGCCTCTCGCTGGACAAGGACTCGACGCCCGTCAAGCCGAAATCCAAGAGCGCGGGAAGCAGCCCCGTCGAACCACTCAAACGTACGACTCTTCGGAGTCGAACCGGTAGTCAAACGACGTCTTCGTCAGGCACGGAAACCGAGTCGGACCGCGGCAGCATTGCGTCCCTCGCCATGCGTGCGATCCAGGCGGCCAAGAAGGCAGCTGCGAACCGCCGCGTGACGCTGCCGCAGGACGAAGCGGCCAAGCGCAAGCGTCCGACCGTGCCGTCGCTTGCCACGACGCCGACGCGGACCTCGCTGACGTCGAGTTCGTCCATGCGCACGCCCCTCACAACGTACGTTTGTCGTATATTGTTGTCTGCCATATCTTAGACGATTTACATAGGAGTCGGTCGGCCAAGGTGGCGCGCAAGGAAGAGCCTGGTATTCAGCGCCGATCCAGCACGAGCTCAGCTTCGACGGTGAGCCGCACGAGCCTCACGAGCGTGAGCTCGACCGCGAGTCTGCCCCGCCGGAGCAGCTCGGCCACGACGCCGCCAAAGCGGGGGACGTGGAAATAGATTACCAAACTACAGCGATCAACAACGCACGGCTATTTTATCTTTGCTTTTCGCGGAGACTGACGCGGATGCGGACAAGGATGTAGAAGTATTTATTACGCGTGGAAGGCTCGGACGCGCGGGTCGGTGTGCGACTGGAGGCCGCGCGATATTCTGCGCAAGACGCTGCCCATGAGCCGCGGCTGATCGACGCTGAGCGACTCGAGCGAGTGGAGAAGCTCCAGAAGCAAGTCTTGTGTCTCTTCGTCGTCTGTGTCTTCGACGGTCTACAGACAGCGCATCACGATGGCTGCTCGTCGTCTGCAAGCAATGCAGTACCTCAAACACGGCAGGCTTGAGCACATCTTCAAAGAGCACTTCGCCGAGGTCGTCGTCGCTGAGCATGGACGTAGGTAGGGACGCCGCCAAGCCTGCCGTCTGAAAGACACTAGAACATAGCCTCGATTATAACACCCGTGGCAAGGAAGCGTACGCTTCGGACGTCTGGGGCTTGGGCGAGAGCGCGTCCTTGTTAAGGCGCACGGTCGCGCCAAAATCCCAGCCGTCGTCAAAGTCGAGATGCGACTCTTTTGCCGACGAGCTCGTGACGCTCGAGAAGCTTCGGTTGGACTCGTCAATGGGTGCGTGGACTTGGATTTGCGCGCGCTAGTCGCACCCCATGAGCTGCTTCTCGTCGTCGCCCAACGTACTTCGATGAGCTCGGTGAGGGACGATACGTCCTTGGCCACGCGCGTGGTCAGGAACGGGTGCTTGAGCAGCTCGAGCGCCGTCGGTCGCTCGGCGGCGTCCTTCTTGAGGCACGCTGACACAAAGTCTTTCAACTTGGGCGAGAAGTCGCCGTCCAGCGTCGGCGGTGGGTCCTTTGGGATCACAAAGAGCACCTTCATCGGGTGCAGCCTACTCATGCATGAGGCGACGCCATCGTATGGGACATAAGACGTACGACGAGTGGGGTGGTTCGCCCTTGGCCATCTCGATGGCCGTGATACCGACCGACCAAATGTCTGCCTTGGAGTCGTAGCTACGCAAAAGAACGTGTGGAGAGACGGCAACAGGATAAGTCTCAGACTTGGATTGCTGGATCACTTCGGGCGCCATCCAGAACGGCGTGCCCACCACCGTGTTCCTAATATCATGGCATCGGGGACCAAGACCACGTGCGGTTCGTACCGCTTCGTCATCGTGTCGGTGAGCTGTCCCGTGACGCCAAAGTCGGCGAGCTTGACGCGGCCGTCGCCTGCGAGCAAGATGTTGGCGGCCTTGACGTCGCGATGGATCTTCTTCTCCGAATGCAAGTACACGAGACCCTACACACGATCGCTCCTTCTAGACGAAGAATGGGCCCGTACCTTGAGCAGCTCGTGCAAAATGATGGCAATGTAGACTTCGTTGAGTGGCCTACAGCGCATGAGCCATGGACCAACAGGCGTGCCATCGCGTACCCGGGCGACATGAGGTCCAAGACGGAGCCGCCCGCGAGGTACTCCATGATGATCCAGAGCTTCGTGCCCACGATGAACGAGCCGTTGTACTTAGTCAGCTGCGGACATGCGCACTGCGAGAGCACGGCAATCTCCTACAAGCATGGGCTTAGCGGCGACCACGCGATGCGCCGGACCTTCTGGATGTCGTCGATCTCGTCTTCCGCAGCTTCGAGGTCGATGATCTTGATGGCGCAGATCTCGTTGGTCCGGCGGTCAATGCCCTTGTAGACCTCGCCGAAGGCGCCGTCGCCGACCTTGGCGAGGACGTCGAAGCAGCTGTCCATCATCGGCGCTTGCTGCATTGGCCGTCTCGGAATTACTCTCGCTGCTCTGAAATTTTACCGGACAACCCGTGGTCGCACACTATTTCCGTGTCGTAGCATCGAGCATGGGCTCACCCTACTCGGAGGCGACCGCTTCGGCATGGTCGCGTTGGGTCGATGGCCGACGTCGGGTCCAGCCGTCAGCGCTGGTCATGGTGGGTGTGGTTGCTGGCGCTGGCGATAGGGCGGCTGCCAAGCTCGTCTCTGCGACTCAAGCCGACGGCCGAGCACGAGCCACAGACGCGACCGGGGCCGAGCCTGCAGCGTTCGTTGTAGTTGGCATGCATCTAGTGGTTGCATCAATGCTCCAGTCGCGTGCTACGTAGTTTATGCTTTGGGATCGCAATGCGACCCAAAGGCGCCTGTCTTCAGAGCCAGCGCCCGGCGTGCTGCGCCCTGGTCGCGCCACGTATGGACCACCACTTGTCTGCACCCTTGCATAGGAGGCGAGCTGCGATGCGTGAACTCGAACGAGTCTTGCATGCACATGGAGCCCATGTTGCGATCGCTCACACTATTTCTACGAACGACGCTTGGGCGTGCGAAGAAGAAGATCGCACAGAAATATCTGACGGATGAACAGCTACCTCCAGCTCAAGTGCCGGTCCGAGCAGCAGGTGCTCAACGACCTGACCAAGTGCGTCGCCGCCAAGGACTACACGTCCAAGCGCACGGCGGCGCTCCTCCACGAGCTCACTTTTTTCCACGTCTCGGTCGTCGCTGACGCCGACGGCTCGAGCGCATACGTCCACGACTCGGTGCTCCGCGACCTCTCGACGCTACTTGTCAACATCAAGGACAAGAAGGAAGACCAGAAGCTCGTGCGCATCGTCCATGTCCTTTTGCAGCACATTGCGCAGCAGATCCAGTTTGCGCAGCGTACCGCGTGACCATTCTCGCTCGACCTCATGACGTGTCTACGGTAGGCCTCGCCGCCACCGACGCCTCGGCCTCGAGCATCGCGCGGTCGACGCCCCGCGGCGACAACACGGGCGCAATCCTCGTGCAGCTCGCGTCGCTCTTGGACGTTGTCGCCAAGAATGAGATCAACCACCCGTTTCCGCCACGACGGGTCTCGGCGTACAAGCTCTACACGGTCCTCTGTGCGACGCTGCACCAGCCCGAGCGCTGCTACAGCCTCGTGTCGGGCATCGCGTCGTCGAGCGCCTGGACGATGCTCAAGCTCACTAGCGCCAAGAAGAAGACGGACAAGGATCTCCCGACCCAAGTTGCGCTTCTCGATGCGTCCTTGCAGGTCGCACGGTCGCTCCGTCAGACGGCGCCGCAGATCCTCGACCCGCTCCTTCCGCAGCTCATCGCGGGCGCGTTCCTTCCGAGCCGGCACGCCGCGGCCACGTGTCTCGCGCTCTTTGAGACCAAGCCGCTGCAGGTGGTCGACGCGCTCATGGCACACGTCGGGTCGGCGTCGGTCTCGATCAACACTCCAGACGCGATCACGACCTGCTACCTCCTCAAGCTCTGCGGCAAGATCGCGCGACTGCCCGTGGGCAACCGCGAGGCCAGCGCTGCCGCCGCCAGCCTCCTCGACATGAACTTTGACGTGGGTTCGATTCCCACAAGGAACGCTCCTAACGACAACGGTGATTAGGCGCCGCGCGAGCCCAAGGCCGCAAGCGGCCTCGCGATTGAGCAGCACATTTCAACGCGCGTCACTGACCTCCTCCTCGACGTGTGCATGCAAAAGCACACATTCGTGCTCTCTTCAGCACCCACCGGTTCCGGCCCGCCGACGCTGGCGCCGTGCAGCGTGCTTCTCACTGCGATCGAAGAAATGACGCGCGGCCAAGTCGCGCCAAAGTGCTTTGAGAAGGTCCGCGGCGGCTTGAGCCCGTTCGAGATTGCGGCCAGCGGCATCCAGCTCGTGCTCACGACCCACGGAACGAGCCCGCTCGTGCTGCACCGCGTGTGCCGGGCCGTGACCGCGGTCGCGTCGTCGTTCGACCTCGCGCTCATCTCGTTCTCTGCCCACCACTTGGACTTTTTCAGCAAAATCACCGAGGCGATCTGGGCCATTGCCGATGCGATCACGACCTACGCGCCGTGCGTGCTCAAGGAAAGCCTCGTCGCGCTCGTGTGGCTGCTGCCGCGGCGAGCCCCGCCCCGAACGGCGTCGCAGGCCCACCTGGCGGCGACGAGCACGAGCTGGCCCGAGCTCTTGCCGCAGCTTCTCGCGTTGCCACCGACGGCTGTGTCGCACCTCGACCGCGAAGCCATCGTGCGCGCACTCTTGGCGCGTGCGACGCTCGTCGACGTCGACCCGACGCTTCTCGGGTACGCCGCCAGCGTCCTCCAGCACTGGTACGAGACCTCGCCCCGCCATTGGCACGGCGACGTCTTCCAATCGCTCTGGGAAACGTACGTCTCGAGCGACACGTGCTTTCGGCCCAGCGTCTTTGAGAGCCCGCTCGCCGTGCTGGATTTCCACCAAAGCCACGGCGAGGAAGACCGCGCGACGCAGGCGATGCAGTACACCAAATGTATTGCGATCCACTTTCTCACATCGACGCCCGTCCTCTTGGACCCGAGCTGCGCCGCCATGTGCTCGGGCGTTATCTTGCGCCTCGCCAAGCTCGCGACACTTGACGACTGGCCAGTGCGGCGGTCCGCCGTCGCGGGACTCCTGCGACTGCATACTGTGCCACGCGTGCCGCCGGTCCTCGCGAGCTTGCGTCGGCACGCGCCCACGCACGGCTACGCCGACCTCCTCGTCACCGCCTAAGAAATCCATGTCTTGTGTATTACGATAATCATCCACCAACGACGGCGGAGTCTACTTGAACGTGTTGAAGTCGCGCACTTCATTGACGATCTCGAGCGCCTTGGAGAGGAGCGTGCGCATCTCGTAGCAGTTGGAGCGGCGCGACGCAATGTCGCCGGATTCGCGCAGCAGCTCGACGAGGCGCTCTTCCTTGTAGAGGCTCGAGACGAGCTGGTTCTGCACCTGGTCCTTCGCAAAGTTGACCATGAAGCACATGATGATCTTGGGCACGAGGTCGAGAAAGTTCTTGCGCACAATGTCAAAGTACGACGCGAGGAGCGACTTGATGATCTCGGTTTCAATGCGCTCGCGGTCGGTCGGGACCTCGGCCTGGCGCATCGTCGTGGGCACTTGGGGCAGCTTGACGACGCCGCCGTTGCTCGAGGCAGGCGACGACCGCGCGTCCTGGCTCTTCTTGCCGTTGAAGAACGAGAGCAGGCCCGAGTTCTCCTTCTCTTCGGCCTGCGGCGCGGCCGGCGGTGGGCGCGTCGCGTTCGAGAGGCGCTTGCCTTCGGCTTGGGGCGGCGGCGACGCGCCGTCTTGCTGGAGCTTGTCCATGAGCTGCGCGACGGCACGCGACCCGCCAATAAAGTCGGGATGGTTCGTGTTGATGTACGAGAGCTCCGTCTTGATGAGGTTCGAGATCATCGTCTGCGTCGGGCTCAAGCAGCCGCGGAGGAGGCCGTTCACGACCTCGACGACACGGTCGCGCAGGTCTGCGAAGCGCGTGAGCTCGACCGTCTCGCACTGCGACGTGACGCGTTGGAGCTCGTCAAAGACAAGGTCGACGCACTGGAGGCCGGGGGCTTCGAGACGCGCAATCTGGCGCTTCGCGAGCAGCTCAAACGAGATCTCGGGCACAAAGAGCGACTGGCGCGGGCCGTTGGCGTTGCGGATCGTCGTGCGAATGTCAGCGTCGCTGAGCTGATCAAATGGGTCGACGGCCTGGAGACTCTTGGAAAACACCTCGTTGAAGATGTACGAGATGCGCGCGCCGCCGTAGAGCTCGGCCATGTCGTTCGCCTGCGTATGGCGGCCGTCGAGCGAGTTGATGAACGACGATGAAAAATGAGAGATGAGCTGGAGAAGCGTCGCGCCGAGCGCTGTCTTGCTCATACTCTCGGTCGGGTTGCCCATGCCGTCCATCTCGAGGTCGAGCTCCGAGAGCATCGCCGAGATGCGCGACTTGATCTCCGGAAGGCAGTCGCGGATGTGGTGCATGAGGATCGTGTTGAGCGACTTGGAGAGGAACTGCGTGCCCATGCGGCTCGCGATCGCGCGGTACGACGCATGGTTCTTGAAGAACATCGTCTCCTTCGCAACGCTGTCGCGGATGCCCACGTTGTTGTTGATGTCGGCCTGGCTGCGGTTCACGACGCCCACATACCTAGGACGACATGATGAGCATCCATGGGGCTAGAAGCGAGTATGGGGATACCCCTTCTTGAGAGGAATGACGCGGCCCTGCAGCATCTCCATGGCGTCCGTGCCATTGTCCATCAAGTCGAGCTTGGTGAGGACGCCAATCGTGCGGATGCCATCGGGGTCGATCGCCCGCGCCATCTTGAGCGAGTCGCTGTTGGCCAAGTCCGTGTTGGCCGCCGTCACGGCCAGAATGATCGAGTTGGGGTTCGAGATGAACTCGGTGCACATGTCCCGGATCTGCTCTTCAATGTTGGCGGGCTGGTCGCCAACAGGCACCTACACCAATCCGACGTCATGCGCAGAACTGTATGCTTCATGTACATACCTTGGTGATGCCCGGCAAGTCGACCAGCGTCAGGTTGAGCACATACGGCGAGTAGATCTTGAGCGTAATGGGCTTGTTGGAGATGCCCTTGTTCTTGCCCGTCATGCGGTCGGTCTCCTTGTCGATCTCTTCGCGGAGCTTGGCAAAGTCGTAGATCTTCTGGTTCGGGAGGTGGTTGAACTCGCCCCACTCCTCCTTCTCCTTGTCGTCGCCCGCCGGGATGTTGTAGAGCTGCAGCACGAGCGGGCGGCGGGTCACGATGCCGGACCCGCGGGGCAAGAAGTCCTTGCCGACGATGTTCTCGAGCACGGAGCTCTTGCCGCTCGACTGGCTGCCGACGACGACGATCTGCGGCAGGTTGATGGGCGACTGCCCGATCGCCGAGAAGACGTCCTGGAGCTTGTTGATGATCGGGATGAGCTGGTCCATGCTGCTGCTGCTTGGCCTCTCTTGGGATACTGACGAAGAAGACAACCAGATGCAGCGTATTTTAATACTCTTGTTTGTATGGATTGTATTTTATGATTGGCGTCCTGTATGCGGCGATGGAATAAAAAAACGCAACTGCAACCGCGGGGATAAAAAGCAGTCGAGCGCGTGGCGCCCGTCGCACACACTGCGATTCAGTAGGCTCGAATCCTTGACATCAACCCACCCGTATAAATACATATGTGTTGCATATGTATTAATAGAGGTCAAATCGAGAACGCACCGGGACGGCAGGTAGAAACACCCAACTTGACGTGGGCACAAGACCGAACGTGCGGCCGTGAGGGAACGGCTGCTAGCAATGTTGGATCGACGCGTAATGGTGCATGGAGCGCACTCTGCGCAGACGAGGGAGCGTGAGTAGGTGGCGGCGTCGGCGCTAGAAGCTTTGGTGCATACGCCGCCGCGACAGAGCGTGGGATGCGAGTAAGGGTGCGTGCGTTTAGACGTCGTGGTTAAAAGCGTATACGTGATCCAGCGGCTCATTTTGGATCATTATTGCTGCTGGCAACATCATGGAGAAGCTTGGGACGACGATTGGCTCGTGGAGCGGCAAGGACGTGCTCTCGACGGAGCAGCTTTATGCGGCGAACGTTCGGTACGCATCATGGAGGCGGCTCGTGGATGTCTCATCATGGCACATGCAGATACCTCTTCCAGGTTGCGGACCACATGAAGGACATGGTGGCCCGCCAAGGCGGCGACGATACGCTCAAGGGCAAGGTTCGTCAGCGCATGCTGTCCAGCATGCAACATGATTAGCAATGTCGGGTATAGGTCATGGCCAATGTCTTCTTTGAGCCGTCGACGCGCACGAGCTGCTCGTTCCAGGCCGCCATGCTGCGCTTGGGCGGCGCCGTCGTCTGCGTGAACGAGAGCTCGTCGAGCAGCCAAAAGGGCGAGACCCTCTCGGACACGATGCGCTGCCTCGAGTGCTATGCGGATGTGACCGTGTTGCGCCATCCCGTCAAGGGTGCTGCTGCGACTGCGGCGGCGGCGAGCCGCAAGCCCGTGCTCAATGCTGGTATGTCTTCTCTCTTCTACCAGGTGCGCCAACATCGCCATAGGCGACGGTGTCGGTGAGCACCCGACGCAAGCACTCTTGGACCTCTACACGATCTACAAGGAGGCCAAGCTCTCGGAGATGAACTTGACGGGCAAGGTCATCACGATGGTGGGCGACCTCAAGAACGGCCGCACGGTGCACTCGCTCGCGAAGCTCCTCGCGCACTTTAACGTCACGCTCAACTATGTGTCGCCGGGTACGTCCATGCATCACCATCTCCTCGTCTTCACAGTAGCATGGCGTAGAGTCGCTCAAGATGCCGCAGTACATTGTCGACGGGCTCAACGCCGTTGGAGTCAAGCAGCACGAGACCACCGACTTGGACTCGGTCCTCGCGGCCAGCGACGTCTTGTACATCACGCGCGTCCAGAAGGAGCGCTTCGAGACGGCGGCCGAGTACGACGCTGTCAAGGACAGCTTTATCATCACGCCCGCGACGCTCACCAAGGTACAAAGGCGCTCCTTATCAGTGACGCTCCATAACGGTCCTAGGCCAAGGCGACGATGATCCTCATGCACCCGTTGCCGCGCGTCAACGAAATCGCCGTCGAAGTCGACGCCGACCCGCGCGCCGCCTACTTTCGCCAAATGGAGTACGGCATGTACGTGCGCATGGCGATCCTCGCGCTCGTGCTCGGCAAGGCCTAAGCCGATTGCAATATACCGTCGTCTTCCTTCGTCTGCATCTCTCTCTCTCCTCGTCTCCGGGGCCATCGCGCCGAAGGCGATCTGCCTCCCACCGCTCCACACTGGACGATCCTACCTGCTGCTTGCCCATATCGACCCACGGCTTGCGACCTGCCGTGATCCGCTCTCTGCCATGGCGGTAGTATCCGGATAGCGTATGCGGATGAAAATCGGTTGGTGTTTAGGCCGCGAGGGTTGATGAGTGGTTTCGGGGCCATGGAGCATTAGCGATTTACTTTTGAGGACGCTGGTTTATTAACGTACAAAATGTCGGCCGAGGAAGTGAACCAAGTTGTGGAGTTGGGCGAGATGGAAGCCCTCCAGGAAGTCCTCAAGAAGGCCCTCGTCCACGACGGCCTCAAGCGCGGCCTCCACGAAGCCGCCAAGGCCCTCGACTCGCGCCGTGCCCGCCTCTGCTGCCTCGCCCAGGACTGCGACGAGCCCTCGTACCAGAAGCTCGTCCGCGCGCTCTGCGAGGAGCACGGCGTGAACCTCATCATCGTTCCCTCGGGCAAGCAGCTCGGCGAGTGGTGCGGTCTCTGCAAGATCGACGACAACGGCGAGGCCCGCAAGGTCGTCTCGACGTCGTGCGCCGTCATCACCGACTTCGGTGAGGAGACGCACGCGCTCAACGTCCTCTTGAACTACCTCAAGAGCCGCGTCGATGCCTAAACGCGCTGTTTTACTACTGATGACCCCAAACAACCGTCGTTAATAGAAGAGACTCCGTTCTCCACCACCCCTCGCATCTTCAATCGACTACTCGGGAAGGGCCAACGACACGTACAGGACCAACGCTTGGATTTGATAAATACTACAGCTACTTCCACGCGTCATGCGTCTGGCACGAGCAGCTTGCGCTGCTTGGCGCGATGGGCGCACTCGACGTCGTCGCCAGGTATTGACGCGCTCGCACTGCACTGGCCTTTGGTGCTGCGCTTCTTGTCCTTCTACGCGTGCACCATTAGCATATCAGGTCGCATGGCGTGGCAAAGACGTACTGGTCGCGGTATGCTGCTCGCGTCGTCGTGAAAGAACGGGTGCTGCAGCGCTTCGGACGGTGTTATCCTCTTGCGTGGGCTACACACGTCGTTGGATGAGTTGCGCTACAAATAAGATGCATGTGGACGTACTCGTACTCGAGCATCTTGGCGACAAGGTCGGTGAACGCGGCGTACTCGTCGAGGCTGTGGCCCTTCTCGCCAAACCGCCGGCCGTTGCACGTCGCAATGTCGTAAAGCGTTCGCTGGACCGCCGGCGGCGGCTCGGCTTCCGAGGTTGGCTTGAGCGCGTACCCGGTCGACGTGCGTTCAAAGTACTTGTTGCGCTGGAGCACGTGGAGCTGATCAATCATGGGCGCGGGCACCATGCCGAGCACGTGCACGATCTTGTGCAGCTGGTCCATGACGTTGGCGCCGTCAAAGAGCGGCGACCCCGAGTGCATCTCGACGAGGATGCAGCCGAGGCTCCACATGTCGATCGCTGCCGTGTACTTGAGACCGAGGATGACCTCGGGCGCGCGGTAAAAGCGGCTTTGGAGGTATTGAAAGATCTACAAAAGAATGAGGCGTCGGTGGTGGCATCGTGCGATGCTCGTACCTCTTTGCCGACGCGGCAAGAACTGCCAAAGTCAATGAGCTTCACTTGGCTCTTGCTTTGGTTGACGAGCACGATGTTTTCGGGCTTGAGGTCGCAGTGGATGATGGACGAGTCGGCGAGGTACCGCAGCGACTAGATGACTAGATGTATTTTTGTATTTGTGAGATACCGTGCGCAACGCAGTACCTCGAGCACTTGTTTCATAAACTTGCGAAGGAGCTTGAGACCGATGCCAGCGTATTTCGTGCTCTGCAGCAGCTGAAAGAGATTGTACGAGAGGAGCTCAAAGACGAGGCAGTGGTGGCCTTTGTGGACAAACTTGTCGAGCATTTGTACTACGACGAGGCAAGGATTAGTGTGGCGTGACGGCATCTACAGTACCAATGTGGTTGTCGTGACCGTGCCGGCTGCGGTGCAGGTACTCGAGAATATCAATCTCAGATTGCACTTGCCGCTCGAACGCCTTGCGGTTCTTGATGATCTTGATGGCAACAGGTTTGTTGGTTTGCATGTCGACGGCTTCGAGGACTTGGCCAAACGAGCCCTAGGGGACAGTGCGTGAGCGCGGCGAGGGCGGCCAAGCTGGCGGTGCACCTTGCCCATTTTCTTGCCCGTGACGCGGTAGCGCGCATGGAGCACCTCGTGCTCGTCCGGCACGTAGTAGTCGCCTACCGGCGCCTCAGGTGGCTGTTTGGCGTCCTTGGCGCCCTTGGTCAGCTTCTCTTTCGACCGCTGCTTCTTGTAGTACGCCTGCATGTCACAATAAGATCGTAGTCTGCCATGCAGTTGGTGTACGAGGTTGATGAGGCGGTACGTCTCTAGGAGGTGGCAGCCCAGCTTCACGCACGGGCGCGCGCCTAAGACTCGTGGTTCCATCGCGTCGTCGTCGTCTCCAAGGCTCGGGCTCGTCGTGGTCGTCGGCAATCCGTCGTCGGCTCGCTTCTCGAATGCGACGCTTGAGCTTCGAGCTTCGCCTACTATTCGAATAAAATTTAAATACGTAAGCGGTTTCTCCGTGGCTTTCGTCTTGACGTTTGTATAGAATCGACCACCGGGGACGCCAGGCACCTTGCATACAAACGCCGAGTTAGTCTCCCCAGCATTACTCTTGGACAAAGTATGCGTCAGCCCTACCCCGCGAGCCAAAACACCCGCCCTCCTTTCTTATTGGCTGCCGCCAAACAGCTCCCTCCAATCTCAAGCGCCCGTTTTTCGATATTTTGGCCAAGTTTCGAAACGGACTGTATCCGGATGTGAGGTTGCCGTTTGGCGGCTTAGTTAGTCGATTTAAAGCCGAGTGACACCCGACAAAGTAGTATGGCGTAGGTAGGCGTGTTCAAAAGGCTTGTACTAGTAGCAAAACTGAGCTTTTCGGTGATTTGCGCTGGAACGTTTGAGGGCAATGCTCGAGTCGCGAGTGTAGCCAGACGGCATGCAGGCGCGCTGGCGAGGCGCATTAGAAGGCCTTCGGTTGTTGAAACGACGTCATGCTAGGGTCAACTCATACGCTAGAAGAGCGTGTATCGCTGGGACGCAACTTGTGGCAGCATCTTGCGTCTTGCGCCTGACTCGAAAGCGACTACAACAATCCGAAGCCACAGGTACATGTACTAACTTTAGTCGACTAAGCGGAAAACACCTTCAAGTGACCTGAATCTTTCGAAATTCAATACCGGTACCGGTACCGATAACCGAACGAATTTTCGAATGTGAAACGGATAGCCGTTCAACGACTCGCCGCGTGGATACCGGTTGCAACCGGCACGCGAAGTGTGCATTGCAGTTGTACTTGGCGTGCACACGGGAGGCGACACTTGCTCGCTGGCTCGAATGCGTTCGCCATCAAATAACGCCACAGGAAGCGTGGTCCATTCAAGCGACTTCTTGCGTGGAATAGACAAGCAAAATTTGATATAGCAGTTGGTAGTCGGTTGCAGCGGAGATGTCGAATCAACCGGATTGCGATCCGTTTTCGGGACGTTCACTATTGCACGATTGCCAGGCTGTGGCATTCACTGCCACACGACAGCGGTAGCTCGCCGCTAGGTTGCTCTCGTACCGGTAGTCGGCCAGTATCTACTTGGCTGGAGCAACGACTAACGACGATCCCAAGCTCCAACTATCTGCCCGTTGCGCCTTGCAACAATGCGCGAGCGCCGCGACAGGTTTGTCGAGCGGAGAAAACTAGTGACGCACGGGTTGAATACGCCAAAGAATGGACTAACATAATACGATAACTGCAGCGTTTAAGATGGTCCAATCGAGACTCAGCGACTCGGATCGTTTCGCCGTCCACGTGTTGCGTGCGTTTAGCCTATCAGCGTATCCGGACGTGGCGCGACCACCCAATGGCTGGGGGCGCATCCGGATACGCCATCGATTATTGGATCGAAGCGGCAATTCTATCCAGCTCTCATGGCGGCCCCATCCTCCGTGCGCGAGCTTAACCGCCTGTACGTGCAGTCCAGCACGCTCCAGTGCGCGCTCGACCTCTGCCGCCCGTGCTGCTACAAGGTCATCGTGCATGGCGGCAAGGACATTGTGCCCAACCAGCGCCCAGAGCTCTGCCCGCGCTTCCAAAGCCCGGCGGCCAAGAAGGCCTCGGACGACGAGGGCGACGACGAGCCGACGCCGCCGGCACCGCTCACCAACGCACTGATTGCCACCGATGACAAGACCGTGCTCACGGTCGGCGACGGCAACTTTTCGTTCTCGCTTGCCATGACCAAGTACTTGGCGTCGGGCGCGCAGCTCACGGCCACGTCGCACGAATCCAAGGACACGGTGCTCGAGACGTACCCCGACAGTGCTGAAATCTTGCGGTCGCTCGATGAAGCGGGCGCCCGCGTCTTGCACGAAGTCGACGCGACAAACGCCGCCGCGCTCGAGGCCCTCGGTACTTTTGACCGCATCATGTGGAACTTCCCGTGCGTTCGCATGGAGAACGGCGCCGATGGCCAAAACAACGAGATGGAAGAGAACAAGGCGCTCCTCAAGGGCTTCTTCTCGGTCGTCCTCGGCTCGCTCGCGCCGGGCGGCGAGGTGCACGTGACGCACAAGACCAAGCCGCCGTTCGGGCAGTGGGGCATCCTCGAGATCGCGGCTGCTTGCGGTCTCTCGCACCTCGGGTCGGTCGTCTTTGACCGGTGCCTCTACCCGGGCTACTCGAACAAGAAGGTGCTCTCGAAGGGCTCGTTCCCGATCTGGGACTCGGAGACGTTTGTGTTTGTGCGCCCGTCAGACCTGAAGACGTGCACCTTCTCGCTCCCGACGACCATGCCGGAATCCGCCGCCGTCGACCAAGGCTGCGAGCGCTTTGTCTCGTGGACGCCCGAGCAGTGGGAGAAGGAAGGGACGCTGATCCCGATGACGCCTGGCATCGTGCGCGACATTCGCATCTTGCTGAGCCCGGTCAACAAGAAGCAGCTCGAAGAGAAGGAGAAGGAGCGCAAGAAGCGCAAGCTCGAGGCGCTCACGACCTCGCTTCCCGAAGACGTTCTCGCCGCCAAGAAGCTCAAGCGGAAACCGCACCAGAAGAAGGCGCCGATCAAGACGAGCGAGAAGAACAAGAAAGCCATGCCGGCCTCCAAGCGCAACAAGAAGGCCAAGCGTACGTGCATGATCCTCCTCCACCCGTCCGTCTCATGCCTCTGTCTAGGTCACGCCTAACAAGAATACCCTAATGCTAGATCCACCTATAAGACACAAGCGTATATTACACTCGACGTCTCAGTGCATCGCGCTCTGCCGACGCGCGACCTTCTTGGGCTTAAGGACCTTGCGCGTGCGCCGGTACTTGCGGAAAGCGACTTGGATCTTAGTGCACGCCTTCTCCATCGCATGCCAGCCATAAAGGACGAAGAACGTGTCGCCCTCGAGCACCTAGTTGACAATCAACCTTGGCGTAGGACGGAGGAAATGGACCTGGACGTCGGCGCGGGGTGTCGTGAGGACGATCGGAAGCTCCTTCACGGCTGTGCCAGCGTTGATCTCTTGCGACGTGTTGCGGTAGATGCCAAGCACAATACCCGGGTACTTGGACGCTGCAAAGAGCCGAAAGATCGAGCCGTACGTCATGCCTTGGTTCTAACACCATGCTTATGTCACCGCATATCAAAATAAGGTCTTACTTGGTACATCTTGGCCAATGGCACACTCGTCACAATGCCGGTGCTCCGCGGCCCGCCAATAAGCTGGCGAATAATGCGGTGGATGTTTTGGCTGTAGTACGACTACAGACAATTCCATGCATATGAGACCAAGATGAAGCACTAGTAGAGAAAGTGTACCTGGACAAGGACCGTCTCACAAAACTGCGGGTGAAGAAGCCGACCCGACATGAAGAGGGGCATGCGGTAAATCGGCTGCTCCTCGGACGACGCGCCGGCCACTTGGGACGACGTGCTCAGCGCCGTCTTCCAAAAGTCCCAGAAGCGATCGGGGGTCGTGACCGACGTCGATTCGCTCGACTTGAAGCCCGAGAGCACAAATTTCTTGTTGAGAAACTTGGAGTTGGACTCGTCCGTGAGCTCGGTGAGCGTAAACATGCGCGTAAAGTCCATGTTGAGCTCAATGAGCATCGTCGTAAAGATGGCTTCCGCGTCGACCATGCTCGTTTCCATGAGACCCGACACGCTTTCTTTCGCGCTCTTGGCGAGGACGACGACCGACGCCGCCGACTTAGCGCCCGCGCGCTGCAGCTCTCGGTACACGAGCGGGCTGCCGCAGACATAATACTAGACAGAGTGTCCGTTTTGTGCGAGCAAGAATGACCGAAACAACGTACGACGTCTCGGAATTTGGAGATCGCGGCGGCCCATTCGTCCGAGACGGGCGATGCGTCGAGGATTGTGATGGGCGGGTGCCGCAGCGAAAAGACACCGCGCAGCGGCGAGATGAACCACTGGAGGGACGCGAGCGACTCTTCGCCCAGAAAACTAGGGAAAATATCAGACAACTTGTCCTCGGAACTTTCTCCGAACCTGCAAATGACAATATGGTTGGGGTCTTGCAGCACCGCGAGCGGCGGCGGCTGCAGAAGGCGCGGTGGGCGGTGGCCATACATGGACACAATGTCGTCAACGACCAAGTGCCGGAGCCGGTGGTCAATGTCCGACTTGGGCATGCGGACATGGGTGACAATACGTGACAGCATTGAATCCTATCGTACGATCTCATTGCACAGAAAAGAAAATCAACTCTTACGGCGTGGATCGACTCGCCACTCAAAAGCACCTGCATCGATGTGAGGGCTCGGGACCGACACGTACACGCACATACCCGGGGGTTGGCGCCGAGTACGGGCACCGACTTGTTTTTCCCAAAATGGGCGGGCGACCGGAGACCACGGTACGTTGTCCGCAGCGTGTCTTCGGCATGGTCGGGCGAGTACGGTGCGTCCGATCTAGATCGATAGGAGACCATCTACCACATTGCACGGGACTCTACCGTTCGTGCATGCGCTTGGAGGACGTCGGAGTCGGGATCTGGTTGGCGTCGTCGACGAGAACGTCGCCGAGGTGCTCGGCCATCGAGATGTGGAACTTGGCGACCATGTCGGCGTCTTCCGCGATCACGTACACACGACTGCCTTCGCGCAGCACCATGGCGAAGCCCGGGTTGAGGACGAGGCGGACGCCCGAGATGAGCGACTCGTCCTTTGCACTCGCGTTGGGCGCGCCGTCAACGACCACTTCAACCGCCACAAGCACGACAGCACCCTATATATCGCCCCAGGATTGTACTTGGATTCGCCATATACGGCGCTCGTACGCTCGAGTCTCGAAAGATCTTTTGGGCTGCTTGGACGAACGTGAGGTCGGCGTACTTCTACTCCCAAGAGGTCTTTCATCCATGTGTCCATCGACGTTATCGTACCTTGCTGAGCGAGACGACGTAAAATTCGCGCGACGCACCCTACCGACGAGTTTAGCGCGTTGAAACTCTGCCGTGCACGATACCTCGTAGTACAGTTGCTCCGTGTACAGCGTCTCGGCAAGGTCAATGTCCGACTGCCGCACAGGCCGCGTCGTCGCTTTGGCCGCGAGCGCGCGCTGGAGCTTGTTGAGGATCGTCTTGGACGTACGCGGGCGCTTGTCAAGTGTGAGACAGGACCCAAGGTTGGCGATCATGGTCGAGAAGCCGGGGCACACGCAGCTCTGCGCGAGGACGCCGAGCTTCATCGTGTCTTCGCACACAATGTCGTCGCGGTCGAGGCCCGCGGCCATCATGTGCCGGACGTTCTCCGACTTGAGCACCATCGCAAGGCACCGGAAGCGTGATCTAGCGAGACATGCAGACATGTCGACTTCCTATCGATATGCGTGTACCCTGCATATTGCTTGGTCGAGAGTATGTGCATGATGTTCTTCGCGTCTTCCTTGACCGGGTCTTTGGCCAGCTAATAAGGTCTGCGTCACGCGACGAGCAACAACGAGGCAAGCGCACCTTGTCGGGAAGAAAGAAAGCGGCGAGGGCTTCCTTGACCCGCGCTCGATCCTACAAAGAAGGCGTGAAGGCGAGCGTACGAGAGCCAAGACGTACGAGGTCTTCATTGCGCGACGGGTCGCCGGCCACATACGTCACGCGCGAAGCAAACTTGGGATCGTTCTCGATCTTTTGGATAAGACCTTTAACATACTTGGAGCTGCCCCGCTCGCCAAGGACGATCGCCTAGAGACAAAATATAGTTATGAGGACTGCGGAGACACGGAGCTTTGGTCGTTGTACGTGCAGGTGGCGCACGGAGACGCCTTGAAAGTGGTCTGGATGGAACAGTTCACGCAACATTGCAGCGAGCTACACGACCATATCTCAACACGAGATCGGTGGATGGTTGCTAACCTGCGGAAACGTCGGGTTGCCCATGATGACGACCGAGTGCGTCCGGGGTTTCGGGGCATACGGCGGGTTCCCGATCGACCGGAGCTTGTAGAGGTTCACGAGGTGCTCGACTTCCATCGAGAAGAGCACAATGCCGGCGACGATGAACACGATCACAAGCATGCGGCTCTCGACCGTGTGTGGCGAGTTGTCGCCATACCCGACGGTCGCCAGCGTCTACACCAATATCGTTGCAGCCAATGTATCAAGGCATCCACTCGACACGTACGACGACGGTGTAGTAGATGGCAAACATAATGGACCACGTCTCGGACGAGCAGTCGTCCGTGAGCTGGTTGCTGATGGTCCCTGCAAATAAATCCGGGATCGAGAAGGCTCCTCGTGACTATTTCGTACCGTTCGAGCACGCGTAGAGGTGCGCAAAGCCGTTCTCGAGGAAGACGCCGATTTCGCCCGTGGTTTCGAAGAAGAAGACGACGGACGACGCGAACGTGAGGAGGAGGAAGCATTTGATGCCTTGGCGCAGCATCATGAGCCCTTTCTCCGACTTGTCGAAATGGCGCTCCATCTCCATATAGCTCCGCAGAATGAAGAGCGACCGCGTGACCGAGAGGTCGAGCCACGTCCGTGTCGGCTTGCCCGCCACGTTGATGCTGGGCGCAAAGCCCACGCAGCAGTAGGACGCGAAGCCGAGGAGGTCGAGGATCGTGTAGAACTCAAACATGTACCCGAGCTTGCGCTTGGCGGCGAAGAAGCGCACGATCGTGTCGAGAAACGTGACGAGGTAGAGGACGAGGCCGACGTAGTAGTAGCCTGTCTCGACCGTGTACGACTGGCAGCGCACGATCATGACGAGGTAGATGCCCAATGACGCGACGAGCTGGATCGGCCGGCTCTAATGCGCATGTCAGTAGGCATTGCGAGCGGAGAAAGGCGACGTACGATGAGCACGGCGACTTGCGACTTGCGCGCCCACTGCCGCAGCGCGAGCGAGAAGCCAACCTCGTCGTTCTGGAGGCGGAGGTTCTGGCGGCGCGACGCGATCATCCAGAGCACCGAGAAGAGCGCGGCCGAGCCCCAGACGATCGCGAACGCGAGCAGCTGCTGCGCCACGAAGTCGCGGCTGTGCACGCACGGGACGTCGCCGGCGGCCACGGCCGTGATCGCGTCGAAGGTCGAGCTCTGGTCCAGCGTCTGCGCGCTCGAGAGGTTCTTGCTGTTGTCCACGTACTGCGGCGCGACGCAGATGTACCTGCCCATCCTGCTAGTCGACTAGTGTACCACGCTCGTAGTATGACCGAAACCAGCGACTAATGCCATTTTTAGCCAATCAGAACGCGCGCATCTGGCTAGTCTTTACAAGGTCCTGCGCTTCCTCCTGTTGCGAGCCGACCTACAATGCAAAGAGCCTGCAACGCCAAGAAAATAGCATGCGAGAGAGCACAAGACAGCGCTCAATGTCCTCGCTCACGGTACCGACAACGCACTGCAGACGTGAACGCGATGGGCGGATGATAGGTGGCAGCAAGTTGAAGCAAGCAAAGAAAAAGAAGGCAGGTCGGTTGTTGAGTCGAAGACTTGGACTCAACAACCACCTGGCCCTGAACTTAGACTCTAAGTTCAGGACCAGTCAATGCAGTCGTACAGTACACGTAGTACACAGCACGGTATTCGGCGTTGGCACCACCCCTGAGCGATTGAATCGGCGATCGAGCTCGGAGAGGTCTACGGGTTGGACTTGGAGATCTTGACACCAAACACCGGATTTCAAAGCGGCAGCGACACGAGTTTGAAGTGATAGCGAAGGACGAGAAGACGCTCCTGCGCGGTAGACCCCGGCGTTGCGGCCGTTCACCCCAAGGAAATAAACAATTTGTTTCATTCCCATGGCTCACCCCAACCGATGATGCATCGGGACAGCGGTGGCGCTGCCGCTCAACACTAACAACGTGTGGGTTCAAGAGTTTGTATGCGGATCAATATGAAGATTATTGCTATACCAGCGAGGCCGCCGTTGTCGCTGTGGCTGGGATGAAGCGCCTGCTCCGTCGTCATGAAAGGCGAGCAAGGGATAGTGCACGGCGCGACGAAGACGGCATATTGAATCGATCAAGGGTGGCTTATCTCGCCCGAGTTGTCGGGGTTGCAAGGACTCAATTCGAGCGTTGGCGTTGCAACGAGCTCTGCTTTGATACGTCACGAAAAGGACCAGACGTACGCACTTGCCTTGCTTTTGGCCGCAGTGTTTCGTAGCAGGTACCGTCGTTCGCACCAGCTCTGTTTCTGCTCCAAATACGTTTGCCACCCATTTGCCAAGCATTGCAACAACGTGATCCGATGCACGAGAGGTTCGTTACTACGGCGCTACGTAGTCATGTGGGTTGGCGGCTGGGCCAAGCCAAAGAGACCAAGGTCGAACGGGGTGAGCCCTCGGGCGTTGCGCACACCGGGGTCCGCACCCTACGCATCGCACGTAGCAAAGCAGCTGCAGACATGCACGTACGAAGCCGAGAAGAAGCTGCGCCGTGTGCACGTGCTGTCCGAGCGCCGCATTGTGCAGTGGCGTGTTCTACAGTGTAAGGGTGTGGCGACGTTCTCGATCATCCAATCTGGCATAGTACACCGTCATGTGAAGACCGCGCGTTGGGGTCTGCGCCGCTGGCCAAGAGCTGCGCCGCGCCGTGGTGGCGGCCAAATGAGGCAAAGTGGTGCAGTGGCGTCGCACCCGAGGCGTTCACGAGCCGCCAGTCGGCGTTGTTGGCGATGAGAAAGGACATGATTTCTTCGCCGTCCGTGCTGAGCGCGGCGACATGAAGGAGCGCGCGACCGTCCAATAGCTGTGCGTTGACGTCGGCGTCTTCCTCTAAGAGGAGCTCGAGCGACTCCTACGCTTGCCGTTGGCCACACGGCTGCAGTAAAGGGTCGTCGCACCGTTCGGCCCTCGAGCGCAGCTATGTGCACTGGCGACGTCGAATCGTACACGCTCGCGTACAAGCGCTGACGCGTACGCTCCAGGCATGCGCTCCACGGCGTATTTGTACTCAGAGCAGAGTCCAAAACATTACAAAGCGGCTGGTCCCGATAGCTCCAGCACGCCAGCGCGCCGCGGTAGCACAGCCCCGCAAGACACGCCACAGCATCTACCAGACGCGCTAGAGGCGAGCGATCGTAGGCATGGTCGTAATGTACCAAGGCCATGCAATGCGGAGCCGCAGCAAGTGGCGCCCGTGGTCTCTACGACGCATGAGGCTCGCGTCGCCCGCAATGCGTACACACCAGCGACAGGACTGCAGCACTCGTCGTCGCTATGGCCTACGCTGCATGAAGTGCTGCATGAGATATGGTGCAAGTGTACACTGGGAGTGGGCGTCCGTGCATCGAGCCCAAGCGGCCAGCAGCCATAACAGCCCCACCGCGAGGACGGCCATCGTCGTCGGGTTGCTGTTTGCCGTCGATTATCCGGCAGTCCAATCCTTCCGGATATCAAGATGCGCCATCACGTTGACACCGATACGATGCCACGTCAGGAAAGGCAGCTTAGTTTTGAAGGAGCGTTAAAAGCTGGCGCGCACTGCAGTGCACCAGTGGGCGCAGTTGACGAAGCTGCACAACGTCTCCAAGAAAGGTCCAACGCCATCGAACAACGCCACCGTAACCCTCAACGGCTTCCACTCGCTTCACTTGTCAATTGTCAAAGCCGATGCACAGCGAGTCGACACCACTGCTACCGCCAAGGCCTCGCAGCGTGCGCCAGCGGTATACAAAAGGCCTCGTGCTCCTTGCGTGCTTTTGCGTGGCGTCCGTCGTGCGGTACCAAGCGACGTTGTCGACGCTTGTCGCGTCACCAGACTTTGACGGCGATCTCCGCGCCCGCTGCAGCGTCCATACCCTCTCTCAGCGTCTTGACCACTTTCAATCGACCAACGGCACGTTTGGGCAGCGCTACTTTGTGTGTCGCGAGTTCTGGGACCAAGAAGCCGGTCCGATCTTCTTCTACGCGGGGAACGAAGCCGACGTCGAGCTGTACTTGAACCACACGGGCTTGATGTGGGAGTCGGCGCCGTCGTTTCGCGCGCTGCTCGTCTTTGCAGAGCACCGGTACTTTGGCCAATCGATGCCAACCCGACGGGCCAACAGTTCCAACGGGCAGTACGCAGTGCACCTCTCGTCGCAGCAGGCGCTCGCCGACTTTGCCGTTTTGATTGCGCACCTCCGAGAGACGCTACCGGCGCCGCACGTACCATTTGTGGCCTTTGGCGGGTCGTACGGCGGCATGCTCGCGGCGTGGCTGCGGCTCAAGTACCCGCACTTGGTCGCGGGGGCGATCGCAGCATCGGCGCCGATGCGGTCTTTCTTGGGCATGGACCCGCCCATGGACTTGGCATCCTTTGCGAGGATCGTCACGCACGATGCCAGTGAAGCCGCGGGCGCAGCGCCGCAGTGCGCCGCCAACATTCGCGCGGCATGGGACCACCTCTTTGCGCTTGGTGGCACTGTCCAAGGCCGTGCAAAGCTCGCAAAAATCTTCCGCGTGTGCCCCGGACGGAACCTCACTGCCCCGGGGCACGTATACGACCTCGCCAACTGGGCCAAAGAGGCGTACGAGAACATGGCGATGGGCAACTACCCGTACCCGACGTCGTACATCACGGGCGGCGACCGCACACTTCCGGCCTTCCCAATGCGAGCCGCGTGCGTCGCCTTTAGCGGCCTCTTGGAGTCACCGGAGGACTTTCTGCACGCGCTGAAGCAAAGCATCGATGTCTATTACAACACGACGGGCGCGGCTCCGTGCTATGCATTCGATGATGACGACAGTCTCGACTACTGGGACTACCTCAACTGCGCCGACATGTACACGCCGCTCGACCAGAATGGCGTCACCGATATGTTCTGGCCCGAGATCCACAACGCGACGACCGACGACGCGGCGTGCGTCGCCAATTGGGGCGTGCACGTGCGGCCGTTCTGGCCGTCGATCGTGTTTGGCGGCACGGACGCGTTCCGGCAGTCGAGCAACATTGTCTTTAGCAACGGGGATTTGGACCCGTGGTACCCGACGGGGTTTACAACGTCCTTGAGCGACTCGGTCGTGGCGCTTCTCATCCACAACGGCGCGCATCACCTCGACCTCATGTTTAGCCATCCGCTCGACTCGCATGCGCTTCGACGCGCCCGTGACACGGAGCGTGACCACATCCGCCGGTGGGTGACCAAGTCGCCTTGAGGATCGAGGAAATCGCGGGTAGGTGTCCAGTCGATGCATCCATTGGCTATTAAAAACATGATACATCGTTTTCATTGGTCCTATTCCATTTGTTTTGGCCAATGCGTGGCGACCAATGCCACCAACGCGCCGATGTGGCGACGCCAGGACGCTACTTTAGTACCGCTGCGCCTCGTCAAATGCAGCGTGACGGTATTGTTAATGTCTGAAATGAAATACGCTATAACTTGGCAGATCGCTAGAAGACTCTTTAGAGGACATGGAGCACTCGGGCGCTCCGTCATCCGAGACGTGGAGCCCGAGATAGTGTTGAAAGATTGCTTTCCAAGGAACCTTCACTCTCGTGCTAAAAGAGCTGCGTTCGTGATTGCCGCTTGGTTGTGCTTCAGCCTGCAGCACAACGAAATGACACATGCCAACAGCACCGCGCTCTTGTTGGGCGGCGTCCGCATGGAGCTCTCGCACTCATGGAGCGCAGAACGCAGCACCTTGCTCCCGCTCATCTTGTTGTACGCCGGGTCGGCCTCCGACATCTACCGCAGCCCAGTCTATGTGTGCAAGGAGTGGCTCGCAGCAGCCGACTCCAGCGAGTACTGGCTGGGCGTCGCCGCGTCGCTTCCCAACGGCAACGACACGTCACGTCTGGTCGCGACAGCTGCGTCGCCCAAGCGCTTCGTAATCGACTATTTTTTGGAGCAACTCAAACCGACGCAATGGGAGGTCAACCCGAATTTGGTGGTCGAGTACCGCGATAACACGAGTGACGACGTGACAAGCCCCGAGGACCCACGCTACCACAACCTCGTCGGCTCGCGCGCCCCCTTGCATCCAAAGCTGCTACGCATCGACACACTTTTATTGCCGCCTTGGACAGACGTTTGCTCGACCGCCGCCGTCGCTGCCATTTCTGCAGATCCGGCTCTGCACAGCTCCGCGCTTCGATCAAAACGTACGCTGGCAATTGATTGTACGCAGCCATCCATCCACCACCCTCCTCTTTGTCGAGGAATTTCATCATGCGGCGGGGGTCCTGTGGAGTCAAACCACGCGCTGTGTGAGCCTCGAAGACGTCAGAGCCACCGACACCCAAATCGTTCTGGAATGGCTCGGACGCGACACGTCGACGTGGGCTGGCCACTACGGTGCAAAGGTCGCCAATGTCTCGGCCATATACCTCGTACACCCCGTGCCCGACGCCACCGTCGTTCTCAACTACTAAGCTGCTCAGCTTCGCTGTCAGATCCTCAAGCGTAAGCTTGTGTACCAGAGTACTCGTCCCATGTTATAAAAACAAAAAGAACATCCAATTGCACTTTGTACCTCTTGCATCAAACGAGTGTCCATGTTGTGGCTACAAAGTACGTCACGATTCGAGCCTCCGGCGGCAAAGGTTATTCCGTCGTCAAGGGCCCCATCGTCATCAACCCAGTTGCTGTTTCATTGGTCCACGGACCATGCTGCGTTTTGATTGATCGGTTTCAGCCAATGGAACGGCGGGAATCGATTGCACCAGATCGAGAGATGCAAGCAGTGGACGAGGTCTCGTCGAACCATGCGCACGTAGCGCTGCCGCGTACTTGGAGCGCAGAGTTGAGCAGTTTGCTTCCAGTCATCTTGGCGTACGTTGGATCGGCCGCCGACGTCTATCGCAGCTCCGTGTATGTGTGCAAGGACTGGCACGCGGCCGCCGAGTCGAGTGCGTTTTGGACCAACGCCGCCGTGTCGCTTGCGATGTGCAATGAGATCGTGCCCTTCGTCGCGGCGGCTGCGCCGTCCAAGCGCTTTGTCATCGACCACCTCTTTGAGCAGCTCAAGGCGACGCAGTGGGATATCGATCCGAATCTGCTCGAAGAGCATCGTGTCAACGATGAAGACGCATGGGCCGAGGGCCCCTGCGCGCACAACCTCAGTGGCACACACGCACCGCCTTCGATTCAGCACTGCTACGCGTCAACGCACTATTGGTGTAGCCTCGCACAGACCTTTGCCCGGCCACCGCCGTCGCTCCCGTTTGTGCAGCTTCAGCTCTGCACCGCCGCGCGCTTTGACCAAGCAGTGCGCTGGACGCTCGTGCTACGGAGCCTTCCGTCCGAAGAGGTCCTTTTCCAAGAGCTGTTTCGCCAAGCAGCGGGAATCCACTGGCGCCAGACCATGCGCAGCGTGAGCCTTGCAGCCATGCCCACGGATGACACCCACCTCCAGCTCGAATGGCGAGGACGCGACACGAGGTACTGGCGAGGACACTATGGCGCAAAAGTCGCCAACGTCTCAGCAAAATACCGCGTGTATCCTGTACCGAATGCCACCTTTAGTCTTGAGGCCATCTACATATAATGTACTAGGCGATCGATATTCCGATTGGCTATAAAAGTAAGCAATACAGCGTTATGATTGGCGCATTGTATTTATTTTGGCCAATACATAATGATACTCACCTGGTGCCGAGCTGCATCATGGAATTGGCGACGCAAGGTGGCCAAGAAGTCGTCTGAAATGAAATGCGATGAAACTTGCCAGATCGATAGAAGTGACTTTGTAGAGCAAGAATCACCCGGCGTCGTCGTCAGTAGAAGCGTACAGCGAGAGAAATCCAAGTTTGAAGTTGACCTAAATTACCATCACTCTCGCATCATCCAAGACCTACATTCATTGCCCACCACTTTCCGCATTCCACTCAAAAGTCTCGCACGCGTGGGGTGCAGAACTTAGCAGCTTGCTCCCGCTCATCTTGACGTACGCCGGGTCGGCCACCGACGTCTATCGCAGCCCAGTCTATGTGTGCAAGGAGTGGCTCGCAGCCGCTGACTCGAGCGACTACTGGGTAGGCGTCGCCGCGGCTGTTGCGATTCGTCATCGGCTTTCGCGGTGTCCTGGTGCTACGCTGTCTTACGCGCATGAGGGTTCTCTCTAAAGAGCTTTTTGAGCGCGTGGCCGGAATCCGATGGCGTCAAACCACGCGCTGCGTGGGCCTCGCGGCTAGGGGACGCCCGACTGTGGCTCGCGCGGAACAGACGCGACACGTCCACTTCAACGGTCACCGGCATCGCACCTCGTGCATCCAGTGTCTGATGCCGCTTTCTAGACCTCGAGACCATTCTTGCAAGACATACCAAGTCGCGCCTAACCTTGGTCCGACTGGACTGCGACAAGAGTCAGAAACAGAGACCTTAACACGATGTGGATCCATGCTTATGCCTCGGCGCTCTCGGCCGCAGCCGGCGGCTCGAGCTCGCGCAAGCGCGCTTCGACACTCGCGACCCGCTCGGCGGGGCAAATGAGCGTGAGGAGGCGCAGCTGCTTGATGGCTTCGTCCACGTGGCCGATTTGCACGAGGAACTCGGCGAGGTACTCGTACGTGGCTGGGTTGCGCTCGTGGAGGCGAATGGACTCTTTGAACGCAATCATGGCGTTCTGGTAGTCGCCGAGCGCGGCGTGGGCGCGGCCGTACGTGCACAAAAGGATGCTCCAGCTCATGTGGTCGTGCGTCGGAATGAGCTACGAACAGATTCCATGAGCGCTGCGTCTCCTCGCATGCGCACCTTGAGCGCGCTCTCGATGAGGTTCTTGGCCTTCTCGGGGTGGTGCGGCATCTCGACCAGGGCACTACGCATCGCAAAACTCATTGTCCGAGTACGATTCAGAGGCGAAGTTGTACCGGAGGTTCCACGTCGCGGCCCGCTTCTTGTCGACCTTGAGGGCGGCCGTGCACGCGTCCCGAGCTCGCTTTGTGTTCTTGGCGCGTCGCTCGATCTTGGCCAACGTCGTGAGTAGCATCACACGGTTGCTGCACTGCTGCGTCGCTAAGGCTCGCGCATGAGGTCGACTTGACATGACATCAACGATCATCACCAAGGTCCAAGACAACGCGAGCCGACTCGATATTGCCGCGCTTGGCCTCCATCTTGGCCAACGAGCACCAGTAGCTCGCCGACCACGGCGAGAGGTGCGTCGCCTATCCACCTGCATGAAGGAGACGGTAGACGAAGAACATACCTTTTCGTAGTACTCTTTGGCCCGATCCACATCGCCGTGCTTCTCTTCCAGAATGCCCCAGTTCTAGTCCATAGTCGTTGAGTCGATGGTTTGCACAATGCAAGAGATGGTCGTACGTGCCACAGCTGCGCACTGTCGGGGACCATGGCGACGCCGGTCGAGAATGTCTCGCGCGCGTCGTCGAGGCCATGCTGGGCGTCCGTGCGAAGATGAAGGTACGCCAGCGACTAGGATCCATATGCACTCACGAGATATGGACGCGACGCCTTCTACCGTGATGTTTGAGATGCTCCCCGGGTTGTGCTTGAGCACGGTATGGTAGATCTTGAGCGCTGCGCCGTGGTTGCCAAGACCGTCTTCAAACTGCGCGAACGCATTGTACGCACGCTCGTCGATCGACGACAACTTGGTGTCTACACGCACGCCACTTTAGTGCCTGCCCATACCATTAGAACGCCGACATTCGCGGAACGCGTCGCGGGCGCCATCGACATCGCCGAGCTTTGCAAGGCTCATTGCACGCAACATAAACTGCTTCTTATCGTACGGCGCCGACTCGAGGCCTTGGTCCAAGACGACCACGGCCTCGCCGTAAAAGCCGCGTTCGTACTCGAGCTGTGCCCACGCCTACAACGAGGTGTATGTCAGTATCAAGTTGATACAGACACGCCAACGGACGTGGAAGACTTGGGGCGTGCAGAGCGCCATTTGCGTCGCTTGCGTAAAGAGCTGCCGCGCGAGCTTCATGTGGCCGTGGCGGCCCTCGAAGAGGGCGTAGGCCTATACCAGGCATCAGGATACAAGCGAGATGTTTGCCTTCCGCCAACTGTACCTCGGCCAAGTGGATGTCGTCCGGAAATTTCTTCTTGTACGCGATAAAGAGCTTTCTAACCCCTTGCGGCGTTCAGACCTGATCGAGAGCCATTCAATTGATTACTGTACCTGGCTTTGTCCGTGTTGCCGCTGCGATCTTCGACCAAGGCCAAGCCTACGCTGCCCATCTGAGCATCGCACGAGCAAGGGATCGAGTTCGCACCGAGACCGGCCATCGCGGTCTGCGTCGTCTTGCCGGCGTCGGCCGCAATGATGACGTTGAAGAGACGGCGTGCTTCGTTGAAGTTTTCAATGTCGCCTTCCATCGTCGCCCACGACTGCCAGAGACTCGCGCTGAAGCAGATTTTGGACGCTTTGGTAAAGATCTTGCGCGCAAGCATGACCTTGCCGTCGCGCCACTCCTGTCATATCGCCTGTCAGGAAGACGCGTATTGGATTGCGATGGCGCAGTACCATGGTCGCCCACTTGTTCCACATCTCCATGTCGTGGTAGTAGTGGTGCTGGAGCACATTGCGGAAGAGCCGCCGGGCGCCATTGATGTCGAGGCGGATGAGCGCCTGCAAGGTCATCTCGTTCGCCGCGACGTGGTCGCTCTGGAAGCCTTCGAGGTGGTCACGCTCAGGCTCCCACTCACCCGTTTCTTCGCTGTACGAGCCAAAGTAGCTGCCCGTGGCCGGCGGCGCCGCCGACGAAAAGGCAGGCCGCGACTGCGACAGCCAGCGCTGCTGCTGGTACATGGTCTTGATGCTCGAGACGCGGTGCGTCTGCTTCCACGTCGCCAGCACGAGCGACTGCGACCGCAGCACCGTCGCGCCCGAGAGGCGAAGCGTCTGGGGTCGCAGGACCCGGCGATGGAAGGCCAGCATCGTACTTGGAACGCGTCCGAGCAACACCGATTGCGAGTGCCAATCGGCCACGCTTTATACGTCGCGCCTCGCCATACAAATAACAAGTATACTTTCTATTTTATTTATTTAACTTCGAACTTCGGCTCTCGCAAGGAACCTCACTTTGACCTCGAGCGAGGTGACGTGCTGGCGACAAACAGGCAAGCGCGTCGCGACGTCGCTCTTGCCTGTAGAGACGTACTAGGCGCGCAGTGCAATAAAACCATTCTTCACGCGTCACCTTGATACCCACGAAATCGCTCAAAGCCCAGCTTTACGGCTGGGTGCAGCTACCGGGTGCCAGGGCAAATGGCCTCTGCTTCGCTTGCAATGGCTACGAATGTCGCTAGCTGTAGGCGAAGGCAACGGACGCCATGCATGCGCACGCCTGAAACAACTGAGCCTTCCGAAGCTCCACGCTTGCCCAACGCCAAGTTGAAGTTCTAGGGCGAAATCGCAAAAACCTGCGTACAAGGACCAAGAACCTAGCCCACGACGAGGTGCGTTCGCCTTGCTGCCGTGTCTTATTGCACGAGCGATCGGCGTCAAGGGATTTAATCACGTACACGCTCCATGGCGACAGATACTACCGTCGTACTTCCAGCAAGGAATTTCAAACTTCGATTCATGGGTCTTCGATTATAATTGCTGGCACCGTGCAACACTTACATGCAGGTCAACTTGGTGCCATGCGCGCTCGTCGAGCGGGCAGATACGAAGAAGATGCTGTACGTGCAAGCTCTACGCAGCAGAGAGCCTCACCTCGGGCTAGGTACCGCGCCTGCGGGCTCTGCCAGCGAGTGCTGCAGAGCGACCAGCGTACGTCGTCTCTCGCCGACGCGAGGCTCGGACAGGCCGCGTACTAGGACCGTATTGCCGCTTCTGCAATGTGGCACTACACGAGACGACCCAAGTGATCTGGAGGTACAAGCTCGTGGTACCTCTCGATGCTCGTCGCTGCGGCTCATGCGCGTGATAGCTCAGCTGCGCGATTGGCATGACGCTCCTCAACGTCATCCTCTTTGACGAAGGTGCGCGTATGACCTCAACCTGTCGAGGAACACACGCCGCATGTGTAGTCGCCGAGGTGTTCTTGGCGCGCCGGCCAGCCGCTACGCCAAAGTCCTCGAGTGCTCCCGACCCGAAGCTCGTATCTCAATTCGTGTGTCGTAGCTGCGGGAGAGGCTGCCGTCGCTCGATGCAGCGCTGGCCGAGACGCTCGAAGGGTCCCTAGTCGAGATGACGCTGCAGGTAGCGCTTAGCGTAGATATATCGGTTGACGCTGGCTGGTATAGGAGAGCGCCGTCAACACGGCCACCGGCTACGAGGTACATGAGCGTTCTTCATCTCCGTGCGCTCATGCGCGTCATGACGCTAGAGAGAGCCCAAGGCCGTTCGCATCGCGTGGTACGGGTCCGCCGACGCGACCCCGCTGCTCACGCGCGTCCTCCAGCGCCACTACAAGGAGAGCAACGTCACGCTCTAGTCGCTGCCACGTGTGTTTGAACGAAATATTGTCTTCTGTGCACATAGCGAGCTTCGTAAGTAGCCAGAAGTCGTCCACTCGTGTATATATTAATAGCGCATGGTCGTCTTGGACATTGAGAAGCGGGAGATTCACGCGCTCTGCGACCTCTTCCACGCCCTCGATGGTAGCTCTGCGCTTGGAGTCGAAGTGCTTAGCGTGCGATAGGCTCGCGCTGGCGGCGCAAGGACGGGTGGCTCAAGCTGGACCAGACCCAAGAAACGTCGTCAGGCGTCGGGCTCGACTGGTTTGGCACCAAGTGGGACAAAGGGCGGCTCGTCGCGCTCGATCTCAGTCGCAACGACCTCCGCGGATCGCTCCCTGATATCTTTGGCACGTTCAAGAAGCTCCGGTCGCTCCAGCTGCGGGACAACCCGCGTCTCCGCGGTCTCACGTTCTCCACCAAACACTCTACTAGTACTTACTCCTAACACAACGTAGGGCGACTGCCACCGTCGCTCTATTCTCTCCAGCGCCTCCAGCTCGTGTACCTCGATGGCACGCAGCTCGGACACGTCATACCACCTGCGCTGGCGCACAACCTCCACGTCACCCAGTACAAGTCGGACGCGATCGCCACGATTCGCTTCCACACACCAGGGCCGTGCCAATGGATGGTCGACATTTCCGAGCAGGAAATGTATGTGGTGGCGGCCAAGCTCGAGGCGGCGAGGCAGCCGCCGCCACCGCGCGCCATTGAGCGCTCGGCGATGAACGCGACGGGTGCGGAGCGCACGGCGGCCGCCACCAAGCTGCAGCAACACTACCGCGCGAAAATGGCGCGCCGCAAGTTTCACGACTTCCTCTCGACCATCTACGAGGTGTATGTGGACGCAGCGTCCGGCGCTGCCTACTATGTCGATACGCGCACGGGCGACTCGACGTGGGAGAAACCTGCGCTGCTCCGACGCGTGGAGGCAGTCACGGGAACGAAGAAGGCGCCACCGCCGGTCTTGCCGCAGCTCGACGAGTGGCAGGCGCTGCACGACGACGACGGCCACGAGGTAGATGGCGATTGCTGCTGCCATCGGAGGTACATGTAGCTCGTTGCGTAGTACTTTTGGAATCCTCGGACGAACGAGACGCGGTGGGAGGACCCGCGGCGGCGCCCGACGATCCGCGATGAGCTTTTACGACGGTATGGCTTCGAGTCGACGGACGACGAGCGCTACGCACGCCTCTTTGCCGAGTACGACAGAGACCACAGCGGCAACATCGACGCCGACGAGTTCACAGCGCTGTGCGGCGACCTCGGGTTGCCCATGGGCCCGGCACAGATTGCGAGCGTCCTGCAGACGCTCGATACGTCGGGCGATGGGCTTCTCAGCGTCGACGAGCTCAAACTCTGGCTCGACGCTGCCCATTGAGTCGAGTTGCGCGATAATGACACTCGAACTCCTTTACGTTAGCGAGGGCTACAGAATCGCAACGAGCTTTTCGGCGTCGACGAGCGACCGCGTGAGGCCCACGAGGAGGCCGCGCTCGAGCGTGTAAATGTCTCGGCAGACGCAGACGCAGTGGACGCCGTTGGTGCGTGTGTCAAAGGTGACGGAATACTCGGCAAAGACGGCGTGTCCAATGGTCTCGAGCACGGGCAGTGACGTCACAGACACCGTGACCGCGGCGTCGACAAGCGCCTTGAACTTGGCCATGCCCGCCGGCCCCGCGTACTTGCCCCAGAACGGAACGTCTTCCGGGACTTCGCACTGCAGCACAAAGGTGCTGCTGCCGGGTGGTAGCGTGAAGAGAAACGGGTTAATCGACGCTTCGTACATGGCGCGCACCGTTCGCAAGTGCGCTTCCTACATGTCTCGACGTGAGTGGATGGGTTGCGGTACAAAGCGCTACCTCGTTGATGTCGGCGCCTTTGGTTGCAATGAAAATGGCCGACGCAATTGCACGGAGCCAGGCGTCGCGAGACGTGCGCTGCCGCAGCACCAGCGTCAGCGTCACATCGACCTCCTTGATCGTATCAAAGCCGACGACCTGAAGGCCAAACGCGTTGGGCTGCTTGGCGTACACCATCCACTCGGCCACATGGCAGGCGACCATCGAGAAGCCGGGCGACTTCTTCCCGCGCGAGAAGAGCCGCAGCTTGCTCGCCGGTTTCTCGCTCGCGGCGCGCAGCGAGCACGTGCTCTTGTGCAGCGTCAGGTGCGTTTTCTTCCACTGCCCGAGAGCGACTTGCTGAAAGACGTGTCCCGTGACGACGTCGCCGTCGTCCTCACTCACGAGCGCATCGTCCAACGCGTCGAGGTCCGCGTCGGTAATCGGGCACGACGCTTGGCTGCTGCTGCTTTCGCGGCTCTGCGTCACTGCGTGGAGCGTCACACTTGCCTTCTCGACGACGTTGGCGACGGACCCGACCGAGTCGAGGCGCTTGCGGTTGCCCGACGCACTCGCCACGTCGTCCGTCTGCTTGTAGTGCTCGGCCACGAGGCGGCTCGACGTCTCGGCCCACGTCGGACTCTTCTGGCAGTACTGGCGCACGAGCTCCTGCTGCAGCGTCGGCGCACTACGCCCATATACAAACACCGTCAGCATATCGCATAGTACCTGCAGATTTGGTGGACGCGAATGCCGAGACGAGCGACGTGGCCGTGGTACGGCGTGTGGCGCGCGACGAGACCCTTCTCGATGCACTGCAGCAGGTTGAGTGGCTCGTGGCGGAAGGCACTTCGCAGCAGTATGTTGTTGGCTTTGCCGTTCGGGCGGTTCAGGAGCGTCAGAAATATACTGAGCAGCGCGTTGTGCAGCAGGTTAGCGTTCGGGTGCAGCTCAAAGAGCGAGAGAAGCCCCGGGACGAGGTCGTGGTCGGCCATCGTCGCGTCCCAAAGCTCTGCCGCAATCATGGCTTTGATCGCGCGCAACACATGGAGGAGGAGATAACTGGACGTGAGCGGAATGCAGTCGAGCGCGCCCGACCAGTTGCGCTTAAGCGGACTTGTGACGCTAGCGCAGCGACCGTCGAGCCGACCGTCGACGCTGCATCCGTCGGCGTCGTCGGCGTCGTCGTCTTCGCTGTCGGAGAAGGACGCTTGGGTCGCGAGAAAGGTAATTTTGCGGTTGTAGCGGGCAATGTGGATCAAGGTCGTGAGCATCGGCACGAGCTGCTGGAGGTGTTGGACAACCGTCTCGGCCAGACCCGTCGGCGGCACTTGCTCGAGGAGCGCCGAGATGACATCCAGTACAAACACTACTCCAGGACGTTTGATGTTGATACATTGATAATACCACACGTACCGGTCGGAGTCGGGTTCATGGCGATGTCGGCGTGTACGTTCCAGAAGAGGAGCTCGTCGATGCTAATGTCGAGGAGAGGACTCAGCAGCGGAAGCGCATTCGGCGATAGGATCGTCGCGACCGCCCACGCCTGCAACTCGACGTCCATGACGCGCTGCATGTACGCGGCGTTGGCCTCGAACGACGTGGCGTGCGACGTGCCTCGCTGCACATATGTAAACGTGTCCGGGTACTGGCCCGTGACGAGGCCGTGGAGGACGCTGCTGTGATTGGCCATGCGCGCCTGCGTCATGCCGTGGGCGACGCCCCGCGCGGCCTTGAAGTCATATGCAGTCCCAATCGAATTGAGGAGCCCGAGCACGAGCGACGTGGCAAAGGGGAGGGACGCATCGGCGGCGTATCCGAGGTGCACAAGGCCGTGGACCAAGACCGCCATGTCTTCGAGGTAAGAGTGATACAAGAGGCGTTCGCTCCACGCGACGCCATCGACTTCAAGGCGACAGAGCAAGTCGAGCACGGGCGTGTAGATGACGTACGTCTTGGTCATCTGCACAGAGTGGATGTTTCTTCAATGTGGAAGATGATCAACATACCTTGATGAGGAAGCCGAGAAGGATGGGGTCGAGTGGGTCGTTGCACCAGAGGCATCGATACAGGCCCAGAAACGCGTGGGACCACTCGTCGATCGAGAGCTCGGTCCACGGGTACTTGAACGTCGATGGCGACGGGCCTTGCTTGATGTTGATATCCCACCAGTTGGGCGCAGAGGCTGCACGTTCGCGCAGCCGACCATTGATCTTTTCGGTTGAAGCCTCGGGGCTCGACGGCCGCCGGCTGCACTCTTCCTTCGTTGCTGGCGCGGGTGTGTGCCACGTCAGGTACGCCGGGTACAGCCGCGTCGCGACAAAGAAGCAGACGTACTGGTCGCGGTAGATGCCATAGTCGACGTCCTGCCGCAGCGTTTGATGCACGCCAATGCCACCAAACACGCGGCGAATCGCGGCTGGGTTGAGGATGAGGCGCTTCCAGTAGTCGGCGATGGGGTTGGACGAGTGGAGCGAGATGAGGCGCTCGATGCCACCCAGGAGCGTGGCGACGCTGTAGCGCGGGCAGAAGAGACACTCGACGCTCGTGACGTGGCGCAAGCTCTCGCCGTCGTGCGAGCTTGGGCCCGCGTTCTGCGCGGCCTCGGTCCGGTCGCAGCAGCAGGCGTCGACCATCGAGAGCGGTTGTAGCTGCAGATTGCCCAATCAGGCGCGTGCGTGAATGGCTGCTCGACACGGGATTGGTCGGCCACAGGATGTCGAACTTGGACGCACTTTTATTCGAATTCGAGCGACAGTTTGCAAAGGTCCTCGTTGCAGATAGCAAGGAAATACATACACCTTGCAGGTATCATGTTAAAGTCCATAGCTTACTGCTACGGCGCTAGCCCGGCTTCCCGTCGAGGATGCCACGTCTGTGGGGTGCAGAGGATGAGGTCGTCGTCGGTTCTTGTGTCCTGGATACTTTCCGCCCAGCTGTGGTATCCGGATAGAATGTACGAATCGGCATATGCCGAAAATAAATAAGTTGGCGTTGGAGGGGACAGACCACGACCCTTGCGACTGCATGGCCTCGGACCCGGCAGCGCGCGGGTGCGTCGATATGGCCGCACGTCGCACTGGAAGGACGGGCGTGGGCGTGAGCGGGTGTAGTTGAAGCTTGCCAGCTTCAAGTGTTTTTGATTGGCTGATGGTATCCGGATGGGACGCCGATCTTCCAGCACTCAGAATCGGAATGCTGTCCAAGGTTGTGCGCGACGGTGTGTGCGAGCTCACGCTCACGAGCGCCAAGACGCGCAATGCGCTCGGGCTTGGCCTCATCCGTGAGCTCCAGGACGCTCTCTGCAGCATCCACGAGGACCGCGCTGTTCGGTGCGTCGCAAGAGTCCATGACCTCTCGAGCCCATCATGACAGTCGGTGTCTAGCGTCGTCGTGCTCGGCGCGGAGGGCCCGGCCTTCTGCTCGGGGCACAACCTCAAGGAAATGCACGCAGCGCGCGAGGCCTGTGCCTCCAACGACCAAGTGCTCGCATCGTCCGACGGCGCGCGTGAGCTCAAGGAGACGTTCGATGCGTGCAGTCGCATGATGCAGTCGATCCTGACCTTGCATCAGCCCGTGATCGCCAAGGTCAACGGCGTCGCGACGGCAGCGGGGTGCCAGCTCGTCGCGACGTGTGACCTCGCGTTTGCGACGCCCCAGTCGCAGTTTTGCACGCCCGGTACATTGGGATCTCTCTTCTTCACGCGGCTTCATGCGACAGCGCAGGCGTCAACATTGGGCTCTTTTGCTCGACGCCAGGTGTTGCGCTCGGCCGCGCCGTCGGCCGGAAGCAGGCCATGCGCATGCTTCTCACTGGCGACCTCGTCTCGGCCGACGACGCTGTCCTCATGGGGCTCCTCAACGACGTTGTGCCCGAGGCGGTACGCGCGAGATAGACCTCCTCCGCGCCGACATGATCCTTGAACGCAGGAGCTCGACGCCCACGTGAGCGCTCTCGCACAGCAGATCGCGTCCAAGAGCCCAACGGCACTCCGCCTCGGAAAGCGCGCTTTCTACCGGCAGCTCGAGATGCCAGTGGGCGATGCCTACGCGTATGCGTCGTCGGTACGCTTCCGTGCGCCTTCGTATCGACGATTTCCACGCATGCTCCTAGGTGATGTGGACCAACATGATGGCCGAGGACGCCCGCCACGGCATCGGCGCCTTCCTCGCCAAGACCAAACCGACGTGGCAAGACTAAGATTCTTAAATAACAAGAGACGTCGCGAGCACCGTGGTCGCGCGGGAGACAGCACAGGAATACAACGAGGCGGCGCTAGCGGATGCGGAGCGTGACGAGGCCGGTAATGTCACCCGTGCGCCGACCACCGACCGCCAGCGTCGCACCAAACGGAACGCTCGACCCGTGGTGCGCGTACGCTTGGGAGAGCGAGATGACGCACTGGCCCATCGACTTGTCGGGCTTGCCAATGTCGAGGGCCACGTGCATGTGCGGCCGCGGGTGGGTGTTGGTCGTCTGCGCAATGCCCTTGAGCTGCAGACGGTGCAGACTCACCGTCTTGGTGTTCGAGTACAAGCTCATGTCGCGTCGCGTCTGGAGCCGCCCCGCCATCTCCTCCAGCTAGCATTGTAGTACGACGTCAGGACACGCCAAAGAGATAGTTCATCGTCGTACCAGTCGCTGGTGCAGGTAGTCGTCTTCACACGGCAGCGGAAAAAGCACCCGGGCCTCCACCGAGTCTAGTGCAAGATTGTGAGCGCGACCGACCGAGTGACGCGGGTACCGTCAATGAGAAGAACCGAGTCGGTCGTGCCACTGCGCGCGGACGACTGGTCCGTCTTGGGTGCCGAGTCGTCCTTGAACGTATCCCGCTCGACGTCCGTGTCGTTCTGGCCCGACCACGTGATCTCAATGTGGCTCAGCGTCACAGTGCAGCGCTTCTGCGCCTTCTACGAGAACCTAAGGTTAGGTGTAGCGGGACAGGGTCGGTCGCACGAGATTCGAGTCGAGGCAGCGACTGCCCTGCTCCACATACGCCTCAAACAGACAGCTCACGGGCTTATGGTCCGAGACGGTGATGTGCTCGCAGCTGTGGTACGCGACAGGCGTGAGCCGTTCGCGCAGGTCGGGGAGCGAGTGGAAGAGGACGCGGTCGGTATAGGACGGGACGCGCTCGGCCGCGCCTGCGTGCAGCGAAAACACCGTCTCGAGCTGCGATGCCGTCGTGTCGAGCTCGAGGTCGATGCGCGTGCCCCGTTGCCGGCGGTACGTCGGTGCGAACGCAATGGGCGCTTCCTCAAAATCATGAAAAATCTACAAAAATCAAGAAACTGTGGACGAAAACCAAGGTCTGTACTTTGGACTGCTGCATGCAGAGACGCAGTTCGTCGTGCGGGAGGAGCGCCATCCACGCATTCTCGCGCGTGGTGGTGCTGTCGAGCGTCGCGACGCTCGAGTGCTCGTCGTCTTGGAGCAGAAGCGGCGGCTGCGGCGTCGGCGACAGCACGAGCGAGTACGCCGACGACGACATGGAGTGGAAGCGCTCGATTTGGCTCTGCACCGAGAACGAGAGCGCGGCGTTCTTGACGTGCAAGAGCACCGAGGCGAGGAGGTCGAGCACGTGGCGCGCCGACGCCTTCTGGTACGTGAGCCGGTAGTTGAGGTCACCCATGACGATCGTATGTGGGCCATGATGGGCACATCGAAGCCCGAGTGCGTCGCCGAGAGCACCATGTTGTTCAGCACATGGCTCGTATCAATATTGCGCTTCTCGAGCTTGCTCGTCTTCTACAAAAAGACTCAGAAATATGAAGATAGCATGGAAAGGAGCCGACCGAGTCGGACGCGAGGTGGCAGTTGATGACAGCAAACGTCGAGTTGTAGTACCGAAACATAAAGCCGACCGCGCCCTTGTTCGATGCGCGGCCCACGAGGAGCGACTTGCCGCAGTTGACCTACGCGCACGTGTCGATATATCGAACGAATGGGATCGTCGTACCTTGGCCGACGCGTCCAAGTGCATTTCAAAGGCGCGGGAACTCACGTCGTCGGTCGCAACAAAGACCGTGATGGCGATGAACCCCTACTTTAAGCATGGGAAAGAGGTGGAGTCGTCGGATGAATGTACGTGGAAGCCGAGGGCCGTGTTGCGACTTCCAATCTCGCGCGAGTACGCGGTGAAGGACCGCTGCTTGCGCGGGAAACCCTGGTGCTCCAAATGGGCGTGGATCGCTGCGCGGTAGTCGTCTAAATAGAGACATTCTTGGAGGCCGACGACATAGATATCGTGTCCAAGCGGGATCCAGTCGTCCTACATGCCGCCTTGTCAAGCCGACGGCAAGGAGAATGCCAAGTCGGTACGAGGTTCTTGGGCACGCCAGCCTCGCCGCAGTTGAACGTGGTCGCAAAGATCATGGCGCGCTGGAGCTCATAACGACTCAACGAAAGCTCATTGGCTTCGGACGGCGCGTCCTTCTTGTCACAGCCCAATTTCACGCCGCAGCACGCGAGGGCGATGACCGCGATCGGGCAGTCGTGAAAGATACCGCCGTACAAGACAGCATTGATGAATCCTACGCGTCGTGAGCGAGGCAAGGGCACGTCGCACGCACCTTGGAGGTTGATGGTCAGTTGGGCGACCAGCACGAGTGGGAAATGAATCTGGCTCTCGTCGTGGGCTTGGATGCCTACGAATGGATATTGCGGCGATACCGGATTCGATGCTTCGAAGACCTCGAAAGACGAGACTCGGGAGGAGCAGAACCACCGAGCAGACAAGGTACAGCAGAAACTGCTTTTGCAGAATCGAGTACGAGGTCGAGGCGACGTCCGACATCTCTCTAGCCCATATTAGAGCGAGTGGCAGCAGCAATCCACGCTTACTTGTTTGCCCACTTCCACGTGTTGTGCCACACGATGCCAATCATGAGTGCATTAAAGACGGCACAGACGAGCAGGAGCGGGAAGAAGTGCTCCATCTTGGCCAGCCGCCCCTGCTTGGTCTGGCTCGAGAGCCAGCAGTAAAAGTCGGCGCCGCCATACGCACCGCCTACGCCACCCACGCTCAAGAGGCCAGGAGCAAACGATGTGCAACGTACTGCACCAATGCCACATGGACATGGCTGTCGCGGGCACGATCGAGATGGCGAGGTACCACTTGTGGCGGCTGCGGAGCTTCTCGTCCGAGTCGCGCTTGACGCACCACCGGTAGAGGTTAAAGGCCATGCACGACGAGCAGACCCAGGCTATGCCAATACTACCGCGCCTGTGTGTAAGATGGCGTAATACCTTGCATGTTGCCGCAGTCAATGAGGAACGCTTGGATATCACACGCCACTTTGTTGGAAACGAGCGTCATCTCGGGCAGCTTGGCCACGGCGACGACGAGGTCCATGGCCGACATGGCCACCACCAGCGTCGTCGAGTAGTCCATCTTTTCGCGGGCGCGCACGCGGCCATAGTGGCGCACGAGCACGAAGAGGCAGCCGAGCACCGAGATGGACCTACACATGGCATCGTTGGCATCACCCTGCGGCAGAGGACATGACACGTACGCAGTCACGCCCACGGTCCAGTCCATGGCCGAGCGCTGGTCCGCGTCGAGCAGCATGGTGGTCGGCGGCCTGCGGGCTGGGGTGTGTGCGATACATGGCTATCGGCAGAACCCCGTTTCTCAAAGCTGTCTCCGCGTACCTTGACATTTGTATGGCCGATCAAGTAGGTGCGAAAGCGCCAAGGAGGCCACTGACCACATTGCACTTTCGTGACAAAAAAGGGTTCTGTCTAAACACACATACAATAGCCCCGTTTACGATTCGGCAACAGTCCCTGCTTTTGTCGCAATGTCAGGACCAGGCGTGGTATGCCAGGTGAGATCGCGGTTTGCAGGCCAGCACGCGTTAGCAAGTCGAGCCAGCCGGCGGTGACCATCGAAGCGCCGGCGCCGGAGCGTACTCGAGGACGTCGGCGCTCAGGTGCAGGCGCGCGATCTCTGGTAGCGACGTGTACGCGTCGGTTGCGGTCTTGGCGGCACCAAAGTCGTGGAGCCGGACGTTGAGGCTTGCGATCGACGCGAGGAGATCTACTATGCGCATCAAGCGACTTGCTGCATGCGGCTCTCAAGTGTACATGCGTCCTGCGGAAAGGCTGCGCTCAGCTGCGTCAGCACGCGAAAACGGAGATCCGGTAAGCTACATGTATGGCTGAGAATGACGATCGCGCGAGAACACGTCATATCACTGACCATCCGAGGCTACGGCGCACCAAGATAGACTGCGTCATGCTCTCAGCCGTCGGCTGCCCGATCTGGTCGACGCCACTCGCGCGGCGGAGGAGCCTACCATTAACTAGTCGTTCTCCGCAGATGATCAACACAAGCGACCTACTTGTCCAGGTAGATGAGCGTCTTGATGCGCTGGTCGCCGTCGGCCAAGGCCAGATAGGCTGTCATATGTTCTGCAGAGAAGATCACGTGCCTGCGACTCAATGGGAGGTGCGTGCCTTCGCAGCGCTGGGCATCGGGTAGCTTCAAGTAGTAGTGGAAGAGGATCGAGTGCGCTTCCCACAACTGTCTCATCACCAATGTGATCTGTCCATTGGAGTAGACTAGTACGTACACGCTTGTGCTCGATGCGCCGAAGCGTCGCGAGCTCGTCGGGCGTGGGTGGCACCATTGCATTGGTTGCCTTCTCGTTGGGACCGACGGCTTTGGCCACATATTCGATGGCCTTGGCCTCGTCGCCGAGCTTGCGCAGAAGCTTCCCAATCTGCCACGTCTCATGAGCAAGATGAAAGTGCACCGATTGCATCGACCTCGAGGTACGCGACCTTGGGATCCGGCATCGCTTGCTTCTCGCGCCATAGCCGCTTGATCTCGGCCTTCATCTCCTTGACGCCGCTCGATGAGAGGCGCGACGATGTCTTCTTCGTGGGCGACGACGGTGGATCGCCGAGCTCGGCTAGTTTGGCGCGGAGGCGCACCGTGTCTTGGTCTCTCTTGGCCTTGGCTGCTGCCAGTAGCTCGTGCTTGCGGCGTCTGTCGAGATACAAGTAGTATGTGTTTCCATGTGTTCGGTCGATCGACCTACTTGTCGCCTTCGCCAGCGTGGGCGTACTTGACAGCTTGGTACTCGGCGTCAAGCTCTCGGATTTGCTGCTGGAGGTCGTGCCGCTCGCACTGTAGCTTGCACTCCTCTGTACACTTGATACGTAAGAGAAGGCGCACTATAAGCAAGGAGGACCGTCAAACGCGATGAGATCGTCGCGGAACTCCGAGTCGAGCGCGATGAGCTTGAGGAGGCTGCGCGTGTGGTCACGGTTCGCCACGTCTTTGGCGGCGCGGGCAGCTGCGTCACTCGCCCGCTGCGCTCGGAGCGCAGCCATCGTCGCACCAATTTCCTCTCGCTTCGAGCCCGCCATTTATTTGTGTTCAAAAATACAAACGAGCCAAAACGAAACGCTGTGCAATACTTATATGCTTACGCCGGACGCGGCACGAGCTTCATATAGGGCGCGCACACGTGCGAGCAGCCCGTGGGACACACCTGCTGCGTGGCAAACCACTCTTCCATGTGGGCGAGATGGCCGCCATGGGCGCAGACAGGGCACCAGACAAAAAGCCCGGACGCTGGCAGTTGACTAGACAGACCATGTCAATGACCGAACCAGAGACTAGAACGTCGTACCAGATCGAGCACGTGGCGAGGTTTTCGCAGTGCTGACACAAGCCCTGTGGCCCTGGTTTGACGGACGAATTCTTGGCGGCGAGGACGGGGTCGATGGGCTTGCCGCAGCCCGAGCACGACGTGTAGATCGTCGTGGCTTTCTATTGCAACGGCTGCCGACTGCTGCTAATGCGAGAGGGTAGTATTACCATGTTCATTTGCCGAATGCCCGTGTCGGGGCAATTTTTCACCAAGTGATTGGCGACCGTGTAGAGCTGCAGCTGGTGGAGCAAGTCTACGGTTCTACTTGAGCAATCGAAGCAGAAAGCGACGATATGCCTACCAATGTAGTGCATGTACACTTGCTGGAGCCAGCCCTTCTTCATGATGGCATCAATGTTGGTGACCTTGCTCATGACGGCCGCGATACTCGTGCACGCTTGGACGTCGCCGGCCTCGGTGTAGTACGCGAGCACCTCTTTCAGCAGCGTATCCTGGAGCCGCGAGACGTCGACGGTATTTCCGATCGTCGGCGTTGCATCCACCGTACTCTCCTTTTGCGCACCGTCTTCGTACGGGTAGAGATCCACACCCTACACATCATTCTTCTTCGCTTCTTTCCGTTCGGTCAACCGAGACGCACGTGCATGGCTTGCGGGTTGATCTGGTCAAGCTGCTGCAAGAGCGACGACGCTTCGTTCTTGGCGAGCTGCAGTGGCTCTTCGCCCGGCAGCGGTGTCGACGGCGGCAAGTTGGACGCAGGGGCGCGCGCCGGGCTCTTGGTGCGCTTCTCGTAGAGCAGTTGCAAGATAAGCCACGTCTTCTTCATGTGCCCACACCCCGCAGCACCGGCCACCTATGAAAATGCAACCAATGGGCCCAAGAAACAAGATCAACCAACGCGTACGTAGGCGTTGTAGGCGCACATGTCTTGAAAGAGCATCGGCCCGTACAGCGTGTACTCTTGGGCGAGGAACTGAAACACTTGCTCGTTGAAACCAAAGAGCTGCGGGTACAACGACGGTGCCGACGGGATGCCCGCGCCCTCGGTCAAGTGCGCTCGGAGGTCCTCGACGCTCACGGCACTTTGCAAGCTCACGACCGCGACCATCGCTATACACCCGCAGTCCATACACCCGATGTAGAAAAATGCAAAAACTTTACCTTGTGGCGCCGGTACCTCGACCGGTGGCGGACTCTCGGTCAAGAGCGCTGCGAGGTTGGGCACCGACCGCGACGTCGACGGCTTGCGCGTCGACTTGAACGCGAGGCGTGACGTGTTCAGCGGCGGCTTGCCTGCCGACGTCGACGCTGCAATCTGCTGCTGCTGGCGCCACGCGCTTGGCGTTTGCATGGCGAGGCTCGGGTCCATCGCGGCGAAGAGCTCGTTCTGGTCGTACTGGTGGATCTTGAGTGCCGCGCACGACCGGTCTACCCATATTGGATCGATGAGTCTGCTTGGAACTGCAACCCGACGGACGCACCAATGGGGTCATGGGACGAGACGACGTGCCCCGATATGTTCATGGCCAGCGCGACCGTGTGCATGCTCTGGTGCGGCTTGATCGCGTTGGAAAGCGCGTGCAGTTTGAGCGTCTTGTCCTTGGAGCACGCGAGCATGTGTTGCCAGTACCCACAGCCGACATTGTCTGCGGTCACAATCAACAGAAAAAGACGCAAAAATCATGCAACTACCGGTCGCTTCGCCCAGCGGCGCGACATGCAACGGCGTGTCAAACCACTGAAAGTCCGAGACGATGTCGGCGTGGCCCTTCATGCACGCGAGGGGCACGAACGGCCGCGCCGTGTCCCACACGTTGATGCTACCATGCGTGAGCGGAGGACAGAAAGAGTCGACTACCTGCTGTCGGTGATCGACGAACTCGTTGCAATGTGATCTAATGGAATGGTGTCTCAGCTGACACCATGAGCGATCGACGACGTACCGGGGCAGTTGGGGCGCCATTGGATGCGACCTGCGTTGGCAATCAGCGCGATCGTTTGCTTGGGTTTGTTGACGTCGTTCAGGTCCCAAATCTGGCCAAGATTAAGCACGGCATTCGCAAGCGGCAGAATAAACCTACCTTGACACTGCGGTCGCGCGACCCAGTTGCAATCACTGACGGCTGCGTCGGGTGCCAGTCCAGCGACAGAATGTGGCCCTGGTGGGCCGTGAACGTGATCTCGGGCTTCTTGTTGTTGCCGAGTTCCCAGACCTGTAGGGAACATACGAAGGCTATCGTTGGAGAGAGTGCGTACTTCGACCGTGCCATTCTCGAACGCGGCCGCAAACTTGGTGTCGCCAAAGGGACTGAACTTGACGTCGCGAACGCTCTCGGACTTTTGCTGCTGAAACACGTTGATCTGCTTGCCCTTGTAGCGCTGGTCCTAAGGCGCTTGGTCAAAATGGCCGTACGAACGGAGAACGCCGGACCCAGAGCTTGATCAAGCCGTCTTGCGACGCGCTGAGGAGCAGGTTCGGGTCCGTCGGATGCCAGCAAATGCGGTTGACAGCGCGGTCGTGGGCCTTGAAGTCGCGCTCTATTAGGAGAGGCATGAGCCCGGACCAGACGCGCGAAGCAGTGCAACTCTGGAGCTTGGCCGTGTCGCGCTGGATGTCCCAGATCACAATGTAGCCGTTCGTCGACGCCGTTGCGAGGAGGTAGTCGGATTCTACGTGGTGGTGAGGCAGGTGCCAGAAGGGCGACGAAGGCTGCAGTACGAGGATGCCACCGAATATCGTTGGTGCTAAAGTTGAGGCTGGACTTGGCCGAGCGCAGGTTGCGCTTCTCAACAAAGCCGCCGCTCTCGAGGGCGATGATTTTGAGCACGTCGCGGCCGCCGACGGCAATGAGCTAGTGCAATACATGGGCATTGGGTGCCATGGCCCATGGCTCGCCATACCTTTTGGCTGGACGAGACAGAGACCGCGTTTAGCGGACCCTACACATACCGAGCGTGATCTTACCATATACAGAAGCATCTTGGTTGCGCACTGCAAACTCCATGGACGCCCGCACGCTGCTCGGTCGGGTCGCCGTCATCGCACTCTACGAATTGTCGGATTTTGACCAATCCGATCGCAGCTTTTAATAGCCAATCGGTGCCGCGTTTTGCGCCGCATTTCATCCAATCGGCGCGCGCGAGGTTTCACGTCGCAATCCGTTTCGCACTCGAGAAAGGCGCGCCGATGCCAACGGCGCGGCAGGTCCAGCGATGGTGTTCGCTGCGCCTCGAGCAGCGCTTACAGTGGATACGCCTGCTGCGACTGCTCTACCTCCAGGAGCTCAAGGTCAAGCCGTGGTGGCCGCGCGATCCGTTCTTCCCCAAGCGCGACCGCGAGTCCTTCCGCGAGTACACACAGCACACGCTCGAGCAGTCGTTGGCGGGCAAGACGCTGGACGCGGTCATGATTCTGCTCAGTTTTACAATGGTGTACCTCTACATCCACGTTGTGTGGTCCAGTGGCGAAAACCTACCCAGCGCCGGCATTTCCTGTGCGTCATTTCACCCCAAATATGTCATTCTCATGCGATCAACCTCTAGTTGCGACCAAGGCGATCGGCGCCATCTTTACGTTCGAGTACGCCAATATGACGTCTACGAGGTGCCTCTAATGGGCGTGTGTGCTAGCTACATGATACGACTGTACGCCGCGCCGCTCCGCTGGAGCTACGTTCAGAGTTACGCGTCCATCTTTGATCTTATTTGCATCGTCCCAACGTGGGTCGAGATCGGCATGACGCAGGCCCAGCTGCTCGCCTTCTCGCAGGCGACGCCCGAGAACAAGCAGCTTGTGCAGTTTGTCCGCGTCCTCAAGGCGTTCCGGATCCTGCGCGCGTACCGCCTCTTGCGCTTCACGTCGTCGATGGTCCAGCGACAAGTGCTCCTGACGCTCCTCACGGTCATTTGCATCATCGTGTCCATGTCGGGCGCGATGCAGATCATCGAGCTCTGCCCGGACCAGTGCGTGCAGTGGGGTTGCCAGGACTTTCTGCGCTCGGACGGCCAGAAGTGCGTCACCAGTCGCTTCTGCACCACGGGCGTAGGCGCCTCGCTCGCCTGCTGCAACTGCCAGAGCCGACCGTTCTTCGACTGGATGTACTGCATCACGGTGACCATGTCGACAGTCGGGTACGGCGACATTGCGCCAAAGACGCGCCTCGGCCGCCTCACGATGGGCTGCATGATCCTCTTCACGTTCGTCATGATCCCGCTGCAAGTGAATGCGCTCGTCGCGCTCATGTCGGAACGCTCCAAGTTTACGACTCGGTACACCGACTACAAGGCGCACCCGACCGCCGTCCTCCTCTCGGCCACGGACGCGATCAATGCCACGATGCTCAAGCATTTTTTGCGCGAGTTTTTCCACCCGACAGCCCGAATTGGAGCGAGAACCTCTTGATCTTGCACATGAAGCCGCCGAGCCCCGACATCGTCAAGATCATCCACCAATACGAGCCGCGCGTCAAGTACATTGTCGGGTCGCCCCTCAACGTTTACGACCAGAAGCGCGCGGCGCTGCGGAGAGCCGTCGTCTGCTTCATTGTGACGTCGCGCGGGCCCGGCGCCGACTCGCTCGACCAGAAAAGCTCCCTTCTCACCGCCGTGTGCCGACGCATCGTATCACCCAAAGTGCCGATTCTCACCCAAGTGCTCTCGACCGGCAGTGTCCAGCACTGCGTCATCTCGGGCGCCACCACCGCCTTTAGCATTGAACAGATCAAGCTCGCGATTCTGAGCAAGTCCATCTTCGCGGTAGGAGCCTCGACGTTGATCTCCAATCTCTTTACGACCGTGTCGCCGGCCTTCGAGCTGCCGCGCGGTGCCGCTCCGTGGGAAGCTGCCTACTTGCACGGGTACCGACACGAGGTCTACCTTCTCGAGATCCCGTCGCAGTACGCCGATCTCTCGTACGGCGAGCTCATTCTGTTTCTGTACCAACGCTTTCGCATCATCTGCATTGCGGCAGAATCGGTACCGTCTTCTTCGTATTGTCTAGATGACAGTACGTATTGAATGGCATGCTGCGTAGGGTGACGGCCCCCACTTTATGCACAGCGACCACAAGCTGCCGCTCTACGACGACCAGACGTGCCACGTGTACGTCATCGCTGCCGGGTCGAGCGTCAAAGACGACGTGCGCAAGGTCACGCTCGACGAAGTGCGCACGTTCCAGTGGGAGCTTCACTTGACCGAACCGCGCGCCCGCACGCGCCAGATCGTTCGGTCCGCGCACGACATTGAAGCGTCGCGCCAGCGCATTGAGGCCAAGAAACGCCAAATGCTCAAGATGCCAGTCTTCATGAAGTACCTCGCGACAACACGGACGAGCCAGGCGAACGCGGCTGTCGTGGCCGTACGGAAAACAACGCGTAGCTACAGCCTTAACAGGGTCAAGTCGCTCCAGGACGCCGAGACGCCGTTCGAGCTCTTTCTCGTACACCCATGAACGAATGGGAGAGTAGTGAGCCAGAGTTGTAGGCCAAACCGCTGCCCGACAATCTGCGCCGGCACATCATATTGATTGGCATTCCCTTCTCGCTCTTCGACGTCGTCACCGCACTCAAGGCGACCAAGACAGACATGAAGGACCACGACCAGGCGATCGTCATCATGTCCCAGCACCCGATGACCGAGGCGCAGTTCAAAAGCATTTTTTGGTTCACCAGCACGATCTACTTTTACCAAGGCTCGGCGCTCAGCGCGTCCGATTTGCAGCGCATCTCGATCCAGCTGGCACGCGCCATCATTGTCCTTGTACGATCATCCCTTTTAATATGACTGTGTGGGTCACGGCAGCGTAGGGCGCGGGAAGCACGGACCGCAAGCACTACCTTGACGACAACATGGTGGACGCGGACGCGATCACGACCGTCCGCTACATCGTCGAGGCCTGTCAACGCAACAAGGTCAAGCCCAACATGGTCGTTGAGCTCGAGAAGGCGTCGAACGTCAAGTTTCTCAGCCGCATCGTGCAGACGCATCGGGGCGACCCGCCGTCGCCGACCATGAGCCCCGTCCGAAGCATCAAGCACGAGCTCGCCGAGGAGCACTCGGAAGGCAACAACACGCCGCTGCCAGACCTGCCGCACATCTTTGAGCCGCCGTACGTTTCCGGTACGATGCGATCCCACAGAGTGCGATGACGATTGCGACGGCGCAGGTCGCGTGTACGTGAGCGGGATCATTGACCGCGTCATGAGCGAGTGGTACAAGAAGCCGTACGTCGTGCCGATCCTGGACATGCTCTTGCATGGCCACACGGCCGACATCTCCAAGTACTTCTTAGCGTAGCTTATTGGCGTCTCATGCGAGCACGACAAACTAGGCAGCGCCAATTGTTCCAGGCACCGCTGCCATTCGCGCTCTACGGCAAGACCTTCGCCGAGGCCTTTCGCAAGCTTCTGAAAGCGGTTGGTGGCGATGAAGTTGTCCGGTTTCATTGACAATGTGGTCTAGGACGTCATTTGTATCGGACTACTTCATGGCTGGTGCGGCACGAGCTTTGTGTACACAAACCCACTGCCCGACACCGTCCTCTCCAAAGACGACCGTCTCTTTCTGGTGGGCGAGCCCGGCGACATTGTCATTGCCTAGTCGATCAACGATTTATTTATCCCTGGTCGAGTCGTCTATCCTGTTTAGTTAATAGTTCCACCAGCACTTGACTCCGATTCAAAACTTTGAGGCAAGATCTGAGGTTGCACATTTTTCGGATTGCACGTTTACTGTCACACGACGAACGAGCAACTTCAACTTTCCTTTTGGGTCCCCCTATTTTGGAAAAAATTACACACACATCGCGCGGGTTCGCGTGGGACACGGAGCGTCGTCGAAGTAGGGGGCCCCACAAAACAATAAAAAGGAGGCGAGAAACAATACAGCTATATCTTATCGAACATTTTGTTTTAAAATACCTGGGTCTCCGCGTACCTCGTCCGTCGTCGTCGCAATCTGTCATTCCGTGACAGCGCCAGCGACGCCAGCATGCTCGTCCGACGCTGCCTCACGCCTCTGCTGCTCCTCGCCGCCTCCGCTGCAGGTCCGCCGTCGACTGTGTCGGTGGTAACGTTCTCACACGCAGACTTGTAGGCGCCAAGACGTGCGCCGAATGCGCGGGCAAGACGTGCCTCCTTGAAGGCAGCGTTAGTCTCACTGGCGGCGCTACGTCTGTGGCTCTCTCGCTCTGCTACTATGATGCATCGAGCGCACCGGCTATTACGTTTTCGTTGAGCGCGATGCCTTCGTGCGACGTCAACTCGGTCCTGATGCCGCGCGTCAAGGCGTTGGCGACCAACACGACGACGACCTCGGGCCTTTGCACGAAGACGAGCGCCGATCCGTGCCCCGTTGTCGCGACGCTTCAATCGCCGATCGACTGGGCGATCGCGCTGCAGGCCAAATCGACGGTCAACACGCTGCTTGCGTCCATCGACCAGTCGTCGTCCGACGTCGTCAAGGTAGCAACCTTCTCGACCGAGACGGCGCCGGCCGTGACCTCGGCCGAGACTGCGGTCACGGCGTGCGGCAGCAACATTCCCGTATCTGGCAACCGCTTCTCGAACCTCGACGCGTGCAACGTGGTGCAAGTGTGCAGAGGGCCCGTCGGCGCGTCGACGTGCGTCGTCTCGGAAGCCGGCGGATCCTTGCGCAACGTCACCGCGTCGTCGTCGAGCCAAGTCGTGTTTCTCTCGATGGCCAAGCCGTTTGGCTGCGACGCGATCTCCGCCAACTCGTTCCTGTACGTTCAAATCACGGTGGGCGACGCCGACGCCAGCGGCCTGACCAAAGTCGCCAAGATTGGAGGTATTGCATTCCTGTCCTAGGTTGCCTCTCACAAAGCGCCTTGGATAGCGCTCACGACGAGCACCCGCTTCACCGCGTACCCGCCGGCGGTCGGCGCAACGACCCTTTCGCTGGCCGGCGACGTATGCGCCGGCACGGACGCTTCGTTTTCGCTTTCGCCGAATGCGACGAGTCTGCCGGCGTCGACGGCATCAAGCGGCAACACGACACTGACGCTCGCCACGCCATGGACCGCGTCAAGCGCCGCGATCCTCAACTACACGCTCTGCGGCGTGTCCGTCGCGCGAAGCATCATCGAGAGCGGAAGCAGTTTGAGCATCACGCCGGCAGCCATGGCCGTGCCGTCAACGAGCTTGCTTGCCAACGTCGCGGTCACGGGCGCGGGATTCTCCTCGGGCAGCGTTAACTGCACTGTCGTTGCTGCCAAGGGCACGCAGACCACCACCTTTACGACCTGTGCGTGCACGGCCACGTCGACGACCAACCTCACGCTGTCGTGTTCCAACAGTCTTGCAGATTACGTCGGGTATACGCTCGCCCTGGTGCTTGCTAATGGCGCGAACCCGGTGACGATTGGGTCTGTCTGCGACGCTGCGCAGTGTGCGACGTCGATCATCACGGGCGCCCCCGAGGGAGACCAAACCGCGGGTCTGCCCGGCGGCTGGATTGCTGGCATTGCCATTGTCGTGATCGCGATCCTCGGCTTCATACTCGAGTGCAGCCTCCACCGCAAGCGCTTCCGCCGCGACCAGCAGGCGAACCGGACGCAGTACGTCGAGACGCACAACGCCGCATGAGATTCCTAGTCGCTCTATCTATACACACTGCCATTCTACTCGACGATTCCTGCTTTACGCTAATTTGCGACTAAACCGGATCTTTTCAGCGCGGGCTTTGGCCAAGTCCTTCTTCAACGCATAGCGCTTGGCGGCCGAGAGCCCTGGGTCTTCGAGCTGTGACTCGAGCGCTGCGATCGGCGCGTCATACGGCGACGCCTCGACCTCCCGCGTCGTCGTCGCACGCGTCATTTCTGCCGCGCTTGCCGCTGGTGTCAACGTGGGTTTGGGGCGGTCGGGCACCGGTGACGGCGGTGGCGCCGCACTCTGCTCGTCGAGTTCGCGCGCAGCAAGGATCTGCGCAATGTCTTCAGGCAGCAGCTTGTTTTTCAGGTAACTCATGATCTCGTCCGTGCCCTTGTTGACGGTGGCAATGCGCACCGTGCGCTGGGGGTTGCCGCTAATGTACAGCGCCTTGAGCTTGGGGCAGAGCCCGAGCTCGGCAGGGATCTACACGTCATTGCATGCTTCTGTCGATGCGGCGGAAGCCTACCGCTTGGAGGCTGTTGTTTTCAACCGACAAGGACGAGAGTGCGGGCGCCTCGTAGATTGTGCCCAAGTCCGTCAACTGCAAATGCATCAGCGATGCCTTTGCTAAGAAAGAGCCATTGTACCTTGTTGTCCGAGGCGCTCACGATAGAGAGCGCCTTCATGAGCCGCCACGGCACGCCTGCGAGTGTCGAGAGACGGTTGAACGACAGCAGTAACGTGTTCAAGCTCGACAGTTGATGCACGTTGCTTGGAAGCATGCTCAGCGCGTTGTTGCGTACATCCAACTCCTACGTGGTAACATCGTCATGAGGCATCTGCAACCAGGACTGTCCTGCCTTGAGCTTCATGCGCGCGTGGAAGGCGCCAGCAAATGCGTGCTCCGTCAACGAGTTTTTGCGCAGGCGGAGGAACACGAGGTGGGGCAGCCCCAGAGCGCTCATCGGCAGCGCTTCGAGCCGGCAGTCTTCCGCGACCAGCGTCGTCAGCTGCAAGCAGAGACCGAGTTCGTCGGGAAGCACGCAAAGACCTGTTTTCGACAGTGTGAGCGACGTGAGACTCGACGTGAGCGGCTCGAAACTCCAAACTTCTTGCGGCACCGTTGTGACGTCAAGTCGAGACTCCCGGACGCCGCCGCTTCCATAAAGACGTGGTTGTCGATACCGGACGCACTCGGCGCCTGCAGCGTAAATTCGTCCGTCTCCTCGTCCATCGCGTCGACACCGACGGGCGGCTTGCCGCGGGTGCGAAGGTATTTCTTGAGTGCTTCACAGCCTGCTGATAAGACCGACCGCCGAATGGCGCTAAGCAGCCATGATCATTTGATGCACGACGTGCAGCCATACCGCATCGAGTTGCCATCGACAAGGATGTGGTTTAGACCTTTGAGATACCCCAGACCTACGCCGCATGAAATATCTTCAACGATAGAAATGCTCCAACCAGGAGGTAGATCCGAGAGGTCGTTGTTGGTCAGATCTAGTGTCTTGAGACGGTAGAGCAACGCAAGACCGTCGGGCACGGCCAGGAGCTTATTATCGCGCAGGTCGAGGACCGTCAAGTGGTGTTGAGCGCGGACGAGCGACGTTTCGTCAATGACTTCGAGCTGGTTGAAGCCCAAGAAGAGCTGGTCCAAGCCGCACGCTTCGAGCGGCAGCTCTGGGAATCGCACCAGACGGTTCTGGCGCAGGTCCAGAAATTTCAGACTGCGCGTTTGCTGGAGGCAGCCCTGCAGCGACGAGAGCTTGTTCTTGCTCAGATCGAGGTTGGCTAGTGCGCGGAGCTGGCTCATAGATTGCGGCACCGACTCGAGTTGGTTGCCTTGCGCCGTGAGCACGGTCAGTTTTTCGAGTGCACCTACCAGAACTCAGCCTTACCCACACAAGCACCGTACCGAGAGTGGTCGGAAGCGCACACAAGAGATTGTCTTCGACGCGCAGCACCTCGAGGGCGTGGAGCTGCCCGATCGAGTCGGGCAAGGTCGTGAGCTTGTTGCCTGACAGGATGATTTCCTTGAGCTGCGTAAGCTGCCCGAGCTTCTCGGAGAAGCCGCCGCCGAGCGCGTTGCTACGACGCCACGTTAATCCTGATCGACTGAGTCGCGCAAACGAACTTGCTCACGTCCAAGAACGCCAGTGTCGAGAGCGAAAAGAGCTCGGGCGGAAGCGACGTGAGCTTGTTCTGGCACAGCTTGAGCCAGAGGAGGCCGGTCACGAGCGCAATGCTGTGGGGCACCGCCATAATCTCGTTGTGGCTCAAGTCGATCTTGACCAAGTCGACGCACTCCCAGACCTTCTCGTCCTACGCACGGTTTAGCGGCCGCACGTCGATTGATGAGAACGCACCGGTTCCATCGAGTCCTGGAGGTGGCAGGCTTCGTCGGGAAAAGTCGTGAGGCCTCGCGCCGGCAGCGAGAGGAAGCCCGTCTTCCTAGCCTGGCGGAAGGCCTTCTTGCTGCCTCCTCCATCGACGAGCCCATCGGTCCTCGCGTCCTGGGCGGCTCGGAACGCCCGCTTGGCTGCGACGGTGTGCATGGATCCAAATCTTCCACGACTGGGATTGGCTGAAATCGGATCGAAATGGACCAATGGCCTTGTTGAAGAGTTTGCACACGAAGCCCAAGAGCCCACGAGCAGCAGCGGACGATGGCGCCGTACTGGCTCGAGTTTGAGAAGGAGATGATGGAGAACCTCATGCTGGAGCGGGACATCATGGTGGTCATGGCGAAAGGCCTCGCCCAGCGCACGCTGCTTACCAACTTCCTGCGCCTGCACTGCGTGCCCACGAACCTCGTGCTGTGTCTGAACGCGACCGACACGGCCGAGCTCTACGTCGAGGCGCTCACGATGCAAGGCGTTCCGATCGACCAGCTACCCAAGGTGCGTTTTGTTCGACCATAATGGCTTGATGTGTCATTACGGCATGCGACTAGATCATCACCAACAAGTGCACGGTGCAGGAGCGCAAGCAGCTCTACAAGGAAGGCGGGTGCTTCTTCATTACGTCTCGCATCCTCGTCGTCGACTTGCTCAACCAATCCATCGATGTCCCGGTAAAACAGCGTTGCTTTTGTTTTGCCGATCACATATGTGGTCCTAGATGATTTCGGGGCTGCTCGTCTGTGACGCGCATCGCGTCACAGACACGTCCGTCGAGGCCTTCATTCTGCGTCTCTTTCGGGAGATGAATCGGACTGGGTTTGTCAAGGCCTTCTCTGAAGACGCGTACGCCTTTGCCTCCGGCTTCCACAAGGTCGAGCAGGTCATGAAGCTTCTGTACCTTCGCAAGCTCCTTCTGTACCCGCGCTTTCACATGGCCGTGCACTCGGTCCTGGACCAGCACTCGCCCGAAGTCTACGAGATTGAGGTCAGCCTCACGCCGCTCATGAAGGACATGCAAGCTGCGCTCCTTGTTGCGCTCGAAGCAACACTCAACGAGCTCAAGCGCAGCTGCAAGGACCTCGACGAAACGGAGCTCACAATGAAGAACGCGCTCACAAAGGCCCTCGAGTTTCAGCTTAAAAAGCAGGTGCGTTTGATTTCACCGTCCTGCGCTTCCTCTACGACCCTAGTTGAGTGCCATTTGGCACCGGCTGCCGCACAAGACCAAGCAGCTCACGGGCGACCTCACGGTGCTGCGACAGGTACAGTGACGACACATGGAAATCCGACGATCTCACGAAAGCTAGCTGCTCGCATACTTGACGCGCTACGACGCCATCACGTTTTACAGTTTTCTCCTCGCGCAAAAGGCGCAAAGCGGGAACCAGCGCACGCCGTCGCCGTGGCTCTTTACCGCCGCCGCCGACCGCCTCTTTGTCGCAGCCAAGAAGCGACTGTACACGATCCGCACCAAGAAGGGCGTCGCTGGGATTGAGCTCACGCTCGAAGCCAACTCCAAGTGGCAGTCGCTGCACGAGCTGCTGGCCGAGATCCGAGACGCGCCAGCGACGAGCAGCGTCCAAGGCGGCGCCGCGACACTCATCCTCGTGCGCGACGAACGCACGTGCGCCCAGCTGCGCGAATTTCTCTACTGTGGCGGCACCGACATGCTCCAGCGCCGGTTCCGGCAGTACCTCCAGCAAAAAGGTGGGACGTCCTTCTCGACCGAGCACCAGCTGCTCCTCCAGGCGTGCGGCATCGCGCCGGCTGTGCATAAGACCAGTGCTGGCAAGCGCAAGGCTGTGACGGCCACAAACGAACCGCTGCCGAGTGAAATGGCCTCGTACGGGCTCTCGATGGACGAGCTCGTCCAACTGAGGTGCAATCTTATCCAGTAACGGAGCTTACGTGGCCCGTAGCCAAGACGACGGTCTGGTCAAGAAGACCAAGTTATCGGCACCGCTCACCGTGCTACCGCGGAACGACCACCTTGTCATTTGCACGTATGCGCAGGCGAAGCGGTGTGCGACGCTCCTTCACGACCTGCAGCCCGAGCACGTGGTTTTGTACGACCCGGACGTCGCGTTCATTCGCGAGCTCGAAGTCTACCACGCGCACTACGCCGACGACCCGCTCAGCGTCTACTTTATGGTCTACGACGAAAGCGCCGAGCAGCAAGCGTACTTGACCGAAGTTCAGCGGGAAAAGGTACTTGCATCCAAGTGATCGCGTCTCACTCAATGCATATAGGAGGCCTTCGAAAAGCTCATTCGACAAAAAGAGCATATGGTGATCCCGCTCAACGTCTTTGACATCCCGGCGCACATCAAGGCCAAGCAGGCGCCGCAGTACAGCTTGGACACGCGCACAGGTGGCCGCGCACGCGTCCAGCTCGTGTCGCACAGCGTCATTGTGGACGTGCGCGAGTTTCGGTCGGCGCTGCCGTCGATGCTGCACAAGGAAGGCATGGTACTGCATCCCGTGACACTCGAGGTTGGCGACTACATTCTCTCGTCGCAAATGTGCGTCGAGCGCAAGTCCATCAGCGATCTCTTTGGCTCGCTCAACAACGGCCGCCTCTTCAACCAAGCGGAAATGATGATTCGCCACTACCAGGTCGACTGGTTCGAGTGTCGTCGCCTCATGGAATCGCTCGCCGTAGACGCCGCTCTTGCTCATCGAGTTCAATCCCGAAAAGCCCTTTGCGCTCCAGGCACGTCTTTGCCTTGCGCAATATATGGACCATAGTAGTGTAGGAAGTCGGTGAGATCACGAGCGACATCAAGCACAACAGCATCACGTCCAAGTTGAGCCTCCTCGTCCTGCACTTTCCCCAGGTACAAAAGGCGTCGATTCAGCGGTAGTGATCAGGCGTTAGCTTCGCTTCCTCTGGTCCAAGTCACCACACGCGACCGTCGAGCTCTTCCGGCTCGTCAAGAAGGGCCAGGACGACCCAGACGTCGAGGCCGCGATGGCCGCCGGGTCGGCAACCTCGGGTGGGTCGTCGTTCTACAACATGAACGCGGTCGACGTACTGCGCAAGCTCCCGGGTATCACTGCGCACAACTACCGCAAGGTCGCAGCTAACTGTCGCACCCTCGCGGACCTGAGCAAGATGACGCTGGCCGACCTCGACCCGCTCCTGGGGCCCTCGAATGCCAAGAAGCTCCATCGCTTCTTCCACCACAACACCAACGGGTAGAGTCTTGCGAGATACTTTAGCTATGGTACTGCGCCGAAATTCTGCCCGCGTGTAAACAAGAGGAACGAGAACGTCCAGCAGGATGCAACTACTAGTACCTGGTACTGTACTAGGATAGAATAGCATTTTGGCGCCAACGCTATCACTGCGCGGTGTCGCGCCTCACGTGGTGTAAAGGTGGTGGGTTTTATGTTTTTCACGGTCTGTGGGAAACCGAATTTCATTCTTTTTCGGTTTTGTCCTACTTTCAGGCAAAAACCGAATTCCATTGGATTCGAGCCCAGTAGTCCCTTGAATCTCGCATCTTGATGATGAGCGCGATGTTCCGCGGCCAGCGCGAGATGTCGACATGGCGGATCGCCGCCGGACGCATGCAGCGCAAATGGGTCGGCATGAAGCAGGTACGCTCCATGAGACTCATGACGCAGCACGGCTCATGCACGCCATATATGGCGCAGCGAACCACGTGGCACTTCAAGCAGCGCAAGAGCGGCGTCGTCTTCCAAGTCGACGGCAAGGACGCGCCTGGCGAGATGCATCTTCGCGTACGTATCTCTACTGTAGCAACGGGTTCTATGGCGTGAACAGGGCAAGAACGTGCCGCTGGACGATCTCTCCTTTTGCCACAACGTGCTCGCCAACGCGTCGCCCGAGACGCTCAATGGCATCCTCGGCGCCATCTCGCCCGAAGGCTCGGACCGCTTCTGCACGACCATGACGTGCTTCATGTTCCACAACTGTGCGCCGCGCGTCCGCTCCATGGTGCTCGACGTGCTCAGCAAGTCGCGGCTGCCCGACATCTCGTACGACGTGTCGCTTCGTTACAACGTAGGAGTGCGACTGCGTTTAGGCTGGCGAACCGTGGCGTGATCATTCGATCCATCCAGCAGCAACTGCTCTCACCGCTCGTGCGCCAGAAGGCCGAGTACCAAACCGCAGCTTTTAACATCCTCAAGGGCACGCACGGCGTCGATCTCACGCTTCTCAAGGAAGACATCAACGCCGAGAACTCGATAAATGCACTGCAAGATGGGTTTCGCGGTGGCGACCTCTACCAACTCATCTACGGCGCCAAGGACATGACCCAGGTCGTCTCGGTCATGCAGCACATCGCCGTCGAGTCGCTCAAAGTGTCGATGGCGCACAAGCACAAGCCGCTCGTCAAGATCATGAGCGATATCGACGATACGCTCTTTGCAGGGTACGCTATCCTCTCCTGCTGCGTGCTTGGCGCATACTCATGCACGGGATGTAGGTGGGCCGACCAACGGTATCCTGCGCACGTGCTCTACCCTGGCGTCTCCCACCTCTACCGGTCCATCGCGCACGGTGTCGACAAGGCACCGTCTGTGACCTTCCTCACGGCCCGGCCGCGCGGCTTCTTCAGCCTCGGACGCACGCTCACGGCTGACCACCTCGTAAGCCTCGGCATGACCAACCCCACCGTGCTCAACGGGTCGGTGCAAGGCCTTGTGAGCAACGCTAAGATCGCTGGGTACCTCTCTGCAATGATGATCTACGATTCTACATGGCACATGCACTAGCCTCAAGCTCCAGAACTTTGAGCGCTACGCAACGCTCTTTCCCGAGTACCAGTTTGTATTTTTTGGCGACGCGGGCCAAGGCGACGCGCTCCTCGCATCGCGGCTGCTGGATCTGTACCCGGACAAGGTTCCCGCTGTCTTCATCCACGACATTGCGCCGCAGGAGCCGACGACGGGCGACGGCGGCGCCAAGGACGCCTACCGCGCGTACGTAGCACAGTCCATCGACCAAGTCGACATGCGACTCATGTCGGTGCGTAGGCAAGGCGTCGTGTTTTACGAGACGTACGCGGGCGCGGGTCTCGCAGCGTACGAGAAAGGACTTGTTTCCAAAGAAGCTTTGACGTCGCTCCTCGACGCTTGCACGTCCGAGCTCGACCAAGTCCCATTCATTGGCGCCCTAGGCCCCGAGAAGCGAGCGCGGCGCTTGGACGAACTCGAAATTGACCGTCAAAAGATCCAGCGGCTCTTAAGTTACTAAATATCAAGTTTGGTGGCAAACTGCGTGGCGAGTGAATCTTTTTGTTTTCGCCGGCGTGGCCACTTGCGGTGCGTCGCGCTGGGTATTGATGGCGCGGCGTTCTGCTGTCGCCGAGGCCGCAAATCGTCGTCGTACAAGAGCGGGTGCGGGGCGGGCCCCTTTCGCTTTCGGTCGTCGATCGGTGGGGGTGCAAGAGCACGGGAGGTGGGTACTCCCACGCGGCAGGTGGCATCTCGTACATGCCCGTATACATGATGGGTGGGCCAAAGTAGTCAGGCGACATATAATACATGGGGTGACAGCCATCGGGCATGGGACACGAGTGGGGGTACACTGGGCCGCACGGGTAGTAGGGGTCGGCCCGAGGAATGTTGCGAGGGGCCGAGTAGTAGCCGGCCCACTGCGGCGGTGGCATGAAGGCCATCGGTGGTCGGTATCGAGGCCGGACGTACTCTCGTGGTGGCTACAATAAGGTTAGGAGTCTCCCAGTCAAGGTAGATATGAACCTCAAAGCTCGGCTCGAATGCGTCGCCCGTCACAAACGGGTGGGCGAGCGCCTGCTCTGGCGTCCAGCGCACCGCAGGGTCCACGACGAGGAGGCCGCGCAAGAAGTGGCAAAACACGTGCCGCGCCTGGACTTCTTTCTCGCACTCTTCGGACGACGCGCTGCGAGGAATCGGGTACGCATGAATGATGTCGTCGAGGACCGAGTGCTTGAAGTAGCGCTTTGATACATTGCGTGGCGTCTGCGTCTCGGCTGCATACTCGTCCGGCGTCTTGAGCCGCAAGACGCCGCGCTCGTCTCGGTGGTAAAACCTGCGCACGTTGCGACCAGCCGCGAGCATGTGCGACGGCGGTGGTCCAATGGTTTCAACAATGAGTCGGAGCTGGTCGTGGTCCGAGACGCCGGGGAAGAGCGGCAGCCCAAGGAAGATCTCGACACTACCATTCGTCGCGTCAGCACATCAATCAGTCGACGGGATGTACCTAATACAGCCCAGCGACCACATGTCGATGGCGCCGTTGTAGGGTAGCCCCAAAAGCACTTCGGGTGACCGATAAAAGCGCGACTGAATGTACGAGTAGACGGTCTCGTCTTCGTAGCAGGCCGAGCCAAAGTCCACAAGCTTGATTTTTGGCACCTGGCGCCGCGAGGTGGCGTCCGTGATGGAGAAAGTTTGCTCGGTGCTAGCAGGGCGCATGTCCTTGTCCAGTACATGAATCTTTAGAGGGACGTACCCGGAGAGTAGGATGTTTTCGGGCTTGAGATCGCAGTGTATGATGTTGGTGCGGCCAAGGAGCACGAGGCTCTTGAGGATTTGAATGAGGAAGCCACGGACGACGGTGAGCGGTAGGCCTCGAAACTAGAGTTCATGTGGTTAGCCATGTCGGGACGAGCATGTCATACGCTGTTTTGGCTGATGAGCTCGTACAAGTTGATGCTGAGCAGCTCAAAAACGAGGCAGAGATGGTTCTGGAACATAAAGTGATCGTGCATCTGCACAACGTGCTCGAAGCCATCAATTTCAGACGTGGTGCTGAGCTGCATACAAGTCATGAGGTTGCTAGCCATGGCAGTTGCGCGTACCAGCATCGAGACGTGGATCTCGACAAGGGCCTGCTTGTAGTACGACGGGTGATTGCGGATGATCTTGATGGCCACGAGCTCCTTCGAGTCGACATCTTGACACCGAAACACTTGGCCAAACGTGCCTTGGCCAAGAAGGTCCAGCACGACAAAAGGTGCGTGGGGTGGCCGGTCTTGCTCTGCACGCCCAAGAGGTCTCGCACACGCAGCACGATGTTGTTCTCGTCGTTGTCCCAGCCATTGTTGCCCGTGACGCGGCTGTTCTTGGTGAGCACTCGGCGCTCGACCTTGGGCGGGCTCTTGTAAGCGAGGCCACACCGCGCGTACGTCGCCGCGAGGTGCGTCGTGAGCCGCGCGAGCGCAGACATGCGGGGCGTCGGGCTCTGCGCGGCCATCGCGCTGCGCTGCGGCCCTCGCCGTGTCTTTGGCGACGTCGACCTGCTGGCGTGGGACACCTTGTCGCATGCGACCTCCGTCGGGCTGTCTTGGGCGCGCATGGCCGCAGTGGGATAAAAATACAAGATACACCGGTTCAAGATACCGAACGCAAGCCACGCCGAGCTGCATTTTAATTTTCACGGGCCGTGCATTTAATGCAATCTTCCCAGTTATCATACAAAGCTCAAGTGGAATGGCTGGCATTTTCTGCGGTTATTGTATGGGGACAAAAAAATGCAAGGCCGCTAGAAAACCGTCGAACATTTGACATGTGCATTTTATTGTCTTTTCCGCATCACTTGCATACATATGCCAAGGTATTTGGCACAATACGGCATTTAATTATTGCGGTCAGAGAACGAACCAATCGGCGACGATGCCAACCCTACGGCGCAACCGTTCGGCTCGAAGCGGCTTGAAACCGCTGTCAACAGTTTCAGCCGCGCGAAAAGGGTCGATATATCACTGTTTCAGCACGCTAACGCAAGCATGCTAACATCAGGTACCAAGGCCACGAGAGTCAAGGGCTAAGCTCGCAATGCACGTAATCGTCCCCAACTCTCAGCGACCAATAATATGCTGCGTCAAATAGGCAACAAGGAGCACGAGGTAGAAAAGGCTAGCGGCAAAAATCTAATCACGTTAGCGGACTTCATGACAACGAGGCAGCTTGGCGCGATCTAAACCATGCCCCTACTTTGATACTCCACTTCGAACTGAAGTCTGCAAAGCAACCTTGGCGTACGAAGCTGGGTGCTCTTGCAATCGGTCACCTCGTTGATGAAGGACCAGTGCTAGAAAAAAGCGCGACATTCGGTCTCCAGTTTCACAAGCAGACTCACTGGTGCCTATTAGTGAATATTCGCTGGACGAGGCTGATAGCCCTTTGCGTCAGCAACGTCGGCCCCAGTGGGAGTAGCGATTTCGTTATTACGAGTAAATATCAAGTAGAAAAGTGCATTGATTGCATCCCTAGCTCACTCTTCGAATCGCTCCATTGCGCCGACGACAACTATGACAACGAGTACACAGCCTCGCTGGAACAGCGTCACCAGCGTTGCCCCCAAGGCAGCGCCGACACCACGCATCATGGTCCCGCCGCGAACCTGCGCCCTGTAGACCATACCAATCCGCTCCGCTCTAGTGACGCCACCACCTACTGCTCGGGCTCCTTCCGAAGCAGCCGCACCGGCGCCTCGCACGCCCGTGCGCGCGCGACCGGCCACTGAGACCCAGTTTATCCCAGGAACACCATGGCCACCTCGATAATCCGTTCCGCTAGCCACCACCACAGCGCAGCTATCGCGCGTCGCTGCGGTAGAAGCTCAACTGGTAGCAGAGACGACCGAGTCGAACTCTCGCCAAACTCGCGTCCTTGCGCTCGAGCGCAACGTTTATCAAAACAGTTGGGCCAAAGGGAGTGAACTGTCGTCGTGTGCTCCAGTGAGCACCACGACCGCCACTGACGTTGGCTGCTTTTCGGTGATGTTGTATTTCTTGCATCTTGGCTTTCGGCATTGACAAAAGTCATTCAGATACGTCGATACATTGACTAAAAGACGCAACATTCCGCGCAGCACTTCGCACAGCTCATCTTCGTCGAAGGTCTTGGCGCAAATCTCCAGGCGCTGCTACTGGGCCACGACATTCTCGTGGCCGCCAAAGACGGGCCCTAAAGAAGCAGCGTGACAGCGCTGTCGCAGCCGCCGACGCATCGAAGAACAACCAATTACAGCAGTGGCTAGCGCAATTCAACGCCATGGCACAGCACGCCTTCGCCACGACACCAGCTCTCTCAACCACCTTCAAGCATTGTACGACTCCTCCATCGACACGCCCTTGTTGACGAGGTGAAGGGCCTCAACGAGCAGCTTGGCACGGGTCGCGCCGACTGCAAAGCCCAGGACTTTGAGATACACACGCTCTTGACCGCGGCAAGGTGGTTAGAAGATCCGTTGGTCAAACGCAGATAGTGTGCGGAAAGTCACAGCAAGCGCGGAGCCAACATCGAGTGAGTGTCGACTGAGTCCGTCAAGCGAATTAAGTAGGGACTGGAGAGGTCGTGTCCACTTACCGGTGCATCTAACAGAAGCCGCATGCAAGCCATCGCCCAAGGCGAAAATGCGCTGGCGCACCACAGGCGGTGCAGGCAAAAACTCGGAATTGATGGCACCATATCCGGATACTCAAATATTGTTGAAGCTACGCCGCATTTTTTCGACCCCCCTACGGGACGCTCGTTTCAGGGGGTGCATCAAAATATTTTCTTGTCCCCAGCGTCCGCCGCAGTTGACGCTCCTCGGTCAACGCATGCAGTTCCTCAAGAGTACCGTCATGGGCCTCGGCTCCGCCTTCACGATGGGCAGCGTCGGAGGCCTGCCCTTCTCGCTCGAGTCCACCGAGCCTGCCTATGATGCAGGGCTTCCGGACTTTATCCTACTCCGCGGCAAAGCCAAGGCCGACGGCAGCAGCGTCGCGGTGTTCAAGTCCAAGCAGCCCTCGAATGCGCTAGCGCAGAACGCTCTGCGGCGCATCAAGACTTTGCGCCACCCGAATGTCCTTGCCTACATTGTACGTCGGCGTCCTACGAGGTCCATCCAGCTCATGATGCGCCGGTGTAGGACGGCATTGACGTGCCCAACAACGGCCACGTCTTCATCGTCACCGAAGACGTCGTGCCGTTGAACGCCTATCTCGACGACATCCGTGCCGAGTATGGCGCCAACAGCAACGAGGAGAAGGTCCTGATCGCGTGGGGTCTTCGGTCGATCCTCGGCGCGCTCAAGTTCATCAACAACGACGTCAAGCTCATTCACGGCCGACTAAACCCGACCAGCATCTTTGTCACCAAGGTGCGACGACCGCTCTCGATTCTATGCATATGCGTCGATGCTAGGGTGGCGAGTGGAAGCTCGGCGGCTTCGAACTCACGGGCGAGCCCAGCATGAGCGCGCCGTTCGTCCAGCACGACCACACGGTGGACCCGCGTTTCAAAGCACCCGGTGCACTTCCGCGCGTTGCTCTTATTGCTTCTTATAGTACTATGCGTAGAGTGTGCGCGCCGGGACTGGTCGTCCGTGGCATCGTCGCCCACGTATGCGGTTGACATGTATGCGCTCGCGTGCCTGATCATCTATCTGCACCACCCGTCATTCTCGTCGCCAAGCGATTGCAGTCGCGTTCCGTCCGGTCTCTCGACCTTTGTCAAACGTAGCACGGACGCAACGGCCTCGCGGCGCCTCAACCCCGACCAGGCGCTCACGAGTGCGTACTTTGAGTCGCATTTCTTGCGGCAAATGACCTTTCTCGACGAGCTCGCAATCAAGTCGCCGGACGAAAAGGTCGAATTTTACAAAGATCTGAGCGCGAGCATCGACGCCTTGCCCAAGCACACGGCGGTATTCAAGGTGCTTCCAGCGCTCAAGGCGATTGTGGATTTTGGCGTCGCGACGGGTGGCAAGGCCGGTGGCAACTACAAGCTCGATCCGTCCGAGAGTCACATGTTGCCGGCCATGGTCAAGATCGGGAGCCAGCTCTCGGTACGTGCCTCGAGCCATATTCGCAGCACGGAAGCGTTTTTTGTAGCCGGACGAGTTTAAGGACCAAGTGCTGCCGACACTCATCAAGCTCTTTGGCTGCAACGACCGCGCCGTGCGTCTCCAGCTGCTGCAGATGATGGAGTCGTTTGCCGTGCACTTTGACGCCAAGCTCGTCAACAGCAACGTCATCTTTGATAACATCTGCACCGGGTTCCATGACACGTCGGCCGTCTTGCGCGAATACACGGTCAAGAGCATGCTGCACATTGCCGACAAGCTCTCGGACGCCAACTTGAACACGAAGCTCATGAAGTTTTTCGCCAAGCTTCAGGTCTACTCTTCTCGTCGATGATCAAATGATCGATGACGTGCTTGCTGACACGAGGAGCGTAGACGGACCCTGAACCTGCGATTCGCACCAACACGACGATCTGCCTCGGCAAGATTGCGCCGCATCTCAGCGCCGCCACGCGTGCCAAGGTGCTCTTGCCAGCGTTCACCCGCGCCCTCAAAGATCCGTTCCCGCACGCACGGCTCGCAGGCCTGCGCACACTTGTCGCTTGCGACGTACTACGTGACGAACCTCCGTCGCGACTCTCACTGTCGTCGTTTTCTGTAGGAGTACTTTACGTACCAAGATGTTGCTTGCGCCATCATTCCTGCGATTGCGCCGCTCATGCTAGACATTTCGCCCAGCGTCCGCGACGAGGTCGACTCGGCGTCCACTGCACGTTGCTTCATCGATACCATGTAGACGCTGACGTGTATGGCCGATTACATCAAGAAGATCCAGGACGAAGCCGCCCAAATGAAGGTGCGCGAGGCTGATGAAGAGCGCGAGCGCCAATTGCACGAAGCTGCCAACCCTGCTGTGATTGACGCGGCGCCAGTCTCAACTACTTCGTCCGCGTCGTGGCAGCCGCCAAAGCCAGCAGCCCCAATCTCGGCAAATGACTTCAACGATGACGGCGATGACGCGTGGGGCGACGACCTCGACGATTTGACGAGCCCAACAACGACAACACCGGCAACTTCTACTTCATCAACCACTGCGTCATGGTCGACTCCTGCTCCAAGCACGTTCTCGTCCTCTGCATGGCAAGCGTCTTTGGCTCCGAAGCCTGTGCACGTGACGCCGCCCAAGCCGTTGCAGCCCGCTGCATCTAAAGACGATTTCTTTGGCGACTGGGGGGCGCCGTCGTCGACGGGCTCGTCTGCGTCCCGCACGGGCTCGGGGTCGCTGAGTCTGCAAAAACCTTCTGCGCCAACCGGTTTTAGCGGTGCGAGTGCGTCGCTCGTCAAGCCAGCCGAGCCCAAAAAGTCGCTCCAGGAACGCCGGTCCGAGGCGAAAGCCAAGCGAGAACCCCTCGGCGCCCTGAAGCTCCAAAACAAGCCCAAGGGCGGCGACAACTGGGACTGGGATATGTAGGCGTCACCGCCTTGTATGCAACGCTCGTAGACAATTCATTGCCCAACATGATCATCCTCCTTCAACATGGATCCTCTCGCCTTCTCTCGCCAGAGCCTGCCACGTGTCATGAGCTCACTGCGATTGCCGTTCAGAAACGGCTCGTGTGGCGTGGCGCTCCACGATTGGTCCACCGAAGATCGCGGCATGGAACCTCTCAGCTCTTAGTGGTCGTCCCGCAGAAGCAGAACCATGGCGTGCATCGAAGCGAGTGCGTCGAAGCGAGCGATGGCCGAGTCCTCGTCTCACACTGCCCATCCCGCTCCACGAGATGATAGGCGACGTATCGCCATCATGGAGCATGGACCTGAGCGAAGAAAGCTTCCCTTCCTCGGGGTCGTCCTCGTCACAGGCGGCCGCCGCGTTGCTGGGCGGACGCCATCGCCGTCGCTTCCCTTGCCTTCGCCGTATCCAGTGGAAGAAAAACACGTAACGGCCCAACAGCGGCACATTACATACAAAGCGTTGCACATGACAAGGCGGGTGCAATACAATACAATGTACCTTGCGATTTGTATACCACTTTGAAGTGCTGGAATATTATTATTCGCGCGATCTTGATGCGTTCGATGGCAATGGCTCTAAAAAATATCGCGTCATAAAATAAATGCTACCCGATGGTCGCCTCATTCTTGAGCTTCAAGGATGTCTGTGCGAATAATATTATTCAAAATACAATACAGGCATCGGACGCTGCAAAAAATAATCGGCCCGACAATCTTGCGGCGTTTGCACGTGTGGCGTCCGTCCATACAAACAGGCAGTGAGTGTTGCACATGTCGAGGTCCCATTTCTGCAACGGATTTCTATTTTCGGGGGCCCTTGGCGGGCAACGAGAGTTGTTGTGGCGATCTGTGATTTGCTCGCGCCGCGATACTGGCCTCTGATTGGGTCCCTGCCCTCTCCTCGCTATGTGCGAGTGAGATCTTCTTCTTTGTATGGAATGGTGCAGAAAGCAAGGGGAGGGGAGAATATAGAAATTCGAAGTCAACGGCGACGGGGACGCTCAGTTTTCTTTTTCAGTCAGCCCGGAAGAAGCAACCATGGGCATGGCCTTTTCTCGCGTGTTTGAGCGCCTCTTCGGGAAGAAGGAGATGCGCATCCTCATGGTCGGTCTCGATGCGGCCGGCAAGACGACGATCCTCTACAAGCTCAAGCTCGGCGAGGTCGTGACCACGATCCCGACCATTGGCTTCAACGTCGAGACGGTCGAGTACAAGAACATCTCGTTCACGGTGTGGGACGTCGGTGGTCAGGATAAGATCCGCCCGCTCTGGCGCCACTACTACCAGAACACACAGGGCCTCATCTTCGTGGTCGACTCGAACGATCGCGACCGTGTCGACGCCGCCCGCGACGAGCTCCACCGGATGCTGAACGAAGACGAGCTCCGCGACTCGATCTTGCTCGTCTTTGCCAACAAGCAGGATTTGCCCAACGCCATGAGCGCCGCCGAAATGACGGACAAGCTTGGCCTCCACGGCCTCCGCCACCGCCAGTGGTTCATCCAGGCGTGCTGCGCCACGACGGGTGACGGCTTGTACGAAGGCCTCGACTGGCTCTCGGCCACGCTCCAGAAGAGAAAGTAGACGACTCCGCCACCGCAGGCCCGTAGTTTTGCATTCGGTTTATATTTTAGCTTGCCAACAACTGGGAACGATTTATCTAATACAACGATTCTACTGTTTGCAAACAAGCCCTACGCGTTCACCTCCCCTCTATCGTTCACCGCCACATTCGTGATCACCCATATCCACACTCGTTTTGTCGTGGCAAGAGAACGAAGCGAACGTCGATTCATCGTCATCCGTAAAGATCGCAATCTCGACACCGTGCTTGCATGCAAGGGATGCATCACACCCGACACACCGCAGCCTGCGTCATGGCAATGACAGCGTCTGCATCTGGCAAGGCGCTTCCAAGATACAGTCGACGATGCAAAAGATTGTGAGTGTGATAATGGGTGGCGCCTCTACAGCGTCCCCATGCCATCCTACGTCCACGGCGCGCTTTACGGGCCTTCGCCGAGCATGAGGTTGACGCGCTTCATGATGTAGTCCTTGGACGGGTCGTACGGCAGGTCCTTGCTCGGGATCTCGAGCACCGTGGGGATCGTCTGCTCGTACGCGTTGAGGAGATGGCGGATCTCTTCGGCAACCTAGCCACGCCATGAGCCATCGTCTTTCGCTTATCTGGCAGCGCACATGCTGGTTGATAAGAATAATGGCAATGTCATCGCGGCTCGAGAGGCGCTTGAAGGCGTCTTCGATGACCGAGATCGGGGTCGCTACAATGGACATGATGAGCTGCCTATCGATATGATGCGCGCGACACACTCGGCTTGACGACGAGGAAGTTGGTGCCTTCGGCCGTGCGGTGGCCGACGCCCGCGAGGATGAAGCCCGTGACGGTGTCTTCGTCGCCGATGACACCGACAAGCTTCGTAGCGCTCTCCAAGCTCATGTTGCTTCCTTCCTCGTTCCGGTCTTGAAGAAATGACCACAAGTCAATTGGCGAAAAATGGAGCTCTGTTTTTTCTTCACACACTATATTTTAAAATGCAAGTATACTACAATTGAATTATAATGGAATAAAAAGACGGGCATGCCTGTGGAAAAACGAATATTATTATGCAGATATCGCCCGGCTGGGTTTAATATTAAATCCCGGAGCCAAAACCCGGACGCAAGTGGAGCCATGGAGACCCGGCGCAAGAGCTTCGAACCGACCTCGATCGCGCAGTACTACGAGAGCGTATCCGACTGCCTCAGCTTCAACGCTGCCGCCGAGCGCCAGCGGTAGGAAGCATGGACTGCGCCACTGGCATCATGCCTGGCTTGCGTAGGAACTACGACCGCAAGCGCCGGGCGCTGGTCCAGACCATCGGCTACGAAGCCGTGCTCAACCGAGCGAAGCGCACGCAGCTCTCGTACACATCGTACGCTTCGCCTAGCACGTCGAGTGCGACGCAGCCGTCCTCGGTAGCTCTCGCGTCCTTGGTCATCGGTCTATTGACCGCACATAGATGAGCACATTGAAGCCGGCGCCGTCGCCGGGCATCAAGATGCCGCAGACGTACAACATGGACGCCAAGCAGCTCGCGGCCAAGTACAACAAGCCGAACGTGCCCGCGACGCTCAAGCCGATGCTGCCGTCGGAGTCGACCACTGACGCCAAACTGCCCTTTGCGATCGGGACGGAAGTTGTCATCAAAGTCGTACTCAATATCCTCGCCATCGTGGCGCACTGCAAGCTCATGCAACGCCACGTAGGCCGTCGACAAGCTTGCCGCATATGGGCTCTCGCAGCTCACGGGGAAGAAGGGCAAGATCATCTCGGCGCCGACGGCAAAAGGCCAGTTCTTGTATGGCGTTATGTTTGACAACAACACACTGCAGCACGTGCCCGTGGAGGCACTCGCGCTCGCCTCACAGGCAGGGCAGATGCAGCTACCCGCGGCCAGCCAGCTCAAGATTGAGCACTCATTCCACATGCACCGGTTGATGCAGGACCAGTTCAAGGAGATCCAGGCGCTCCAGAAGCAGCACGCCGAGTACCGGCAGGCCAACAACACGGCAGCCATGGCCGAGGTCCAAAATCGCTTTCCGTGCTGCGGAACCTCCACCTTTCGCAAATTCGGTCGCTCAAAACCAAGCAAGAGGACGAGTTGCGCCAAAAAGAAATTTCATAAGACTACTATAAGACCACGCAATGAGACCTGGTTACGCAATAAGACGTGGCCACGCAATTGGTCATGCAAAGGATCGATTATACAGTGGTGGTTTACATAGAGGGAAAGACAGGGTGGACTACAGCATGGTGATCGAGAGCGTGCTTAGGAAGCGTTGGCGTAGCACGTGTTGACGAGAGTCTCGGCGCGCGGCAAGTAGCGCTGCGGCACGCGGTTCTTGCCGTCCGCGACCGTCTCGGTCGCCTCCGAGACGCACGCGATGAGCGCATTCTCCTTGGCGATGAGCGCGAGCTCTTGTTGGTGCAGCGATGCGATCTGCGCGTGAAGCGACGCGTACTCGCCCACATACGACGCGTTGAGGAGCGAGTGGAAGTCGGGCTTGGGCAGCACGAGGAGGTCCGATGGCGTGTTGGCTTTGGCATTCGTCATGCACCACGTGACGTTTTGAAGGAGGCCGCTGTACGGCGACGGGCCGACGGTTGACCACGCGTCGTCGTAGCAGCTCTGCAGGAGGAGATAGTGGTCTTCGATCGCGAGCGACTGGAGCGCGCTCGTGTTGAGGGCCAGCGCAATGTCGCTGGCTTTGTTCGACTCAAAAATAGCGTGCGCGTTCGCGAGCGTGACGTTCGCACCGAGTTGCGACGCGGTCGGGCCCCGAGACGTCCGTGTCGATCACGGGCTTCGTGCACGTCGAGTTCGTGTACGTCTCGAAGCCCAAAAACTCTGCCGGGTTGAGCAGGTGCGTCGTCGTGCTGGCAAAGATCTCGAACGCACTGCTCGCGCACTGGAGGATCGCGTCAAAGGTCGCGCGAATGGCGAAGAACTTGGCCGGGTCATTGTTGACGGTCGCGAGCTCCGTGTTGCGCTGCTGGACGAGCCCCGTGGCGATCTCGAGCTCGCTGACGTATCCGTCGCGGTTGAGATCGGCTGGGAGGGGAAACGGGTACGGAAGCATGCACAGGTCCCGGATCCACGAGAGAAGGGACGGGATTTTGTTGGGCTGCACGACACCGTTGATGCCAAAGACATCGACACCGACGTCAATGCACTTGTCGAGCGTCGCAAAGTACTCGACGAGGTACGTGAGCACGATGGCGCGGGCGTCGGGCGAGTTGAACCAGATCGTCGTGACGTTCGCCTCCAGCGCACCTTGGACGCGAGCCACAATCGTCTTGGCCT